CAGTGTGCAAGCAGCAGAGACAATGCAACACCCAACCAAGACGTGACGTTTCTAACTGTAATCTATCTAGTATCTACATACCCTACACAGTACACACTACACAGTACTCCGACGACCCTCTGTGGAACCTCCACCCTGCCGCTCCACAACTGCAATCCGCATGACGACCCCACCGAGGAAACTTTCGGGATCTGAAGGATGACTCCAACAGTAACTTTCGGGAAAGTAACCTAGAAAAAAAGAATGCAACGTCTTTCCCGTCGTCGCGTGCTGCTACTTACTTTGTAGTAGACAATACCAAAGTAGGCATGTACCTGCGTGCCCAGCCACCAACGCGGACAATCGCTTTCAGCCCCTCCTTTCAAGCTGAGACACGGAAGTTATTTCAATGATGTTGAGATAGACCCCATCCATCATCACTTTCATTAATACTAGTTATCTATACATAACTGCACATAATTCCCCAACACAATAAAACTCGTATTAATTAGCAACCCATTATACCCAAATCTATAAGAAGATCACACAAAAAAGAACGGTACCGAACGCGTCTCCCAACCTCAAATGAAGAATCCGAACTACGCGTCGGATAACCCGTTCTAGTGCCTCGATAGAAAAAAATTTTTCATTTTCCCTTCCATACCAACTTACTACTAATCAATGAATGACTGGGACGGTTCGACCCGCCAATCCCAACGCAGTCTCACCAGTCCCGATTCAGCTCTAACTATCGGGTCGGTTTCCCGAGTCTGCCGAGCATTACCTTTTTTTTTATGCTACCGTGGACTCGATAGGATACTTTGTAGAACAGGTTGCCAAGAACCAGCCAACCAATTCACCAACCAGTTAACGTTAAACTCGTTTTAATAAACGGTAGACAAGTCAAGTCAAGTCAAGTTACTAAGCGGGGGTTTTTGCCGAGCCGAAGGTATATTCCAACTATTCTTCAAGTTTTCTTTTCTTGCCTTCCTGGATTTGGACTGGGCTAGACTGTGTAGTCAGTTAGTTAAGAAGTTGTTGTGTGTTGGTGAGTCAGAGATTTTTTAATTCCCTATACGAACTCCGCGGTAAACTACCTAGCTAGACTGGATGGATTGGTTTGGATGGAATGGATCGGGTTTAAGTTGGGGGTTGAGGCTTTTTCTTTTCCCGCCCGTCGATAGTATCTCCCTTCATCCTCTGGGGCAGTTGGAGATACGTAGTCTAGTTACTACACTCACACTAACTACAAAAGCAAACTAGACACACCGATACCTAGACTCCTTCTGGATAAGGATATGCAGGTACAGACATGCCTCACTGGCTAACTACTTAGGAACTAGCTTGCTTGCTAGCATATATGGTTCGAAACGTCGAATACGGGTGCCTGTTTTGACCGAGTGACTTTGTAACTGTGCACTAGACTGCTTGTAGGTAAAAGATCGTGGCTATTCGCTGTAGAATGCTGGGGCGTTGAAATGTGGGTTCGGAGATTGGGTTAGGTGAGTCGCCAAGGAGATGGATGACGTGGGGTGTGCTCTATGCTCTCGCTGTCTATGCTGCTTCGATTGTGCAGAAGATTGGGGGAATGGTGTAAATTATTTCGTTGTAGTAAGTTATTGTCATATGAGGTGTGCATTATAGAAGCACTTGGTGAGTGATGCTTAACATAATTGTTGCTTTAACGTTCGGATTTGGAGACTATTGTGCTGCTGCAGCATGGATATATATATAGTATCTTCGGCATCTTTCCGTGATCTGCGGTCATAGTATTATGGGTATCATGGGAATAGCTTCTACTCTGTAGTATTGATTGTGGGCATATGATTAGCGGGATGGATGACAATTGTATCCTTATGTAGAAACATCTTCGGAAACCAGCCATGGGTGAATAGTAGGATGACCCCGTTCAAGTATAAGCTCAAATCTAAATATGCATGCCACAGGATGATAATATAACCCACGCTTATCGGAACATACAACACTCTGATTGGAATTCATTTACCTCATATCGCTACACTATATATCTCAGAAAACATTAACAAGCCCATCAAGTATCTGGCTTGCCTTTCTCCGAACAACTGGCACTCCCCTCTCCTGCCTCTCCTACCTGCTCCACTCCATCTACAACCAAGTCCTGCACATCAGCCGGTCCCTTGAATTGCTTCCGGGCCGTAATGAGCCAAGTGAAAATGCTCAGCAACGCAATCAACCCGATCGCCGCACTAGTGTAGTTCATCGAATTCGGAGTGACTGGTGCATCTGAAGGGAAGTTGAAGGTAATAAACGCAAAAAACAGGAATAGAAACCCTAGGCCGTGCAGGCCGAGCGATATGGGCAACGGGAAGGAGTAAGGTCCGTCGACTGGGGCGATGTCATGGCCAAAGAAATACCCGAGAAGTCGAGCAAGGAGGACCAGTGCGTAGGAGACGTCTGAAAGGGTGATGCTGTTAGCTCTGTCCTTGTATCTAAATTCCCAATAGGGATGTCTTACAGAACCCCGTGGTCGCGATAGACACAACCGTATCAAAACCAGTAACGGTCCCGAAATAAATCGAGTTGAAAGCCATTTGCACCACAACGGTGAACAATATCGCATATATCGGGATCTTTCTCCTCTTCTCCACTTGGGATAAGATCCCTGAGAATGGCATTCCCCGGTCTCGTGCGAATGCGAATAGTGCTCGAGAGCCCTCTGCGACAAGACTTACTGATGCTACCATCATAATTACTGTCATCATACTGGTCATGAAGCAGGCGGCGACTTTGCTATGGGTTGAGTCGTAGAAGATCTGCAGCACGGGGACGCCTGTGGAGGAGTTTGCAGTGGCATCGATGTCGCCGATGCAGAAGCAGAGCGTCAATAGAAAAATGAACCCCGTTACAGCGCCCATACCAACAGACATGACCATGGCTTTGGGTGCATCTCGCGAGGCATGTGTCATTTCTTCTGTCATGTGGCTTGGGGTATCGTAGCAGCACATGCCGAAGAAGCTTTGAAGAATTCCGACCATTGTTGCCATTGCGGATCCGCAACCGGTTGTGTTCTGAAAATCCTGAAATACAAATGCGGCATCTTGTTTGTCTTTGTTGGTTGCTAGTAGAACTACGACGATGATGACGAACGAGCAAACGTTCCACAGCAGGATAGCCCGGGATAGGCGGTTGAGCAGGTGTGGCATGAATGTATTGACCAGGAGAGCCCAGATCGCGACGGCATAAGTGACCAAGACAGTATGCCATCGTTCAATCACATACTCAGGATATACCAGATTTGCTTGTCCCAGGATGAAGTTGGCCGCAAATGAGTTGTTCGCAGAGCCCATGGCAAGGATACCTGTTTCGACTGAGCATTGTGCAACATAGGTCTGGAGGTATACTGTCGCTTACCCATTAGCATGAACCACCCCGTTATATACGACATCTCTCGAGCGATCTTTGGTGGAGCCAGCAGAAAGACCCATGAATACTGCCCTCCGGCCACGGGCCACCTTGAGCACCATTCTGCCATGGATAGGGCAACCGCAAAAGTAATTACACACACGCCTAACCATCCGAAGAGCATAACCGGTGGACCACCGGCATCTACTCCAATGATGAATACACCGCTCAATGCACTCCAGCTATTCGTAGATGTCAGTCAATCGTTCGACATAGTAGGGTTGGTGTGGACAACCAAGTAACGATGCTAAAACTGAAACCTATCATATCCAAGAGGCCGAACGACCGCTTGAATTCTAGGGATAATAACGTTAGTAAGTACACTATTGATCTAAAATTCACAGCGATCCCAGTCATACCTTGCTGATAACCCAAGTGCTCAAGCGTGAGGTCTTCTTCGGTGCCATGGCCGAAGACATCTTTGGGCGCCACAGACATGGTGTCGACGGTCGATCTGTCCATGAAGGGTCTCGAGGACGATTAGATTGACGACATATCTGCTATATATCCAGTTTGAACCAGCATGATAAGCTCTTGTCGATAATGTACCGTGTCCGTCGGCTGGCTCTGCAGTTCAGCTTGCCAAGTGGTGCTTATCAGCGGATCGACCGGTGGCATACCGAGTTGGAAATCCGCCATTGGCAGGACGCGCATCTTCAGCAAGGGGCATTGGACCTATCAGAGAATTAGCTTCATTGCTTTTTCGGACCCTCCGACATGCCTTCAAGCCGCAATTTTCGTCTGATTAAGTCGCCAGCGCGATCGGAGCATGACTCATCTGTGACTCCGATCGTTGGTTAACTTGCGGGGTACCCAATCCCTTGCTATATATTCTGTCAAATACAATCAGCGCCCACATGATTCGAGGCTCGCTTTTTGACCCTCGCAATGGCTCACATCGAGAATTTACAAGGGCTTATAGCCCAATCGTTATTATTAGCGGCCTTCGCAATTGTTAGCGCTATATTCTGCAGATGCTTCTATCGCATCTACCTCCACCCTCTATCGTCGGTACCTGGTCCTAAGCTTGCTGCCTGCACTTCGCTATGGTTAGCATACCACACCTATATTGGCGACGAATGTACAGTAGTATGTGATCTGCACCGCAAATACGGTGCCGTTTTAAGAGTCGCCCCCAATGATGTCGACATTGCCGATAAAGATGCGCTGAAGCCAATCTACATTGCTCGCGGCGGTTTCCCCAAGACACCAGCATATTCCAAATTCGACATCGACGGACACACGACCATATTCTCCAGTTTGACTTTACCTGAGCGAGCAACACGAGCCAAAGCTGTAGCACCCCTCTTCTCTACGGCATCAATCCGCAGCTCTCAAGAAGCCTTACGCGAGGTCTTCGACGACTTCGCGAAAAGACTGCAGGCCGAGGCGCGCACGGGTAGGCCAGTAAACGTGCTTAATGTGACGCGCGCCATGGCGATTGACGCCGTGACTACTTACCTATTCCACGAGAGGTACGGCGCCATCACGGAGAAGACAGAGTCAATGTCGGCATCGCCGTTTGTGGATTCCTTCGCCGGAGTAGGTGCCTTCTTCAACATTGTGCCAGGAAAGATTGGTGATTTTGTCATGGAGGTCATTGAGCGCTGGAGCACGACCAAGAATGTAGAGCAATCCCACGGACTGATCGACCAGTACACCCGGAGGCTTATCCAAACAGCGATACCTAAAAGTGGAAGCTATCAGAGCCGTCTATTGGAGAAGTCGACCATAGCACAGTCGCAGATCGAGCTCAAAGATGTATGCTTTGCGGGAACCGATTCAACTGGAATGAACACTGCAACGATCTTATGGTACCTGGCAAAGCACCCAGAAATGTGAGTGACTATGATGGCAGCATTGTATTTTTCTTTACTAAGCGTGTGTTCTTGCAGTTATGATCGTCTCAGACAGGCAGTTATGGAGAGTATCAATAACGATGAGGACCCAACCGCGTGCGCGTACTTGCGCGGCGTCGTCCGGGAAGGCCTTCGTCTCTCCTGGGCGAATCCAATTCGCTTGCCTCGTGCGGTTCCGGCTGGAGGCTGGAAGTATCGTGACTACTATTTTCCGGCTGGTACAAGTGTTGGTGTTGCGGCCTTTCAGCTGCATCAAGATAGCAGCGTGTTCCCTGAGCCGCAACGATTTCACCCTGAACGTTGGGATAATGCCGACGACGAGATGCTCACGGCGTTCTTTGCGTTTGGTAAAGGTACCAGAGCATGCATTGCCCAGTCGCTGGCAATGTATGAAGTCACCATGGCCATCTTCACAGTGGTCAAAGCAGATGTGCTGCGTGGGGCATCAATTGTTGGGGACCGAATTGAGATAAAAGAATGGTTCAATTCCAAAGTCAAGGGACAGGAGATTCTGATACAATTCGCCAGCAATTGAAGCGACATGCACCCTCCAGGATGTTCAACGACTTACTATAAACGTACGCTCGAAAGAAAGCCGAATGGCATGACGCGCAGAATAGATACTTCAGAAGTCATCTTTAGAGAAATCGATATCCTTACCATCCAGCCACTCAGCCATGTTCTTATATACCATGTCACGCTCCCTGCCGAACAACTGGGGCAGATTCTGCTTGATTGGGTAGCCGAGCCGGCGCATACCGTAAGCCAGAAACTGGTAGCCTTTGGGCTCCTTTGCTAGAGATTCATGGTCAATATGTGGTGGTCGAGTGGGGTCCACTGGTACACATTTGTCCTTCTCATAGATGGGATGATTGCAGAAAATTTTCCATCCTTCCGGCTGCTTCTTCAGGAAGTATCCAAAACGACAGTCACTAAAATCATCAATGTTAGTAGGCTCATATCTGACACGGGAGAGAATTACCAGTCGCTATCCCATTCAACACCGTTTTCATCGGCAAAACGCCAGGAAATCGTACACTTCATCTTATCGATAGCCCTATCACCCTTGATGTCTACTGCATGGCCTAGAACCCGATGACAAATGAATTCACCTTTAGCCCATCCTTCAGCCCAGGTATCAATGGCCTTGTCTCGATAATTTTGCTGCCAGCTGATATTGATAAATGCCTTTGGATCAAATATTTCCCTTAGATCAGACCATTCGCAGGCATCGCGATGAAGGGGCCAGCCTTCGCAGATCTCGCGGATTTTGAACCGCTCCAGAGTAGAAGCGTTATCAGTGTTGTACGTTAGACGGTTTGATGCAGAAGGGGGCTCAGCACCCAGACCATAATTGCCTTTGTCGGGTACTCTGAAAAGCGCAGGTTTCCCGCTCGAGGGGATTTTGTCCGATTGGCCCATGCCGCTCATCGTAGCTGTGTATTTTCGAATTCTGCAAGTGGGTATGGTATAGTGAATGCCAGTTCGTTGGCAATGAAGGCAGCATGAGGTAGTGGACGGCTCCTAGGAATAAATAGACCCTCAGGATTGACTTCGATCACTTTTAAATGACCCGATTGTACTCCCTACCGGTAGTGGCGACGTACATCCGAAAACGTCATGACCGGCGCACTCATAGTAACGCGTTTTCCCCTTGGGTGTAACTATCACATAGACTCAAAAGCAGCTACTGTGATTTCAGGGAAAATGAATAGTAGTCCCAAGGGTGCTATTTGGGCTTGCAATTTCGAACTTGAGAGTGCCCCTTGGATGTGCAGGTTTAGAAAGGCCCGGCGTCGCATATTGATCGACAAACCTGAAATGCAGTCGCTCGAAACTGGTTATTATGAAGCTCAGACAGGACGCTTAAGGTTCAATGGGCAGCTGGATTATACTTTCTGTCAAGGTGCCGCTTCCTTTCATTGGGGATCTTGGTAGCGGCTGTCATACGGGGTTTCCTTGGTTGCCGAGCCACGTACTCTTGCAGGGTGGTACCTAAAGCTGGAATTGCGGATTAGGCCATGGCAAGGAGGAGTTCCGAAGATAGATGTGGAGTCAAATTTAACAATAGTATGTAGTTGTCAAGAGTGTCGGATGTGTTGTGGACTGGTAGTGGTAGTACTACGAGTAAGACCCGCTCTCCCCACATGACGGCCTCGATAGCCTAGTATTGTGATGAGCTTACATCAACTTCATTACAGCTTCTACTTCTATTTAAAAAGCATTCTAACGCCCATTCTTAGCAAAATTAAACAAGAATCCATATATTAAATTCTAAAATCCTTGCAGCGAATCTTCTCACTAATCTCTTAAGCCTCTCCACAATAACACAACTAACGCGCAAATCCCATCTAAATCCTGCCACATGTCTTATAGCCCGAAACCACGCGCAGTCTAACACCCACATACCGGTTCCACCCCGGGCTGCAATGCTGGCCCGACTAGGTTAATATTACGATCTCGCATCTGAACACATGTATGGCATCAAGTCCATATCTTGTACATCCGGTCTTACTTGAAGGTGCCACAGGTATCTATGTGGGGGGTACTCCCTTGCCTTGTATTTCCACCTGGGGCGATAGATGTTAAGATCGTCTGTGTATCTCTGAGAGTAGACAATCAGTTGCAGACATCGGCTACGTGTAGGTATTGGGAGACTTCATGGTTTTGTGGAGTCATACGAGGGGCTAGTATGAAGGGGACAGAAGGGATGGTCTCTCGGGAAAATGATGAGATTCTTGATGGTAGTAGGTTTGATCGAAATAGGAATATAGGTACCCATTGGCTATAGGAACCCAAGTATATGAATTTTGATCTTATATATAATTAGATGGTGGAGCAAGCATTGCCAAAACAGTTTCACTGGTATTCGGTAGAAGCATGAAAGAGAGAAATCATGAGCAGTTCAACTGTCTTTAACTGGCATTAACACTATGCATGCAAATGGTATCTGGAATGGAAATTTACAACTTCGCCAACATCTTGTTGCCCTTCTGCAACAGTGCAGCAGCATCGTCCACGAGCTCATCAACAATAGCCTTGGCAGGCTTCTTTTCGTTTACAACAGCAGCAACCTTGCCCATCAGGAAGGGGCGAGCGTTTTCAAGGGTCTCGTCGTCAACATCATCAGGGAGGTTCTCCATGTCGTGCTCAGCCGGAATAATTCCCTGGGAGGTGAGCTTCTTGATCTCATCTTGGCGGTTCTCCTCCCAGTTCTTGATGTATTCGTTGTTACGGACACGGAGTGGGCGGCCCTGGGCAGATTTAGAATATGATATAGGAGTAGTGTTTGGTTGAACTTACCGTGAAGATAATAGTGCGGATTGTGTCATCAAAGCCAGCGGTACGGACAGCCTCCTGGTGAGCCTTGGGAGCACCAGCCTCATCAGCCAGGATGAAACGAGTACCAATCCACACGGCCGAAGCACCAAGCATCAAGGCAGCAGCCACCGAGTTGCCATTGTACAAGCCACCGGCAGCAACCACCTGCACGGGCAGACCAGTCAGGGGACTCTTCTTGCCCTGGCAGAGCTTGGCCACGGTAGGAATGAGAATCGTGGTGGGAACATCGCCAGTGTGACCACCTCCTTCACCACCCTGAGCGCAAATGATATCCGCACCGGCATCGAGGGACTTCTGGACGTGCTTGGGGTGACCGATCATGTTCATGTACAGGATGCCTGCAGCATGGAGTTTGTCCACGACAGCTTTGGGGGGGATACCGACGGCAGAGACGAAGAGCTTTGCACCGCTTTCGATGATGATATCCACGAGTTCATTGAGCTTGCCCTTGGTGTAGTCGTAGCTGATGCACAGAAGGCGCATTAGTATCTCGAGTTTCCGTTTGTCAAACAATCACATGGGTGTCTCACTTGGTCTTGCGGGCGCTTCCACCGACCTGGGGGAGCAGCAAGTCAACTCCAAAGGGAGCGTTCTTGTCATTCAAAAAGCTCTTGAGCTCTGCAATCTGCTCACGGAGCATGTCGGGGGTGTATCCAACACCTCCGATAACTCCCAGACCACCGGCGTTGGTGACCGCAGCAGCCAATTTGGGACCGGCGGCCACGTTCATACCCGCCAGGAAGACGGGGTGGTTGATCTTGAGTAGATCAGTAAGGGTAGTGCGGATCTTCTCTACAAGAACAATTTGTCGTTAGCATTCAAAAGCACTGGAGATGTCGGCGGACTACATAGTGCATGTGAAGAGGCGGTGGCAAGGGAACTCACGCGGAGAAGCCATCTTTGTGTATATGAAGGGGGGTTAGAAGAGTGACAGGTGGATCAAAGACCTGAAGTTTGGTACAAAGTAATAATATGTCAGTTAGCAAGTAACAAGGGATGCGGAGATTAAGGGTAGGCAAACACCGTTATAAGTGAGCGAATGTGCAGGCCGGAGGAGCCGAGGACAATGAATGCCCAGCATGAGCCTCGGTCCAGGGCGCGTGATGGATCAGGCTATTGAAGGCTGGCTACCCCGAGCTTCCTGCCGAACCACCTGACTCCCGCTGCGGGGTTACCCGCCTTTCCCTTTTATGGGTTAGGCTATGATTTAGTCGGGGTGTCTGGTGGCTGGTGAGTGTGGCTAGTGAGTAAAACAGTTAACGCCTCAGGCTGTCACAGCCGACGTCAGGTGACACGAGTAGCACGGCCCGCGCATGACGTATTTTCATTCCGGATTCGCTGTAGATCTCGCCTCTGCACTTCGTTTCTGAGCTCCGTGGCTGCTGCAGAAAGTATGAGACCAAGGCCAACGGTGACCTGGCATAGCAATGCTGTCGCCTTGACATCAGCTGTCCGCGCTTGTCGGTTTCCCAGCACAAGTCTGCTGCATTCTCAGCCATGTAGAGGCGGATCATTCCCTAGCAGATCATTTGGCAGTTTGATAGCAAGGCAGGTCTTCGTTGATCAGATTAGGGGTATCACAGTCTAACTTCTATAGAAACTCATCTGTATCTGGTACGGTTCTTCCTAGATGCGATTGGTAAAAATTTTCTCGTTATATCCCGCCATTGGTCCAGTCCTATTCCTGGACAACAATGGTTCTATGTAGATAGGATCTGGATCATACGCTCTAGGGGTATAACATCTAGAATTGGGCTAATTCACTCTCAGAGCCACTGCACATCAGTCGTCTCAACAGAGGCACCTTGAGCGGCATCAGTGCAAAGAGATCCAGCCATGAAATCTTAAAGCCACTGTGCCACACCCGCAAGCTTACAACTAGCCGAGCACATCTCTTCAACCCCAGCATGGATCGAGTACATCCCTCGACCCATCGTGCGTTCATTGCCTTTGGCAGCAATGTCGGGGACCGCATTGATATGATCGAGGCTGCTTGCCGCGAAATGGAGCGGGCCAACATCCGAATCAAGCGGACGAGCTCCCTCTTCGAAACCGCCCCGATGTATGTCCTCGACCAGGATCCCTTCATCAATGGAGTGTGCGAGGTACGTCGCCAACCCCATTTCCAAACGTCTCAAATCCTAACCTTAAGCAGGTGGAAACCAGCCTCTCCCCCATGGACCTGCTCGACACGCTCCAAGCCATCGAGTTAGGCCTCGGCCGGAAGAAACTCATCGACAAGGGACCACGCTCAATCGACCTGGACATCCTCCTCTACGACGAGCAAATCTTCACGCACGAGCGTCTCGACATCCCGCACAAACTGATGCTCGAGCGCGACTTTGTCCTCCGACCCCTCTGCCAGTACGTCCCTCCCCCTCCCATCCCTGAAAACCACCACCACTAACCAGCAACAGACTAATCCCTCACGAACGCCCTCCCTTCCTGGGCCACTCCCAAAGGCTACCTCAACCACCTCAAAACCCTCCCACCCCCATCTCCAACCCCCCACCCAACAACCCCCATATCCCCCCTATTTCCCCCAATCCACAGCACCAACCCCTCCCGGCCAACCCACATTATGGCAATCCTAAACCTAACCCTAGACTCCTTCTCCGACGGCGGCACGCACTCACCCACAGACCTGGCAACCCTAACCACAACAGTAAACAACATGATCCGCTCCGGCGCAACAATAATCGACATCGGCGGCGAAAGCACCCGTCCGGGCTCCAAGCCCGTCAGCGAATCCGAGGAATTATCCCGGGTGATCCCCGCAATCCGGCACATCCGGACCACCATCCCCGAGGCCGCCCACATCGCCATCAGCATCGACACGTACCGCGCGCGCGTCGCTGAAGCCGCCTGCGCCGCCGGCGCGGACATCATCAACGACGTCTCCGCGGGCCTCCTCGACCCCGAAATGCTGCCCACTATGGCGAGGACCGGGAAATCAGTCATATTAATGCACATGCGCGGCACACCTGCCACGATGACCAAGCTGACGGATTACCCCAACGGAGTTATCCAGGATGTGGGCAGTGAACTCCTTGAGCGGGTTGCAGCCGCAGAGGCGGCGGGGATCCGGCGGTGGAGGATCATATTAGATCCGGGGCTGGGGTTCGCGAAGAACGAGCCGCATGATTTGACTATCTTGAGGGAGTTGGAGAAGTTGAGGACAGGAGTGGAGGGGTTGGAATATTTCCCGTGGTTGATGGGGCCGAGTCGGAAGAGGTTCGTGGGGAGGTTGACAGGGGTGAAGGAGGCGAAGGATAGAACTTGGGGCACGGCGGCGACGGTGACGGCGAGTGTTGCTGGGGGCGCGGATATTGTCAGGGTGCATGATGTGAAGGAGATGTGGCAGGTTGGGAGGGTCGCGGATGCGATTTATAGGGGGGTTGTTTGATGAGGATGTGAAAAGCGAGGATTCTGTGTTTTGTATATTCAACTATAAGATTGTGGATGGGATAGAGATATACTGTGTATAGGGAGGCAAGGGCTGGCGCATTGGTTTCCCAGCATGTTTGGGCGTTGGGAAGGGTTCAACCCCGGATATTAATTGTAGATATTATTGACAAGAATTGAGTCAATATCCAGTTGATATGTAGTAGTCACTACATCGTCTGGTTTATATATACAACCCATATATAGAAAAGCCATGAGAGGCAGGTGGATAGACGACGATATAACTCGCTGTTCAGCAATTTAATTTGGCAACACTATGAGCAAAGCAAAGCAGATATGAAAGATTGTCATATAATGAAGCAAAACAGCAAAAAAGTGAGTGATATGGGTATTACCCAACCCAAACAAGAGCATCACCCAAACCCAAAGATAGATACCCAAGCCAACAACCCAAACTGAAGCAAGAACATCACACACTAATATCCAGCCCACATATCCACCAACCCATCACCCACTCCCCTCACCAGCAGAACCATATCTCGGCTCCTCAGGCGCATCCCACTCCTCTACCGGAAAAAACCCACTAAGGACCACATGCTCCCCATTCCCAGCCCTACTCAGAGGCATCTCCCTAACCTTCTCCAGCAACTGCAACTTAACAAAATACCGATCCGCCTTCAACGGCGGAAACATAAACCTCTCCAGCCTATACTGACTATAAAAGGCGATATGATCATCCTCATTTATCCGGAACGGTTCTGTGACATCCGTGCGCCGGTTGTACTTCTTCTGCTGCGCCGGAGGCTGGCATTTCATGAACTTCTGTTTGAGCTCGGGATAGCGTTCTGGGCTGAGGTAGCCGATGACCGTTTCGCCGGCATACGTAGGTTCGTTGGTAATGGGGTACTTGAAGTGTTTGACTGCGTATATTAAGCCTTCCCTATTGGAGACGTTGCCGATGGCGTGGTGCAGATGGCCGCGGCCATTGGGGCCGTGCTCGACCCACAGCCCGTGGCGGTAATGTGGCCAGGAGTTGTCGTGGGAGTCTTCGCCGCCGGGGGGGACGTGGAACCAGACGTGACTGATTTTCCAGGATGGGTAGGGGGCTTTGGGCTTGGGGGTGGTGGTTGTGGTAGGTTCGTCGGGTGGTGGTGGAGGAGGAGGTGTTTTTGTTCGAAGGGGGACTTCGGTTTGGATAGGGACTTTTCTGTCCGTGTAAGGGGTGGATCGGATTTCGGTGTCGAAGGGGGTTTGGCTGGACATGGTTTTGTATGGGGTTGGCGATGGTTAAGAATGAAGATGTTAAGGATGTGCGGTAGGTAGGGATATTAGGGTGATGAGGCGGCGAGAAGGGATGGGAGCTGGTAGACATCTTCAAGATGGAGAGGTTATATTTGGAGGCATTGGCGGAGTATAGATGGAAGGAAGAGAGGCGGTTAGGGAAGGTGCTCCTGTGCTGTATACTTGACAGGATTCTCGACATGTATAACATATTTATTGTGTGCATGCTGAAGCAATGGAGTTGGCTTTTCATTCACTAATTCAGTTCTAGACTCGTAACCTACTAAGTTCAACGACGAATATACAAGGATTCAAAGCAGCCAAACATGTTCAGTGGAAGGCGATTAATGATTTCAACTAACGCAGAAGAGCAGCATGGATGCGAGATACCGACCTGGACCGTTTATTCAGTAAACGGAACGTGGCGCACCCAGCTAACCTAAGCAAATGGAGAGCACCGCGCCAGCCATGTGTTGGAAAGGTTCTGTTTATGAGGGTACTAATCAGGGGAATAGAAGGAGATAGAAACGCCACAGATGAAGGAGATCGAGGAGAAAGCTGGCTAACAAGGGTCAGGATAAGCCGGAGGTAAGAATCGAAAGATTATCAGTGAGTTGTCGCGCACATATTCAGCTGTTCAGGTAGCTGCGTATAGCGCCTGAATATCCTGTTAGTAAGAGTCCGGCGTGAAGATGAAGGGGGCATACTGACCTTGCAGCTTGGTTGCACCCTCCCCGACGAGCTGCGTCAGGTTTTCAAGGTCATCGCCCGCGGTGATACCGAACCGACGCACAAAGTCCTTGGCAGCATTTTCAAGATCGCCATAGGTATCATCAGCGACAGGAAGATCGTCCTCAGGACGTCCAAAGTAGGAGTTGCTCGAGATAGCCTGGGCGCCGTCGAATTGACGAAGGCGCTCCTTGGCCTCAGCCTGGGCATTGGGGTCGAAGCGATCGCGTCCGAAAAACTCGTCGGAAGAAATACCCTTCTGGCTACCGAAACGAGACTTGGCCTGCTTCAGCTCTTCCTCTGTAGACATTGTTAGCCATGATCCTAGCCACTAAGTAGGATAGCAAAGTCTGCATACCATCAGCTGCAGACCGAGGGGCAACAGCACCGAAGCCCAGCTTCTTCGGGGCAGCCGGCTTCGCGCCGACAGTCTGTCCAAATCCGAGTCTTCCAATTCCCATGCCAAGACGCTCCACATCACCCGAACTGCGTTCTTGGGTGTTCCTGCTAGGGCTGATAGGAGTGGGCGAGGCGATCGTCGTGGCAGCGGTGGTCGTCTTAGCCTTAGCATCAGCCTCAGCCTGCTCGGCTTCAGGGTCATAGCCCAGCTTCTCAATGCGCTCAGCCTCCTCCTTGGCTTTTCTCTCAGCCTCATCGAAATCAATAATTTCCGCGGCACCAATCTTCTTAGCCCCCAGCTTGGGGGCCTTCTTGGCGCCCAACACGCTGCCCTTCTTCGCAGTGGTGGTCGAGGGTGTCTTACGAACAGCAGCGCTGGCCCTGATGGCAGTAGGGGCAGGCGAAGAGCTGTCCTTGTCGGAAGCGGACAAAGGCGACTTGGAGCGGGAACCGTTTGCGCCGGAGTTCAGGAAGGGCGAGCCAGTGCGGCTGACAACCGGAGGGGTGCCGGTACGGGAAGGGGGGTTGCTGGGGCGCTTGATGGAGGGCTTGTCCCAGGAGGAGAAGAAGTCGTCATCCTCAGCGGCGGGGGTACTAGAGCCGTTGGACGGAGTGCCAGCGGGGATATCGGTAATCACAACTTCTTCGGGGTACCTATACGTAACACGAACCATTAGACCTATAAGTATGCAGAACACCCGGGACCACTAACTGTTGCGCATCCTGCGCCGCGCGTCTCTTGAGCTCTTCCTTGTATTTGACGGCGGCATTGCAGGTGTACTTGACTTTGACGTCCTTGCTAGCGAGAGCGGCAGAACCGCCGTGCGATTGGAAGTACTTGGTAGCGGACTCGTTACCGCCGACCTTCATAACCCGAAGCTGTTCCCATTGCCATTCTGCAAGTATTACATTAGCACTGACGGGCAGTGAAGTCAGGAGATGCGATGAAGCATACGGTCGAGGTTGGTGGAGCGGACGAAGGAGATGTGCACGCCCAGGTTACGGTGGTTGGCCGAGCAGTCAAGGCACAGGTAGATACCGAAAGGCACGGACGACCATGTTGGGTTCTTGGAGCCGCAATCGAAGCAGATCTGTGGAGGGAAAAAAAAGCAAGAGTCAGAATGGCTGGTCGGAGTAATAGTGATAATAATAAGTCTGGCGGGGAGGGGCACTGCGCGCCTTGTTTGCGGGCTTGAGTTTTAGCTTCTCAAAGATCTTCTGAGACTCCGTTTTGGAGGCACTCATGATGGCGGATTGAATATGATTGAATGGACCTCAGGAAGAGGAAGAGGAACGGGCCAGCAGGCGGAATAGGATTATGACACACGGAGAGGTCGGGGAGGGAGAGAGAGGGAGAGGGAGATCCGAAAAGCGAAGCGGGAGAGCGAACGTGGTCGGATTGGGATTGGAAGTGCCCCGTTTTGTGACCCTGCCAGATTTGCAGGAGGATCCGGTATTTTTAAACTTCAGGTCTGGATTTCGGGGGTGGCACATCTAGAAACAGCGCTAGTGGCGAGAATATTCACGCTGCCATTGCAATTGAGAACGAACTATAAAGTATTATTCTGGCTCTATCAGAACACTGTATCTCATCTCATAACTAAATCTACATGCCATGTCAGACATTAGTCCCCGAGAACTAATAGTCTTAACAATAGAAAACCGTCCTGGTCCCTGACCCTCCCTCCCCTCCTGTACTACAAATACACCCACCCACTCCAACCATACCCGAAACTTTGCAAACATCAGCGGCTGAAACACCGCCGGAAGTGGATTAACACGTGACCCACTCCATTCCCCACACGCCCATCATCCACGGCTCTCTGCTAAAGTCCCATCCGACAATAATTTTATGGAAACCACCTCACCATCAAATCAATTTACCGCGGTGATCAACAGCTGGGTTCGACGCGGACGACATATTGGGTAATGGTTAATAACACCTAAGGCAACGGACAACAACCAACACAGCAACACCGACAATGCTTCCATCAGCAGCGCCCTACCTACTACGACCTACTAGTAACCGTGCCGCTTTGCGCCGGCTACAACTACAGCACATCGGTCTTCTTCCCCGCAGCACAACAACAATCACAGGAACAACAGCATCATCATCACTAGTACGAAAATATGCCACAACGCAAGGCGCCGCCCCGAAACGGCGAAACGTGACTGTTCTATCGGACGATGGACGATACGAGTGGGGAGAATTGAGCGGGAGGGAGAAAGTTGCGAGGGCGACGCAGCAGTCGGTGAATTTCGTGGTGATTATTGCGGGGGCGGTTTTGACGGTTCGTTCAAGCTATATATAATCCGGACCGTTGGGGTGTGATTGCTGATGTGTGTTATTGAGTAGGGCGGGGTCTTCTACCTTCTCTTCACGGAGGTCTTTTCCCCGAATAGCAAGACATGGCAGTTTGAAAAAGCTGTCGAGCGCATCAAGGATGATGTTCGGTGTACGAACCTCCTGGGTGATCGGAGGGAGATCAAGGCTTATGGGGAGAATACGTGGAGTAGATGGGCGAGGAATAGGCCTATTGCGTACGTTAATTTTCTTTGCCATTGTCTACTGGTGTGAGGGAACGGGGTGATGCTGACTGGGATATAGGACGTCTGTCTATCAGGACAGAGTGGGTCGGGAACACCTGAAGATGAACTTCCACGTATGCGATGCTCTCTTCTTCCTCTGGGTTGTGTGTGGTATACTGATTGGTTGGTGATATAGGTCGAAGGTCCTCTTAATTCCGGAACCGTGTTTGTGCACATGATGAAGCCGTTGAATGAGCATCACTGGGAGTATCAGCTTCTTGCTTTGGAAGTGCCGGGTTAGTTTGATCCATATAGCACCCTTTGCTTCAGTTATCCTTGGGGTTGGACTGACTTGTGTAGGACATTCCCGGGTTGTGCTTGAAGAAGCGCGCGAGAAGCCTGGCGTTGGGCAAGCACTGAAGATCTTTGGCATTAAGTGGCGGTAGGTGGAAAGCACCATCTGGATCGGCACCGAAGGGATTGCGGTCATCCCGAATATGAATACTGTATTATATACGTGAACCGATTATGAGTGTAAAATATACCATAGGAGAACTGAATCCAGACAGGTCGATACTGGCGACCTTGTTTCATAATACCCCACATAACCAATGTAATGCATGCATCTCATAAATTCTAAACATCATATAAAAACAAAACTCATATCACATATATACAACACATATTTTTTACCTCCCCACTATACTATCCGGGGCCCCTCCAGAATGGTCTTCGCCTCCTCCGACCTCCACCAACTCTTGCCCTCCTCACCAGGGAACGAAAACGCATCCATGCTCTCCGCCTTCATCTCAACACTATACCCCGGCTCCATCGGAGTAACATAGTATCCATCCTTGACACTAGACGGGTGCACGAAGTGCTCGTGCAAGTGATCCACATACTCCAACACACTCTTCTTTCCACTGACCACCACGTAGTCGATCGTGCTCAGATGCTGAGTGTACTCAGGCAACCCGACACCACCGGAGTGAGGCACGATCGGCACGCCGAACTTGCGCGCAAGCAGCAAGATGGCCAGAACTTCATTGACACCGCCGACACGGCAGGCATCGGCTTGCAGGACGGTCAGGGCTCCTGCCTGCAGGAGCTGCTTGAAGACAACGCGGTTCTGGCACATTTCGCCAGTGGCGACGCCGATGGGGCCGTAGGGGGTGTCTTGGAGGGCCTTCTTGATGGCGGCGTGGCCGAGGATGTCGTCGGGGGAGGTGGGCTCTTCGATGAACCAAGGCTTGAATTCGGCGAGTTGTTGCATCCAGGTGATGGCTTCGGGGACGGACCAGACCTGTTTTTTCACATGAGGTGTTAGCATTGTGGGTGGTAGGGATGGAAGTGGGGAGGTAGGTACCTGGTTGGCATCAACCATAAGAATGTTGCCCTTGTCATAACCAATAGCTTCACGAGCAATAGCCAATCTCCTCCGGTCTTCCTCGACGTTTCCGCCAACCTTCAGCTTAAAGTGCTTGTATCCCTGCTCGACGCTCTCCTTGAGAAGGACTTTCAGCTTTTCCTCACTGTATCCCAGCCAACCCGCACTGGTAGTATAGGCCGGTACAGCCTGGCTCTGCTCTGCTTCCTTGATACGGTCCTGCTTGCCGGCCTCGACCTCCTTGAGGAGGGCAATTGCCTCCTCGGGTGTAATGGCGTCCGTGATGTAGCGGAAGTCAATGCAGCGAACAAACTCCTCGGGGGTCATGTCCGCGACAATGCGCCAGACAGGTTTGTTCAGGGTCTTGGCCCAGAGATCCCAGAGAGCGTTGACGACGGCACCAAGGGCCAGGTGGATGACACCCTTCTCGGGTCCGATCCAGCGCAGTTGGCTGTCGGAGACGAGGTAGCGCCAGGTCTTGCCCCAGTCGGCGGTAAGTTCGTCGAGGTCTTTGCCGACCACGAGGGGAGCGAGGAGGGAGATGGCGGAGCAGACGATTTCATTGCCGCGGCCGATGGTGAAGGTCTAGGATTGTTAGTGAATGTTTCTGAGAAGGTGGAGGTAGGGTTGGTCATGTGCGTACCATGCCGTGGCCGGTGTAGTCGGAGTCAGTGTAGATGATGCAGTAGGCGGAGGAGTAGTCGCCTGCAGCGTTCATGGCATCTGAGCCGGTTTTATCGAGGGAGGTCTGTCATTTGGTGAGCAGGTATGCAAAATACATGGGTGAACTTGAGAGGATAGGTGCGCGACTTACGGGAAACCTCACGTCCCTCGTGGTGAAACTTGTGATCTTGACCATGGTGTCGGTTGTTTCTGTTCAATTGATCTGGAAAGGAATTGGAGTTGGAAAGAGAAGTCTTTCCAGGTAATCGCAATCTAGTTGCAATGCGGGGCCGTCGGCAGACACAGTATAAGCTCCGGGCTGTCAACACAGGCTATTACCTCGCAAAACGAAGCAATTGGATGCTACAGAAGACAGCTGCAAAGAAGCGAAAGACAATTGAGAAGAACGACGACGAAACTGAAGCGACCAGAAGTGAAACTGGGCTGGGGAAGTTACTTATACAAGGCGGGCAGCCACCCCTCCCCCTCCACGCAGTGTGGGGAACTTCCCCTCATTGGCGGAGGAATTGCTCCAGCGCGTGGGTTGGGTTTCTCCGCCAGTCAGAGGCCAGCGCTGCCCGGCCAGAATAAATCCGCGTCTTATAAACGTCTGCAGGGTTTCTACCGGCAGAAATGACTCGGTCATTTGCGCGATTTACATGAGGGTGATAAGGCACTGGACTGAGGTACAAGAGAAGATACAGTTGCTCCTAGGAGCGGATATCGATTCAATCACTATCGCTGGCGTTAGGTACAGACAATCAATCTTCGGAATGCATGGGTGTAGAGACAGCGTTCGTGTGATGCTGAACCCCAACAGCACATATACACTATTTATCCCGAAAGACCTCGCTTCTCGCTCTCCGAGAAGAAAATGATCATCCGCCACAGCTTGCGGACCAGCACCTCGGCTTCTTCGTCGAGCGCCTAAGTAAAAGAGTTAGCATGATATCTAGACACACAAGTAAAAACAGCAGTAAATTGCAGATTGAGCTTACCTCCTCCAGCTGCTCCACCAGCTCCTGGGGATGACCATGCTTGCGAACATGTTCTTCCACCACGTCCACAAGCATCTGCTCCTGGACTCCCAAGTACTCCACAATCTTCTTCTCGACGAACGGCTTGAGTTGCTCGCTGACCACCGTTTCGTCCACAAACTCCCACTTGACCTCCCAGCCCCAGAGTCCCTCCTTGTCCGTCGGGATCTCCGCGGCCAGTTGCCGGGCTGCTTGCGCCCGCTCCTCGTCGGAGAGACCGGCCGCTTCGGCGGCACTGTCGAACTTGATCGGGATAAGGGGTCGTCGGGCCGTGGCCTGAGGCTCTTCCTCGTCCTCCAGCAGGCCTTCCACCTCGGCCACCGTCCGACGGGATGTAGCAGCCTGGGCCTTCTGAGCCGCAGCTCCGAGAGAGAGCTTGAAGCGCTGCGGTTCCCGAGGGGCCTGGTTCCGAGTTTCCAGCTCTTCCGCCTGGCGCGCAAGGAAGTCGTCGGCCATACCACGGGCCTGCTCCCGTTGCTGGACAGACCGGGCCCGTTCGCGTTCTTCCGCCGCACGGTCTGCCTCGTCCATGCTGACCTCGCGGGCTCGGAATCCTGCCCGGCTACGTAGCCATGCACCGCGGTCGGCATAGTAGTCGTCCACCTTACGCGCAGCCTCGTTGTCGTCGTTCCAGTCTCTGTACCGCTTGTCCATTTCCTCACGAACTTCCTGCATCTTGGCCTCCTCTTCCTTGTCTCTCTTCTTTTCACGCTCCAAAGCAGCAGTTCGACTGCGTTCGCGGTTCAGCCAGCGTCGTTCCTGATCGAGGAACTGCTTCTCGAGCTCCGCTTCCTTTTTCTCCTGACGGCGACGCTCCAGCTCCTCATCGCTAGCATCTGATTCTTCTTCCTCACGATCAATATAAACAGTAGTAGCCCCGTTTATAGAACCACCGTTGACGAAAGACACACCCTTTTGGTAGTCTTTAGGAACCTGCACGCCAAAGCCCTTGGGGCCAGAAGGCGCGGTAGACACGCTGCGGTCCCGAGGGCCCAGCGGGACTCCATTGGCACCGGCAGCAGGTCCACTCGGGGCGGAAGGCGGAGGGGATGCCAGTCGGTTGAACCGTGTGCCTGCATTGCGGGCTCTCTCCATAGACTCGATCTCTTCCTCCCTCTTCAAACGCTCAATATCCCGACGGTTGCTGCGCTCACGGAAAGCGGCGATCTCTTTGGCGACGGTCTCTCTCATCTCGGGAGGAATATCGGAAAGTTCATCTTCGACTGTGATGGGAATGGTAACAACCTCCGCCCCCGTACCGTCGGCCTGGCCTTCTGAATCCTTCATGGCGGTGTCTCCCTCACGATCGATTGCTGAGACATCTTCCTTTTGAGTGGGGGAGGTAGGATGGCACAAGTCAGACAGGACGTTCGCAAGAGTACTGCGTGCAGCATCTAACCGCGACTGGCGCTCAGCAGGGTCTTGCTCGCCTCTGGTGGCTTCGTACTGCTCCAGATAAGTCAAGGAGCTTTCATCGACGACAACCTGATCTAATTAGCATAGTCATGTCTAGGATCCAGGGTCTGGCGTACCAGTAGTGTGCTCTTCTCCACCTCACGCTCTTCCTTGTCATCGCCTTCGGACGGTGTCTGTCTCTTCACAGGCACTTGCACGTCCTTTAGCACTTCCACCGCGGTACCTAGACTTTCGGGGTCCTCGTACTCTGCGAAACCGAACTTGCATGGCTTTTCGTCCGCATCCGTAGCGCGGATCCAGCGCCTGAGATTGCCTGCCGAACGGAGGATCTTCTCCACACCCTCATCGCCACCAACGCCCTCAGTAATTCCACCAACGAAGAGAGTCCGCACAATTTCCTCGCGCGTAGGGGGCTGCAGCTGCATCATCGCATCTCGAACGTTCTGACGCTGGGATTCCAGACTGGTCGAACCCAGACCTGCCCGTCTTCCCGGGGCCTCACTACCGCGTTCCTTGCTCGTATCTGGAGTGGCAGGTTTCGGTCCGGACGTACCAAGTCGAATTACGGGGGCGGAGAAGTTGATGTTGGGCATGTTCGGAGGGGGTTGGAAGTTGGGAGGGAAGCCTGCCGGTCGACCAGGCTGTTGGGCGTTTGCTGACTGCATCCCAGGGGGCGGAGTGGTTCCGGGGGCTACCATACCGGGAGGAGGAGCTATAAAGTTAGTAACAGACAGCAAATGGGGTATCGAAGAAATTATGGACTCACCCATGCCCGGGGGCGCACCAGGATAGGCGCCAAAGTCTGGAGGCCTGCCATAGAGACCGGGAGCTATAGAAGTTAGAATACATTTTTCATGTCCGTAAGGGTGCAAAGAATGCCATTCAACGAGGTGAGAGACGTACGCTGGTAAGGATTATACATTGCGACGGAACCGCAGCTTCAATAGCGATTGATCAGAGACGTCCCCAGGTACCGGAAAAATCTGAATAGTCGTGGAATTAGAGAAAGAGGGGTTATATCAAAAGTTCACTCAGTTCAGATTAAAAGATTCGCCCGTATAAGAGAGCGTAATCCTCGTCTAATCGGCGGGGAAGAGACGTTTGAGCAGATGAAGAAGATCGCGAGCTGCGGCGGAATCGCAGTTCGAGAAGAACCAGGTGGCCCGTGCGGACTGATCTTGGCAGCCCAGCAGTTCTTCCGCTCTCGCCTTATCCGTGCTGTTCTATCACCCAGCAGTCATTGGTAAACAGTACGCTCTACAATTGTGCAATGAAGCATTACTTGTGATTCCTTCTGTCTATGTGGAAGTCATTCTACGTTTTAAGTTTGCACGAGAATTCCAAGGTGCTAGGCATCAGCACTCCAAGTTGTTCCTGCCAGCATAGCTTAATGGCCTTGCCCTTTAGAAAATGATGTTTCAGGACTACTCCCTATGATACTGGCTCTATCTGATTATTTCCTGCAAAAATATTATCACATATATTCAGCAGAGCCTCACTCGACAGTGTCGGAGACTCCCCTGCCAGTAGCCTAGGGAAGGGGTGACAATATCCGCAATCAAGACAAGCAGCTACTCTATGCAGCACAAATTGTGGCAATTGCTGATAGTTCATAAGGCGCAGCAGGAATTGTTCGCGAAGGAAGATATTATTAATTGACAGAGCCTCTTCAAGCTTATGCAGCATCGAACAGCCTACTGCATGTGAATGCCTTTAAGTATCTCCAGCTTCGAAGTTGTCCAACTATGACCGTTGAATAGAATCTCGGATCAGGACAATAACACAGCAGCCCCATTAGGGGCACTTTCCTGTTCATAGCCTCCCTTCGGATCTAGACGTAATACTTGTCATTGTGTTGCCCTTTACCTAGTCGAATGGGCCAGTTCCGAATTCAACTGGCCGTTGAATCATCAGAGGAACGTTGGTTTTTTGCAGAGCCAGCAATTAGAGAAGAAGTGAGCTATGATTACGACAGAACAATATTCAATTGAATCCAGGGGTAAAAAATAAAAACAATAATAAGGGGTAGAATGGAGACATCGGTAAAGGTACAGCAGTAAACGCAACCGGTTAAAAGGGAAAGTATGGAACGATCTCGACCGAAGCTCCCGAGCCTTCGACAGATGATCTGGAAGACAGGACGTGGGGGTTGATAATAACACGGCGACCTTTTTCCGAGGGACTGTCAGTGACATACATATCTTTTGTAGCTAATGCTATCTCTACTATTGGGGTGTGGCCTTCTGTCCTGATAACGCAGGATGGCACTGCGTGCCCGGTGTGACCATGAAACCGGCTATTGTGATTCACCCTGGGGCAGAATGGCTAGAACTGTCTTGGTGGAGCCGGGTCAAGCATGATGATGATGAAGCTTCCCATGACGATGCGGCCGGTGAAACAGACAATAATGTCGCCGAGAACCACTGCTGCGAGACTACAAGGGTTGACAGAAGTTTCCGATAGCGAGGGTATACTGATGGCTTCCCGGGGGGTGGTGGCCACCAACAAGGTGTAGAAGTCTAGAAGAAAGTGATGACAAACAGGATCAACGCAAGACAGTGTTTTAGCAACGGAAATAAACGTTCAGCTGACCGGCAGAGGTTTCTGGCAAGGACAAATCGAAAGGCGCCCACCGGGGGAATGAATCTGCGTCACTTTGCTGGTTCTGGTGGATGCCCCACGGCAGCCCCTCCTACGGACCCCAACACGCCGGTTGACGACATACCTTGTCTTGTCTCTCTGCTCTTGTTGCTCTCCTCTCCCCTCCGCGACTCCCGCTCTCTAATTACTATTCTTCTTCCCCTTCAATTCTTCCCGGCTACCCCTCTTCCCTTTCGCTGCTTTCTTCTTCATTCCCTCCGAGTTTCATCTGTTTTTAAGTTTAAGGTGAGCATCTGCCCTATCCCAGCTCCATCTCAGCTTCGTCTTCACCAGTCCCCCTCTGTTTGTGCCCCGCGCTAACACTTTCCCGTCTTCGGTCAGAGCTCTATACCCATCCACCACAATGCCCAGCTTCTCGCAGGCCACCGAACTCTCCGCCTGGAAGGAGCTCCAGGAGCACCACAACTCCGTCGGACGCAACATTGTCCTCAAGGACTGTTTCCAGAAGGACCCCCAGCGCTTCGAGAAGTTCAGCCGCACCTTCAAGAACACCGTCGACAACTCCGAGGTCCTCTTCGACTTCTCCAAGAACTTCCTCACCGAGGAGACTCTGGCTCTGCTGGTCAAGCTGGCCAAGGAAGCCAATGTCGAGGAGCTCCGTGATGCCATGTTCAAGGGTGAGCACATCAACTTCACCGAAGACCGTGCCGTCTACCACGCCGCCCTGCGCAATGTCTCCAACGAGCCCATGCAGGTCAACGGAAAGAGCGTCGTTGAGGACGTCAACGCCGTTCTGGAGCACATGAAGGAGTTCACTGAGCAGGTGCGCAGTGGTGAGTGGAAGGGTTACACTGGCAAGAAGATCGACACCGTCATCAACATCGGTATCGGTGGTTCCGACCTGTAAGTCGGTCAATTGACGCTATCAAAGTCGAATGCCGTTACTAACCTCACAACTAGTGGCCCCGTCATGGTGACCGAGGCTCTGAAGCCCTACGGTGCCCCCGACATGAAGCTGCACTTCGTCTCCAACATTGATGGCACCCACATCGCTGAGGCCCTCAAGAACTCCAACCCCGAGACCACTCTCTTCCTGATCGCTTCCAAGACCTTCACCACCGCAGAGACCACCACCAACGCCAACACGGCGAAGAAGTGGTTCCTCGAGACTGCCAAGGAGGACTCTCACATTGCCAAGCACTTCGTGGCCCTGTCCACCAACGAGGAGGAGGTCACCAAGTTCGGCATTGACAAGAAGAACATGTTCGGTTTCGAGTCCTGGGTGGGTGGTCGTTACTCCGTCTGGAGCGCCATCGGCCTGTCCGTCGCTCTGTACATCGGTTACGACAACTTCCACCAGTTCTTGGCCGGTGCTCACGCCATGGACAAGCACTTCCGTGAGGCTCCTCTGGAGCAGAACATTCCCGTCCTCGGTGGTCTGCTGAGCGTGTGGTACAGCGACTTTTTCGGTGCCCAGACCCACCTGGTGGCCCCCTTCGACCAGTACCTGCACCGTTTCCCTGCCTACCTGCAGCAGCTCTCCATGGAGAGTAACGGCAAGGCCATCACCCGCACCGGCGAGTATGTCAAGTACACCACCGGCCCCATCCTCTTCGGTGAGCCCGCCACCAACGCCCAGCACAGCTTCTTCCAGCTGTTGCACCAGGGTACCAAGCTCATCCCCTCCGACTTCATCATGGCCGCCGAGTCGCACAACCCCGTTGAGGGTGGCAAGCACCAGCGCATGCTGGCTTCCAACTTCCTGGCCCAGTCTGAAGCTCTGATGGTCGGAAAGACCCCTGAGCAGGTCAAGGCCGAGGGTGCCCCTGAGAACCTGGTCTCTCACAAGACCTTCCTGGGCAACCGCCCGACGACCTCCATCCTGGCCCAGAAGATCACCCCCTCCACTCTGGGAGCTTTGATTACCTACTACGAGCACCTCACCTTCACCGAGGGTGCCATCTGGAACATCAACTCCTTCGACCAGTGGGGTGTGGAGCTGGGCAAGGTGCTTGCCAAGAAGATCCAGAAGGAGTTGGAGACCGCGGATGCCGGCTCGGACCACGATGCGTCGACCAGCGGTCTGCTGCTTGCCTTCAAGAAGAAGGCCAACCTGGCGTAAATTTTGGATACGAAAAGGGATTGATTAAGCAAAAAGAGTACATAGTCATTTTGATGAAGCCACGAGTGTCATCCTTAATTATGAGTTAGCAATGAGCTACTGTTGGGCATGTTGACCGTAGACAGTAAAGAACGTCATAAAGCAAAGATGTAGAAGCGCAGTCAGTAGCATTAAATCCACGGGCATCAACGTAGCAAGCTCGCATTGAACATGCAGTCCAAATAGACTCCAAGTCGTCACAGCGGAAACCAAAAAGGGTCCGTCTCCTTACCGCGGCGCCGACCACGCCGCTTCTCCTGACCATCAAAACCCACCTCCTACCTCGTCAGCGCGCGAAAATCCATTGCGCTGGCCGGCGAGAGCTCAAAATCAATTATTTATTTCTCCTATTATTCATAATGCCCGTTCCTGAAAGGGCACCCCTCCATCGGATCTATCACTATGGACTATTGAGTCTCCTCTTCCTCCACACATCCACCGCAGCGGGGAGATCCAGCAACGAGCAACGCGCAACAGCAAATCCAGGCTACACTTATGGCCAAGCTGTGCCAGTGACATGTCTGAACCGGACGATGTAAGCCTCTCTCCTCTCTTTCCATTCATAACCCCACCCAATAGTCTGTTTAAAGAACAACGTACTAACGCAATTGGCAACAGTGACTCCGGCGAACACGTAACGCCACCCACATCCACAATGACCCCAACCGCAAAACCTCAAACCAACTAACAAATCATACTGATAAAATAGATCACCGACCCCCTCGGCAACCTCCAATACATCCCCTTTCCAACATGCAACGAAACCTCCCAACCCTTATCCCTGCACTACGGCGTCGCCGAACAGACTCTAACATGCACCATTGCCTCCCTCCCCGATGAACTCTACCATCTCCTAGAGTACTACGTCCACTCGGACGTCCCCATGACATGTCGCGTCCCCACTGCGCCCCTTCTCTCTTCATCCTCTCCGGATATCGACATCATTGATACCATTGACGCCTCCGGCGAACAAGCCTACACGCCCATCACCTTCGCCATCCAGGGCACTCTGCAGCTAAGCCATTTGCACATATGGACGGATATGAACGTGCTTGTGCATAACATGGCTAGTACGGAGAAGAAGAAGAAGCGCAAGGACCCGGAATATGTTGTTGCGGGCACGGCGTACAGTGTGCCCGAGTTTGATAATCGTGGGGCGAGGGAGCCTTGGACGGAGGGACATGGGACGAAGGTTGTGAGGGGTGAGCCGTTGACGTTTCGGTTTAGTGTCAAGTGGGTGGAGGGGGGGAGGGGGATTGGGTGGCCTTCTTCTGATGGTGGGTATGGGGAGGAGGAGGGAAGTTGTGGGGGCTGGTTCTCCAGGTTGATGTTCTTTGGGTTTGCTGCGGCCGTTGGGGCTGTTGCGGCAGTTTATTGGGAGAGGGTGTATGGACGTGGACGGGGACGGGGAGAGGGAATTCTGGGTGTGACTGGTGGTGGTGGTAGGAAGGGGTTCGGGGCGAATGGGAATGGGGTGAGGATGAATGGGTATGGAGGGTATTCGCCTGCTGCTGTGGGAGGAACCGGTGGTGGTAGTAGTGTAGGAGGGTATGGGTATGGAGGGTATATGAGTGGGAAGAGGGATTGATGAGTGTATATATAGATGTATGATTGATGCTGACGACTTTGCCTGGATAGACGGAGATACAAACAAAAGCCAGATGCAGACGCAAGATGCAGATATACTACCATTCATGTAGATTCAAGACACATATAAAACCAATCAAAACACAAAGACATGCAGCAATACACATAGTATAATACACAATAATATGACCCTTTTATCCCACCCCATCCCTTCTATACAAACCCCTCCGGGGATAACAATAATTTACCACCCCTGCCCTCTAATCTTCTGAATCCTCTTAACCGTCGCCCCAAACGAATACTTGAACAAGTTCCTCCACCGCTTCATGCGCAACTGCTTCCTAACCATACCCTTCCTAACATGAAACTTCTGCTTCGCCAACGACTGCCTCATCTTATTCTGCGAAATAACCGTGCCCAGGGACCTCAACGCCGCAGGCAAATCCATCCCCCGTTCCGGCTCAACCGTCACCTGTCTTCCCAGCGTCGGACCAAGCTTCAGATCGATCTTGCGCAGGGATGTAGCGGTCCGCAGGCTGTCGGTCTCGGCGGAGAGGCCTACCGCGCGGGAGAGGGAGAGGCTGTCGTTGAAGGCGCGGGTAGTGGTGGTGCCGGAGGCAGCAGCGGGGGTGGGAGTGGTAGTGGTGGTGGTGTTGTTGAAGTTGAGCTTGTTGAGGATTTGGTCGAAGTCGGTGGGCTTTTGGGTTGGTGTGGAGGTTGAGGAGGGTTGTTGTGTTTGGCGAGCAGGGGATTGTGTGGTGTTGTTGTTCTTGTTGGATGGGGAGGAAGATTCCGAGGAGAAGCGCAGGCCAATTCGTGCTGCTGGGAGCTGGTTCTTGTAGAGGATCGATGTTGTTGGCCTCGACCGGAGGAGGCTGCGGGATAGGGCGCGCATGTCCATGGTGATGGTGGGTAGGATTCTTTGAATCCTAATCAATTGGTAGCTGTAGATGTGTGTTTCCCCCAGGGTATCACCGTCCTGGCCTGGCTGGAAGCTGTGGTGGAGGCGGACAGGCGTCGAGGGAATTGATGGATATGGATAAATCTCGCCGTTGCGTTGCGGATCGGAAATCTGCGGGCACGTGACTGTGGTTGATTCCGCCGTCGACTCCGCTTGACAGACTGTAGTATACGGACAGCGATCAGCTATCAAGGACTTAATTTCACTACCTGTAGTTCTGCAGAAGCAGAACATACAAATCCCTTTTTCTACACTTGACTTCTACCTGATTTCATACCCACCCTCATACAAAACCTACCCAAAATGTCCTCCATAACCATCGCAACCCTCCCCCGCATCAGCCGCGATGCCCTCTCAGCCCTCCTCCTCTCCACCTCCACGCCTAGCAAACTTGCTATCATCGATGTCCGTGACTCTGGTGCGTATACCCACCTATGAATTCTCATCCACTCACTCCAACCCCATTATTAATGAATGTTTATCCCAGACCACGTCGGCGGCCACATCACCACCTCCACCTGGGTCCCCAGCTCCTCATTAGACTACCGACTCCCCGAACTCATCCGCACCCTAGCGGACAAAGAGAAAGTTGTTTTCCACTGCGCGTTGAGCCAGCAGCGCGGGCCGTCTGCCGCGCTGCGGTATGCCAGGGAGCGCGAGCGTGTCCTCGGCGAGGAGGAGAGTAAGAAGCAGGAGGTGTATGTGCTTGAGGGTGGCTTCGTGCAGTGGCAGGAGAAGTATGGCCCTGATGAGAGGTTGACGGAGGCTTATGTAGAGGATATTTGGAGGGAGTATTAGTATCCCATTCTGTAGGGGGGGTTTGGCTTGGTGGTGATACCCATTTATATTTATTGTTCGTTCTTTTCACTGGTGGGTTGAGTTGGGTTGAATAGACGGTTGAAGAGTGAGGGATAGATAGATGCATGGTTGGCGCATTTAAGAATAAGACTCTATCATACATGTTGTTCTTTGGTTGATTGTCTACAAGTCTATAATATACACGTGGGCAGTGTCGGCAGCTACATCACAAGTCCGCCGCCGAATCCAATAGGTCGACGCTTGCCATCATTCTCTGGCACAATCGCCATCACCTTGTAGATCTTGCCCATGCTACCGCCGCCCTTCTCAACCAGTCTCTTCCACCCTGTCTCCAGCGTCTTACGCTTCTCTTCATCCTCGACCTTCTTCAGAAGTTGCTGCATGCGTTCCTCAATGCCCATCGCCTGCAGGAAATCACCCTGCTCGACCGGCCCATGCACCTCCACGCCCTCACTCGCCTCGATGGCCGCCTCCGCCAACGCCGTAAAGTCCACATCAGCACTGACATCCACCTGTCCCGGCGACGACAGCGGCGGCACGTTCTTGTGCTCCTGGATACCGCGCAGCGAGTTGATCGGGATGGTATTGAGAGTACCGTAGTCCATGATCAGGGCAGCACCGGAGGACACGCGCTTCGCGGGAGCCGGCGCAGAAGCAGCAGCGCCCTTTGTGGCCGTGCGGGGCGGCTCTGACGCACCGCCGATGCGGCGCGCAAAGTCAGCTGCGTAGATGCGACTCTCGGGGCTGACTTCAATGGTGGATCCCGGCTGGGATTTGAGGGCGCGGTAGCGCGGAGAGATCTCCGGGATAACTAGAGAGGAAGGCGTCGATGCTTTGGCGAGAGTGAGCTTGAACTCGGGCTCGCCTTCGATGTTCTCCTCCACGGCTTTCGGGTTCAAGGTGACCATGATCTCGCGCCATTGGGGAGTGTTGGCTGGTTTCAAGGGCTGGTGTAGTTTCGCTGGACCGGTGGGAGTCATGATTTCCTTCTGTTCGGGCTGGTTCTCTGGAGAGGGAGGGATGGATTCGAAGGCGTGGATGGGGAGAGCATCGAAGAATTCGTGGGCGAATATGAAGGGGGTCTTTTCTTCTTCTGTAGTGCAATATGTCAGCCGGGTGTTCATACGCATGTATGCTATTCATCTTTCTCACCATGCGGTAACAGTCGAATATCCTCCACCCAAACGATCGGAACATCGAAGTACTTGCATGTACTCTTGTGTCCGATATCTGTCGCCTCCATGACTGCATCGCCGCAGAGCAATTTCTTCTGTACTTCCCGCAGCGTAGCACTAGCTTCCACCAAATATATCGCCTCCATACTCGACGAGAACATCTTGAAGTTCCGGAAAGTCTACCTCCGTCCGTATCAGTAACTTTAGGGTGTAGCAAGTCAGGGACAGCCAGAAAACTCACTCGCAGCATATCATCCATCAATGTGCCCTTCCCCGGTCCAACTTCCATCAATTGCACTCCGCTGCGCTTCCGTCCCTGCGCCATCCATTCCGCAATTGTCCAGATCCCCACCAGTTCTCCGAATACCTGCGATATCTCGGGGGAGGTGACGAAATCACCCTTCTTGCCGAATACTGCGCCGTGTCCTTCTGGTCGAGTCGTGTAGTAGCCTCCTTCGGGGTTTGTGAGAACCTGGCGCATAAAGGCGGCGATGGGAACGGGTCCGGTTACCTGGTAGAGAGCTGATTAGATTAGGTTCCAGTATGATGGGAGGAGAGTTGTACTTTGATCGCATTGGCAAGAGTCTGCGCTAGCGGTGTCGACCATTTTCTTGTTTCAGAGGTAGATGTGGAAGATGCGGGTGTAGTTGAGGACCATCGTTGCGATTTGAGGAAGAGGGTCTGGTTGGGATGTTTTCTGAGGAGCTGCCTCACGGCGCGCCTCGTTGCCTGGTTCATCTCGATATTGCTCGAAGGAGAGTAGCGAGCTATTTCATATGTTTAATTGGTATGATAATGCTAGGGAGACCCTCATTTGAAGGGTTCAAATGCAACATCCAGCAAATGTTCCTGATGAAGCTCTCCAACTTCTCCGCAAAACTTCCGCACACGTGATTGCGTTCTTATCATATCAGCTGCCGATAATCCGCTCCAGTCAGCGTTTCTATCTGTCTACGTCCAAACTGAAGTCTTCGTTCGGTAGCAATGTATTCCTTCGTATCGTACAGGTCTCCATCCAGTGACAAGCCAAGGTAACTACAGGACCATGTAATCCGTAAAGAAGTAGATCCATCCTGCCTGATCGCAGGACGGCCTGTATCCCACAACGCTTTTTCCGACTGAAACCGCCGAATGGCTACATTACCGCCTGCCTAGGTTTCTTTGGTTCTGCTGTGGTGCATCAACCATCATCTGATCGCTATAAAGGCCAGTTTCTTGAGTATTCTGTGCTCCGCCCCTTGCCTTCCGGTTACCCCGGTTTCTGCGATTGTTCCCCCTGGGTGGGCCTTGGCCAGACTGGTTCTGATCATTGAATCCCCACCGTCCGTCCTGGACAGCTGCATCAGCCAAGCGATGAGAGCGGCGATCGCGGTCCGCTTGCTCACGGAGGTCACTGAAAGATTGGGAGTTCTGTACGGCGGGCTGGGCATTGGAGCGCTCGAACAAATCGGGGTTCGCAGGTTGCTTTAGGTGGAATGATAGAATCCGACCATCGGCCTGATCAATTAGTATTGTTCACTGAAGAAATCGCGACGAGCAAGCCTACCCTCTGGTTGTGAAAGTTGGCAACGGCACTCTCTGCGGCCTGTCTCTCTGCAAATGTAATCTCCGCTGTGACAACAGGATGTTGCGAAGTGACCCAGCAGCGTAATATCCGGCCCGAAACAGGTTCCAGAGCTGATTGAATATCGGCTGCCGTAGTCCCTGGCGCGAAGTTGCTACCGACGACGACAAACGGTCCGGATCCTTTGCCTTTGATCGTCAATCCACCTCCGTTCCGCACGTTAGCCTGGCCGCTCTCGGGATTGAGTGCAGAAAGGAGACGGTTTTCGTCAGGGCGGCGCTTGTTCGATGGCCTTGCGCTCTGTCGGGCACCTTGTCGCGCGGGCGCTGGGATTGGAGGGGTTGTTTTGGCCGGTAGAGTAGCCGATACGGAGCGCTGGATTGAGCGATATATCGAGTCAGTATTGCGACAAGAATGAGCAGACTTGCATAGGTCCTTATTGTCCTCACCTTCGCTACTCCAATCCGACTTGCCAAGCTGCCCGGTTTCACATTCTGCGTCTTCCCTGTCGGTTTCGTAGCCGTGTTGGTCGTTTTCTTCTTGCTCAGGAGCTGGTTCGCTAATTCTTCGTTGCGTCTTCTCTTGCGATCTGAATCAAGCCTGTTAATCTCAAGCGCTCTGCATGGGTGAGTCGGGGAATGGCGGTCATACCGGCTTGGATGATCGCATCGAAGGAGACGGCATCCTGGCTCGCGGCCATGGCGGTAGAGACTTGGGGACTGGAAGTGAGGGTCAAATAAAGATCAAGCTAAAACTATTAATATATAGAGTCAATTGAGCTTCCAATGTAGCTTGTACACGAATGGTGAAGATCTGTCGGGTGCTTGAACTGGTGACAGCAGGAGGAGCTGACAGAACGGAAGGAATTCGAGCTCCGCCATTAGCTCCGCTCCCGTCATCTCGCCCGCCGCAGACTTTCTGTATGCATCGCTGCTGTACTGGGCTCCATTCTAGACTTGATCAAGCATGAACTTCGCAGTATAGTGAATTAAGTACCAGACCTCCTAGTACTCTTAAAGTGAATCCTCCAGTGACTGCAAAAGAGCCGACCGCTTGGCCATCTTGTGAAAGACTGGAGTCCCAAGCCGGGCAGTTTAGAACGCGTCTCACTCATACTTCACCAAGGTAGAACCACTGCGAGTAGTTTATGTGAGACATAACTATCACTCTAAGCTCAGTATAGCAGTATCTACAGAGTCCTTGATTTCTTAAAGAGCGTACTTGCCTTTGATATTTCCTCACAATCGCCAGTGCAACCCATTTTCAACCACTGCATAGTGCCTGCCCTGTGCCGGGTCACAATGCTCACATACGTAAATCTTGACACGATATCTCTAAGCAACTCTAGGCCAGCCTACTAGCAAAGATGAAGGACACATATGGCGAATGAAGTAACACCGTCAAACCTCCTAAAGGCGATGGCGCGACCAGCTTCAACGACTGTGAGTACTTTCGTCGCGGCGCAAACACTTGCAATCGATGAAACGAAAGACATCGGAGATTTTGTGAGCACAGAAGATGAAGAACTCGAGATCGAAGTGACTGCTGAGCCTTGGGGAAAGTATGATCCCACGGAATTGCGAGAAGTTTTCTATCCTATTCACCTTGGAGAGATTCTCAATGAAAGAGATCTGAGCACAAACTCGGTGCTGGTAGTTTTGCTACTGCCTGGATGGCCCATAACCTCCCGGGGAAAAAAAAAAGGATGTTGCTGTCAAAGTTTTGTCCGCTGGCGACTCGGTGGACATCGAGCTACGCATACAGAATGAAATCGTTCGCAGCGTGCAGGATAGGTCCCATCTTGTGACATATCTGGACACTTTTCTACTAAAGGGAAACCCATTGTCAGCATAGGGCTATGGTATTTCCTATGATGGGGCCGTGCCTTGACCATTATATAGTGTCAACATTCGCTATCAGTACTCGCATGTCAGCTGCGAAGCAATTGCTAAAGGCGTTGGAAGCCCCTCGCAACGCTGGGATTATGCACCGCGGTAAGTTGCCCTACACATCTCATATCGTATTTATCTGATGAATAGTCGTCAAGAATTGAGCGATAATAACTGCATCTGGGAAATAGCGCCTCTTCACAATCTTAGCAGGAGTGCTAAATGTGAAGTACTCACTCCGCCACTAAAGCAACGCATTACAGATGTCAAGCTCTAGAAGTCTGGAGAGTTGGTACGGGCCATCGAGGTCCCTGCAAACTTACGCACAGAAGATTTTTATCTTGGTGACTTCGGTCTGGTCATGAAAGTCGGCGACTCCGTGGCTCAACCCGGCTATCCACCTTTGGAATTTTGCTCCCCGGAGCGTCTTCATGGGAAAGACCCAAGCTTTGCTTGCGACATGTGGAGCTACATGATCATTTCGTTCATTTACCAGGGGCATCCACCGTTCCATGGTTGATTTAGAGACGAAGTATTGACAACTACAACTATCTTTCTGGGTCTCTTGCCAGAGAGATGAAAGGATCATACATTCATGCTGATGCTCAGGATTCCTGGTATGATCAGAATCAAACGCCTAGTACAAAGAAGACCCTCGCATCAGAGTTCGCACGTCTTTCAACCCGATGCCGATCCGGCTGAACGAGAACTTGTGCTCTCCGTTATGCAAGAAGGTATTTATATACTCACCCGAGGAGCGTCTGACTGCAACATAACTTCTGGCCGATCCTTCATTCAAAGCTCTTATGGGCAGATATGGTTGTTGATAGTCTGATATGAGTTGTGACCCGATGGACTTTGCTCTTTCATCTCGGGTCTCAGGCCTAGCATACTGGGGTACCTTCAGAGGAAGCGCTGGACTTTTAATATTCTTCCTAGCACTCTGTTTTAAGTGCTCTTAGTTATAGCTTGATTACCGGTAGCATGGCTCTCCAACTTAATGGACTGAGCTTCACGGTATCACCTTGTACTACCTATTATCCATTAGCCACAGACTGCGTCGAGCTCATTCACCACAACCTTCATGGTACGTTGCGGAAACTGCCACCATGTAATCATAACCCGGGCTTTGATGAGGACCGGCCAATACTATTGCCGCTTCAGGACTAGTGTTCACTTCAGATACTGAGCTGGTCCTTGTTAAGAGTCTCCCTACATTCACAGAGATGTCAGGAAGAGCTACTTTATCTATGGATATCATGTGGCCTCTCTGGAAGACTGTGAGCATCCTTGGCTGGGGCAAGCGGCTGGGACATGCCGCAAAATGCTTCATGTATATGCGACTAGTAATAGTAGTATATGTTCCGGAAGAAGTTCTAAGTTCATATCTACTTTGTACCACTGGTGATACTCGTGTTAGCAGTGATAATACTAGGGAGTTGCTACCGCCACACCCTCCGCCTATTTGTGTAGGTAATGCTTGCTTCTAAAGCCCCTGCTGTTTTAATCCATGTCGCTGCCTGGACAAGACTATTTGTGTAAGGCATCCGATTGACATATCAGGTACCATCTCGGGGCCTCAAGCAGGATCTTAATCCAATGGGATAACGGTAGGCTTTGAATTTCTGCATATACTAAAAAACAAGCTCTATCTTTTGGCGTAGGCGGAGCGCAGGCAAAGGGCAGGTGGAGGGTACTTGGGCAGAGGGTGTGGCATAAGCGAAGGCTGGTGTGGCGGTGGCAGCTCCCCAATACTATTCATTGTTCAGCAACTGTCAGCTATCAGACACACCTTCGTATAAAGGATAATACGAGTCATTAATGACTTACCTTCAGCTGCAGCTTAACGAGCCTGACCTTCTGAATATCACTGCAAACAAGAAGCTTGTTTCGCCAGCACAACCTTAAAGCTTGAACAATCTGGGGTGCTCATCACTCAGACTTCACCTCTGATGCGAGAGAAGCATCATTACGAAACTGAAATAGTACTTACAGTAATGACCTATTGAGGGGCCAATCAAAGTATACTTCCGACACTTTGTTTGCACATTCACAGCCGTGATATTTCAGGAAACCGCCATGCAGGTAATACAGGCAGAGAAGCAGCCACTCACTTCAATGCCTGCCTTGTCCAACATTGCAAATGCACCCGGCATGATCCGTCTCGGATGTACTTTGGAATCGCCTGCTGCTGATTATTTACTCTCTGTGGACCCCACTGTCCAGATCATTCTTCCGCGAAGTATCTTTCTGTGCAACTTCTCTTCGGAGCTTCTGATTCACTGAGTCAATATCAGGGACTAGAACCGCGCAGCCATGAAACCTGAGGGTTCAGGCAGTGGCGGAAACAGACGTCGCCAGTCGTTGTCGTTCTCGTCTCTTCGCCCGTTTAGGTAGGTGAACCATACGATCCTTCAAGATAGCAAGCTGACAGATGGCATCAAGGACTAGAAGACCATCGACACCTCCCACTTGTGAAGAAAGTGCCCACTACCCCGTCTTCGATCCGCGAAACCCGCGGCACAACCCTTCACTTGCGCAGGGTGACTACTATCCAGCTGGGCCCTCAAATCCTTCGAGGTCGGTTCGCTGGATGCAAAGCTTGCACAAAAAGTCCATTCGAAATTCGGGTCTTCTTTCCTTCCGGCCCGGGTTTCGCAGACGTCCCATTCCAGCAAGCCATAGTGATGATATACCTAGCCTTTGGTCGTCCACAGATTCCAAGGGCTCCTCAGACCAGCAGGGCACGCTCTACTCGTCAACTGTGTCAGAAGCTAGTACAGAGGAAGATGTTGAATTTGGTACTGACCTACAGCGCATCAGCTGCAACTACCCGCCTGAGGCGGATGGCAACATGGACAGGTATCTACGAAGTCTGCCGGGCCAACTTGTATGGGAAGATGGTACAGTCTCCTCAGAGTCAACCGTTGTGCCTCATCGGGAAACTGGGGAGTCTCTTAATTTGAGGTTCTCAAATGCTCAATCGTCAAAGCCGTCTAACAATAAAGATATTGGAACGGAGTCTCCTAATGTGGCGTCTACAGATGGCACCGGGGGAGACAACTCTCAGCCAATGGATCCGACCTCACCCTCCCGCAACCCTAGCGAGTCGTACTTTTCGCAAGCAGCAGGTAGTGAGACCGGGGGTCTGTGCATCACAGCTCCTGTTCCATCCAACAGTGGCACTCCCGAGCCACAGTTGCCATCTGGAACAGTCGATAGTGACAGGGATGGTGCAGCCAGCGCGAGCAGACCAAGCAATCTTTCGGTGCCAATCATCGAAACTGGCAGCTCCAGACCCGTTGGGACGAGCGCTAACATGACATCCTACGTCTCAAACTCACAAATTACGGATGCTGAGTTGGCTATAGAGTCTTTGGAGCTGTGCCAAAAGCTAGAGTTGGGTGAAAACCACGATAGAGAGCGGGACGTGACACACGAAGCTTGCGAGATTGCTGGACATTCAGCCAGTCACTCACCAGGGGCAGTGGATTCGACCAACAGCCACTCCCCGGCAACGCCATCAACTGGATTCCTCGAGTTGTCGAATCATGGTGGTGACATACCTCGCATTACCATTGATATGCGCGTTACTTCAGGACAGGTGCAGGAGGGAGCCGGTAATCGCACTGTTCGCTGCAATGATTCGACAGAAAATATCCCCTTAATCCCGGCTAGAGCAGAGGATCGTCTGAGTGAACATAGTGCCGATGCTTCGGTCTTGCGCAGCCAATCGTCTCAGGACGACCTGGCGTCGCTGCTAGCATTGCGAGACGAGTACTTCCTAGTGGACAAATCCAACGATCTCCGTCCGGATAGGGGGAACAATGCCACCAAAGCGGAGCGAAGCTTCAGCGGTGATGGGTGCTTGTACAGTGGGCCAGGGCTCGACCGCAACTCGTCGACCAGAGTGCGTGATATCCCCGAGATCATTGGCCCGCGCACGCCCGTCCAGGTACGTGGCACTCGGCCGTTCCGACGCGAGTATAACACCAGCGATTCGGACGAGTACCTTATGACATATCCGGCTATCGACAGACACTACTTTTCGTGAGTCCATGCTGACGTGAGTTATGTCGACACTGCCTTCTTTTCGCTTTATGAGTTACCTAACCTGTGACGTTCTTTATCACACCTTGCTTGTTCAGTTTGGAAGTGTATCTTAAATCATACCTCCAGGTATTTTGGATATCGAGACGTCTCGCTCCAAAGCCTGAATCACACGAGGTTCTATATGCACATTACAAGACATTAAAGCCGGCTCCCTACTAGCCCAGCCGTAGCGTAAACCCAGCCCCCTGTTCCCCCGTCTCCCCACCACTCTGACCCCCAAACACACTCGCAAAGTCCAGCTTCGGAGCCTCCTGCCCCCGCTTCGGCGCCTCGGGAGTCTCCCGCCGTCTGCGCTTCTCCATGCCCGCCTTGGATGGAAATGTCGGGAACATCTCCTTCGGCTTCGGCCGAGGATCCTCCTTGAAATAGCGATGTGCCAGACACTCCTTCGTCGACATCCGCACACCCGGATTCAACGCCAGCAGCGACGAGAGCAGATGTAGCCCGGCATTGGTCAAAAACGGGAACTTGGTCCTCGGCAGTAGAGGCGGGTTTCCGCCCACCGCAGACGTAGTAGGCGGCAGTCGTAGTGACTTGGCATTTGGTAATGATCTGAACTCAGGCCAGATCTGGGGTGTGGGGGGACCGGTGAGGGCGAATATCTAAGCCACATCCATAGTCAGTCAGCAAATTCACTTTCTTCCTACTATTGTTGATGATGTTTGTAAAGATGGGAAGAGGGTGGGGTGGTGTATATACCTTCGAAACCTGATCCACCTCATTCTTGCCCTGCAACAACGGCTCCTTCGTCAACAACTCCCCCATAATACACCCCACACTCCACATATCGATCTCAGTGCCGTATTTCTCTGCTCCCAGGAGGAGTTCCGGGGACCGATACCAGAGGGTCACGACGAGCTGGGTGAGTTTCGGAGGCGGATCGCCGTAGTAACGGGCCATGCCGAAGTCAGCGATTTTGAGCTCGCCGCGGTTGTTGAACAGGAGGTTGGAGGTTTTGAGGTCGCGGTGCATGATCCATTGGTCGTGGAGGAAGTTGAGGCCCGAGAGGAGTTGGAGGAGGAGGGTTTTGATTTCGGAGGGCAGAAACGGTTCGGGCATATCGTCGAGGAGGGTTTTGAGGTCGTGTTCGTGGAAGTCCATTACTAGGTAGACTCTATGGATTTGTTAGTTGGGTTGGAGGGATAGGGAGGGAGGGGGAGGGAGGTAGGTGTACTCGTCTAATTTCGTGCCTGTTACTACTTCCCGTAGGTAAACTACGTTCTGGTGTCGGGCTTCGAGGAGGGTTTGGATCTCGCGGAGTCCCGTTACGGGGAAGCCGTCCGGGGAGTTGTCCATCTTGAGTTTCTTGAGGGCTACTACTTCGCCCGTGGTTATATCTTTGGCGCGGCTGACGAAGCCGTAGGAGCCTTCTTCGATGTGGTTGAGGCGTTCGAAGTTGGTGACGTTTCGACAGGGTCCCCATTCTTGGGTTGGGAAGGTGAGGATGTTGGGTTCATTGTTGGCTGTGGTGGTGGTGGTGTTGTTAGATAGTGTTTGTTGTTGTTGTTGTTCTGGGATGTGATCGTTTGATAGACGGCGGCGCTTGGTGGGCGGTGCACTGCTATCTGTCTCAGCTTGTTGAGCTTGGAGCTTGGCTTGCTCGTCCAGCTGGCGCTGTTTTTCGGCTTTGGCGCGTCGCTTTTCTTCCTTTTCGCGCTTGCGCTGGGCGAGGATGGCTTCCGTTTCGGGGTCGTCGTCGGTGGCCCATCTGGATTTGGAGGACATGCTGCGATTGCCAGGATTGGCGTGGAGCGAATGACAATTGGATGGATGGGATTGTGGAGAGAGTTGCCGGATGCAAAGCAGCAGCTGTAGACAAGCTGGACGCGGACGGAATTGCGGCGAGACAGCGATGGTTGATTGGTCGGATGACGCTATCGGCGAGAGTAGAGTGACTAAGCCCGATTGGGTTGATTTCAAAGCGTCCCCGCCTCGTCCCGCATCACTACATTCGAGGGGCATTTCTTCCATAGGAATCCACGGCTTCTCTTCCTTTTTTGCTTACTTTCTACGTGACTCACATGCGCATTGGTTTTGTAGTACTTTCTATACAGACAAAATGATTGAACCGTTTCAGGTGGGCTCTTGCCAGGGTTGACGATGCATCGTCGTGAGGGGAATGCCTAACTAATCGCTTAGACTACCTTTGCGGTCCCGATGACCTGCGAAGGCTGCGTCAAGGATGTTTCTGCATCGCTGAAGAAGTTGGAGGGTAGGCGCATCCACATTGCAACCCTGTGCTCGAGCTGACCGGTCAGGCATCAACAAGGTCGAGGCAAACCTTAAGGACCAGCTAGTCTTCATCGAGGGGACGGCACCACCCAGCTCGATTGTCTCCGCTATCCAAGCTACGGGACGGGATGCCATTCTACGAGGCAGTGGCACCTCCAACAGTATGTCTATCACCTGCCTATCCCAGGCAGTACACCGAGGCTGATGGCACCTTTTGCAGGTTCCGCGGTGTGTATCTTGGAAACCCACTCGAATAGCGTCTCCAACAAGATCCGCGGGCTGGCGCGCATGGTCCAGGTGTCCTCCAACATGACCCTGGTCGACCTGACGATCAACGGCCTTACTCCCGGCAAGTATTATGCCACGGTACGCGACACAGGAGATATCTCGCAGGGTGCTGGATCCACCGGAGGCATTTGGGAGGCCGTCAAGGCTAAAGTGCTGGGCTCCGAGCCAGTCAAGGAACCCCGCGGCATTTTTGGGTCGGTCGAAGTGAACGACAAGGGCCGGGGCAATGTATTTTTGGATCGCCCGGTAGCGGTGTGGGAGATGATTGGGCGCAGTATGGTAGTGTCGAAGAGCCAGGAGGGGCCCTTTCGACAGGAAGACCCTGACACTCTAGTGGGAGTGATCGCTCGAAGCGCGGGGGTGTGGGATAATGACAAGATGGTGTGTTCCTGCTCCGGGAAGAATGTGTGGCAGGAGCGGCAGGAGCAGGTGGCCCAGGGCATGGCCTAGAGGGGAAACAGAGGAGGGAAATGAGGACGTGGTTGGAGGAAGCTAGACTGGCGGGTGTGTCTATGTATAGCAAGCAGTCCGGTCAGTGGTTAGAAGTGTGCATAGTACTAGGGATAGGATACCCACGATCGATGATCGATCAGCCCTGAGATAAGGAATACGAGCAAGCATGAAGAGTGACGATAATCTAGCGTGCTGCCGAACTTTTAAATAGAAACGCGTGGGCGAGGGGTTTCCAGAAATAGCCACCAGGCCAGGGAACCTAGTTGCATCACCGGTAGTTGGTATTAAGTGGTGGTTGGTGATGGGGAGATGGCGATGGGGGATGAGGATGGGACGAGGATCCAATAGTAGACCCCCCGGACTCAGGTGACCGACGAGTATGCAGGAGAGCTGCACGACAGAGCGACTAGTTCGGTGGACTACGGTGCCTCGCAGCTAAAGATAGGATAGGCCAGCCAGCGGCGTCTACAGGACTAGTACTAGTTGTAGTCTAGTCACAACGGTCGTCGAGGGGTTGATGAAGGCGGGAGAAGCGAAGAAAAAAAGGATAAAAAAAGAGATGGTTGGCTGACTAGCTGATTAGCTGATTAGTTGGTTAGTGAATAAATAATGCTGGTGATTATTGCACCAACCGCGAGGGACCATCTGCGAGGGTCGGAGGGGGACCCCAGGCAGGAAATCGGTACCGAAGTGAGTTCGGCCATTTCGACCTGCAAGCGCCGTGGCGGGGACACCCAAAAGTTAATCATCCCCTGAGAGTGGAAAAAAGAAAAGGATTGGGACAACGTGATGCTGATTTTGAAGCCGACGGTGATGGATTTTGATTTGCCCTGGTTATTTTCTTTTCCCTCCTGTCCCGAAGGTCCCTTTGTTTGGTTGGTATCATACTGTGTATGTCCATATGTCCATCTACTAGTAGGGAGATTGATTGATTGATTGATTGATTGACTGATTGAATTCTTCAGTGACATCGGAGATTGCCCACATTCCCCACTCCGCATGGGTGCGGAACGGGCCTTTGACCCATTCCAGCCTAACATTTCCAGTCTTTTCAACCATGGCTGCTGGCAAGGGGGATGATAGTAAGGTAGTATTGCAATCTGTTTGTAAATTAAATGGTATTAAATCTTGATGGTATTGTGTACCTCCGAAGAAAGACTACTCAGAGTGTATGTAAGTAATGGAGTACTGTAAGGTACGGGCGTCAACTGAAAAAAGAACCCCGACCAGCAGCCAATCAAGGGAGAAGAGATGGATCTTGGCTGCACTGTGATGAAGTGCCAACCCCCTGCAGGAGCCAATGATCATCACGCACACCGGATTGGCATCCTGGGCACTGACCAGGGTGGGAGTTTGGATCAGCCATTCACCCGCCAGTTACCCCCTCGGGCGTTACGAACGGGGCAGCTGTGACAGTTCCTGTTTCTTTCATCACCCAGTCAGTCAGTCATTCATTCATTCATTCATTCTATTCTACTCTTTGTAAGAACGTAAGTATCCAACTTGGCTACACCGACTGACCAGACAAGCTTATACTCGTCTCCGACTATTATTGCTTCCCCCTCCCCATCCATGCCCGATGCTATGCCTAAGTGCCTTCGATCTACTGCTGTTCACCCCTCCCCGGTCCTCTCCATCTTGACCGGCATGACGGTCACCATCTACTACTACTACTACTGCTAATGTTACTGTTACTGTTACTGCTACTTCTGCTGCGAGACTAACTAGCTTCCCTGTCGGCTGCATCTTCTCTGCACGCTAATCCCACCCCCTTCCCTGCTTCTTCCTTTTTGGCATTTTCATGTGGATTTGACTTCTTCCATCGCGATCCGTACCTCTTTCTTTCCCGTCCCGCTGGATTTCTATTATCTCAGGGTGCACACACCACAAACCCAGAAAATCAATCGGCAAACTCTAGAAACAGACCCGTTTTTACGAATCTCTGACAATCCTTCCCTCGAATCACCTCACATTGCCCGTGCTCCCCTCATCCCATCACACATCACATCCAGCCAACGGCCCTCCTTGCGTCTTGGCTGGTCTCCGGTCTCTTTTAGCGGCTGGGTCGCTGGATCCGTGATCTAATTATATATCCGATCCAACTCTCGGCTCTCGACGCTTGGATAGTGCGCATGGTCTATCACTCCTTCACCGTGGTTATCGCTCTCTCGACTTGCAGCCACACCGACCTGCCGCGTGCCGACCCCAACCGGCTTACCCTCGATTGGATTCCCTTTACGGCATCGTCCCAGTCGACTCGGTGCCCCTCGTCACATCCCTGCTCCAGCGTGGCCAGGACCCAGCCATTGCGTCTTGGCCATAGCCAGTCGCATACATATACACTCGCGGGTTGCTGCGGCGTCTCGCCTCGCCCAAGTCAACTAGGCCAGTGGCCGTGCTACGGACAACTTGACCATGTCCTTGAAGCAGGTACGTATCCCCGCAACTAGGGTTTAGGGTGATGGCTAATGAGACTAGGAAATTGAGACCTGGGTACAGGCCCTAGACCACTACGATAACCAGGAATATGATGAAGCTCTTAGGGTCTTTGGTGCGATTGCAGAGACCTCCAAGATCCTCTTCAACTGCGGGGTCATCTATGCCACATTAGGAGAGCATGAACGAGCTGTATGACACCCCGACCATCTGCCTGGACGTTACTGACGACGAGGAACAGGTTGATTGCTACCAGCGGGCTGTTGGCCTGGATCAGTACCTGGCTATTGCCTACTTCCAAGAGGGAGTGTCCAACTTCCTTCTGGGGGACTTTGAGGAGGCATTGGCTAATTTCAATGACACGCTGCTCTACCTCCGGGGCAACACTTCCATCGACTACGAGCAGTTGGGCTTGAAGTTCCGGCTGTTCTCCTGTGAGGTGTTGTTCAATCGGGGCCTGTGCTATATTTACCTGCAGCAAATGGGCCCTGGCATGCAAGACCTGCAATACGCATCAAAAGAGAAGGTCACGCCCGACCACGATGTGATCGACGATGCCATTCGTGAACAAGCGGCGGTAGGTCAGCTTCCTCTTGTGAGGGTGATGGTACTGACGGATTAGGGCTACACGGTCTTTTCGATTCCGGTTGGGGTGGTGTACCGACCCAACGAGGCCAAGGTAAAGAACCTCAAGGCGAAAGACTACCTGGGCAAGTCCCGGTTGATTGCCGCGTCCGAGCGCAGCAGCATGCCGTCCGCCGCCAGCGACGACCTCAAGCGGACCATGTCCATGCTGGACCACCGCAAGCCAGAGACGCTGCCGTTTGCCACGTCGCACCTGGTGCATAAGAACCTGCAGAGTCGGAGCCGTCAGCAATCGGAGCCGCCTCTGAACCGTAATCTCTTCCCTCCTACTCCCCCGCCGGACGCAGACAAGGCGAGTACCAACAGCTCCACAGGTAATCTCGCGATGAACAGTCGACCGGGCTCCATCCGGGCAGCGCGGCCGCCCCGGCTCGACCTGGAACGGCCGGCCAACACCGCGGGCCACAGTACCGAAACGCTGGTCGACAAGCCGCGGATCGGCACGACGCGCACGGCGTCCGAGTCGCGGGCAGGTCCGGGTCGACCGGGGCCGGGGCCGCGAGGGCCGGGCGAGTCCCACGGCCATCGACGAGGCATGAGTGACACGGGCTTTGCCCCGACGGTGAGCCCGGAGGAGACGTACTCGGGTACCCGATCGATGCCAGCGGGAGCCAGCTGGCGCCGTCAGCAAGAACGGTATATTGACGAGCAGGAAGAGTATGCCAGTGATGCGTACGAGGACCACGGGCCGGACGGTGAGTTTGAGATCATGGGGACGCGGCCACAGGCGTCCCCGAACCGGGGATCGCGGCGGGGGACGTCACGGCGGCCAGAGGTGCGCAAGTTCCGGGTGAAGGCGCATTCACGAGAAGATACACGGTACATCATGATGGAACCGACGATTGAGTTTAGAGAGTTTGAGAGTCGGATTCGCGACAAGTTTGGATTCCGCACGCTGCTGCGAATCCGCATGCAGGACGACGGGGACATGATTACGATGGTGGACCAGGAGGATCTAGACTTGTTGATGGCAGGATCGCGCGAGATGGCACGACGAGAGGGAAGCGAGATGGGGAAGATGGAGGTATGCCCACTCTCTGTTAAGAAGAAAAGTAAGACATCATGCTAACCAATGACAAGATATGGGTTGAGGAGCGAGGCGTGATTTAGGATTGCATTAGCGTACACCCTGGAGTTTGGTCGGATATGGTATGGTTGTATGGTTGTATGGATGATATGAATTATGACAATGCATAAAACACGTAAGCATACATCACGTGATATACGTAGCTCTCCTCCGTAATGTAGATGCTCCATACATGCCAGCTCGACACCAACAAAGCCGCCCCGACCACAAACCACGATAGTATAGCAACACCCCCAAAATGACCGACCTCACCCCAACATTCTCCGAGCTGCTGCGCAGCAAATCCCCCTCTTCGAAACTCTCCACAGGCTACATGACCACCGAAATCGCCGACGAATTCCTCAAAGAAGCCTACCGAATTGTACTTCCCACCATCATTACCCTCCACCCTCACTCAGATACTAACAACCATCCCAATTAAATTAAACAGAATAACCATATAACATCCTTACTATCCTACCTCCACACAATCCGCCCCTCCTACCTCTCCCTCACCACAAAACCCACCACCAAACAACAACACCAACACCAACAACCAGAGATCCTAGACGACACCGCCCGCGACACCATCACCACCACCACCTCGACCCTCCTATCCAACCTCTCCACCTCAATCACGACCCTCAGCGCAGCGGAGAATCTCCGCCAGGAAACCGTCTCTAGAAGCATAACGCAGCGGTTCGGGAAGGGGTTGTTGGCGAAGTGGGCGGGGGGCGCGACACTGTCCTCTGGGAATAATGATAATAATGAGGGAAAGGAGGAAGAACAGGTCGTGGAAGAAGAGAAGGAGAAGGTGTTGAAGGGGGTGAGGGAGAGTGTGCTCTTCTATCTGAGGATTAAGTTGGGAGGGGTGGTTAATGAGCAGAGGGATATGGTTGAGAAGAGGATTGAGAGGGTTAGGGAGAGGGAGAGGAGTGTTTTGTATAAATCAAGTGGTGGTAAGGGTGGATGGGGGAGTGTGGATGGGGGAGAGTGGAGGGGTGATGTTGCTGGAGGTGGTACTACTACGGGAAGTGTGATGATGGATGAGAGTGAAGTCAAGGAGATCGAGAAGCAGCTGACCCCTCAGCAATTGCAGCTCTTTGAGGAGGAGAATGATTCCATGGTCAAGTATTTTGAGGATGTGGTGGGGAAGGTTCAGTAAGTTGATCTATCCCTCCCGTCCCTATTGTTTATTCCTTGTTTTGTCTTGTGTTACCGGTGGGGAGATTGGCTAATGAGTATGGTTGTTGGTTATGTGCAGGAACGCGGAGAAATCTCTCCTTGAGATATCCTCCCTCCAGCAGACGCTCGTGTCGCATTTGTCTACACAGGAGGAATACATTTCGCAGCTTGTGACGGATGCGAGCAATACGGAAGCGAATATCGGGCAGGGAAATAAGGAGTTGAAGCGCGCGACGGAGAGACGCAGTACGGCGCAGGCGGTGTTTTGGGGGACTGTGGGGTTGTGTACGTGGTTGGTTGTTTGGGATTTGGTTTTTTAGGTAGTAGTAGTTTATTACTATCTTGTGTTCGATTGTTTATATTTTTGTATTGTGGGTGATGTCTAACAGTCTAGCTGTACCTTACATATATATCCTACCATATCCTAGCCTTCATATACCTCGGCATCATTATGAAGTCTCCCGAACTACGCTGTCCACTGCTTCGGCGAAGTAGTCCAGGTTATGTGTGTTTAGACCCGCCATGGAGATGCGGCCGTTCTTGGTCTGTTGTAGTTAGCATATACCCACATAGCGATAGGATGGACGGATCTAAGGGATGGGGGCCCTACCATGTAAACATGCCACTTCTCCTTCAACACCCTAACTTGCGACTCGGTCAAACCCGTGAAACTGAACATGCCAATCTGATCCGTAATGTGGTTCCAAGTGCCCGGCGTGCCCTTCTTCTCCAAGCGCTCCCTCAGGCCCTTGCGCATCTCCGCAATGCGACCACTCATCGTCTTCAGATCCTCCTCCCACTCCTTGAACAGTCCCTCATCATTCAACACCCGGCTAGCGATACGCGCGCCATACGCCGGCGGGTTACTGATCTCACTGCGCTGCAGAATAGCCAGCTGCGACGCGACATGCGCATTAGCCTGGCTGGCCTCCGCACCGGGTGCGGAAACGAAATGGAATGCGCCCGTGCGCTGGCCATACAGACCAAAGTTCTTAGCGAAGGATTGGGCCACGCACAGCTCGAAGTCCTGCTCGACGAAGTAGCGCACGGCCCAGGAGTCGCGAATGAGATCACCAGAGGCGAAACCCTGGTAGGCGCAGTCAAAGAAGGGGAAATGGTTGCGCTCGCGCATGACGACGGCGACGTCCTTCCATTGGGACTGGGTCAGATCGACACCGGTGGGGTTGTGGGCGCAGACGTGCAGGAGGATGATGGAGCCGGTGGGAGCATCGCGCAGGGCGGAGAGCATGCCGGAGAAGTTGAGGCCTTTGGTTTGCGGGTCGAAGTAGGGGTAGTTGGCGAGGGAGAGGTTGACGTTGGTGAAGATTTGGTTGTGGTTGGCCCAGGTTGGGTTGGAGAGGTAGACGGTGGGTTTAGGGTTGGAGGGGTGGAATTTGGAGAGGAAGAGAGCGCCCAGGTGCACGGCACCGGTGCCGGAGATGGTTTGGAAGGTGCATACCTAGGTGATGTTAGACCGGTAGAATTCAAAAGATGGAAGGGGATGGCTTACGCGGTTCTCGCGAATGGCAGGGCTATCAGCGCCAATGATCAATTTCTGGGCGGCAGTGGTGTAGTCGGCGAGACCTTTGATGGGGAGGTATTCGTGATTGAGGGCGGGGTCATTGCGAACGAGCTCGTCAGCCTGTCAGAGTTTAGTTAGTTGGATGCTGCGGGGATGGAAAATATGATGTGCAGGTGGGGAATTGAGGGGTATGGAGTTTACCTTCTTGACCACGGGCAGGATCCAGGGTTTGGCATTGTCGTCGCGATAAGCGCCAATGACTAGATCGACCTTCTTGTCGGAGGAATCCTGGCGAAACGCCTGAGCCAGACCGAAGAGAGCATCTTCTGGCGCGGCGGGCACGACGGCGGTGGAAAAGACGGAGGGGGTGGTAGAGCCCATGATGTGGGAGGAGAGAGAAGCGAGACGGGAACGAGCGGTAGAAGTAGAAGTAGAAGCGATGGAGGAGGAGGCGGCGGATGGAGAGGATGGAGAAGAAGAAGTGAGGGAGAGAGAAGAAGATGGAGAAGAAGAGGAGGAAAGGGGCGACATGATGTATTGGAAGGTTGGGGATGTGTCACACCACCTGATTCCCTCAAGTCACTGCTGCTTGCGTTCACCGGCGCCAATAAAATGAACTGACCGAAACAGATAAATCCCGATGGACACACCGGACCAGGCAGATGCAGGGAAAAAGTAAAGGAGGGGACGGAGTAAAGATGGACACGGTCGGGGATAGCTTCGGAGGAGGGAGTACGGGGTACATGAGGCGATCGACTAGATTTATAGTCTGAATGTTATTGATCTTGAGACCGAGACAAAAGTGAGAGTTGGAGATGAGCCGAGGATGTGGGAGAGTTGAGTTCGTTGGCTGGCCCGATGAGCTGAGCAGATGATGACGCATTCACATGAACTGCTAGTTACAGAGTTTGGTATTTAGAGCTGGTTATCTACTCTATCGCTATCCTATCTCTCTGGCGATAAAATGAAGATACATTTCCAGCTCATCCTCAATGCGATTCCGATGTTGGCGGACAGAATTGCCCGAGCTGGCCTGACATCATCATATGACAGATCCACTCCGAGCAGAACAATAGCATTTTACTCCCTCGAGACTAGATATCCCAAATATCCCTCATCTCTCCGATTCTTCTTCTTCTTTTACTTCATAGGGGGTACAAGAAGTATAATACTTCCCACTCGAGTAATTCCATCCACCGTCCCTCACTTAGTCTAGTACTGAGCTAAGTAACGTACTTATGCCTATCTCAAACGCGGCATTAACCACCAATCACGACCAACTGTTACTCATACAGCCGACGCCAGCCGCATTCAGCCAAAATCACTCACTTTCTGACTAACAACAACAATGGGAAAGTCTAGTTTGTTCTTTTTCCCCGCCCGACCGTCTGTTGTTAATTCACTTCAGAAAACAAACTGGTCACATTAATTGATGAAAACATTCTTAGTGTTGATAGTCTCAATGGATGAGGATATATCCTTAACCAGATATCTATTATCCACTCCATAAGATCAACCTACAGGAGATTTAAAAAAAAGAAAGAATCCGGAAAAGCATTCCACCCAGAACAAAAGGATGATCGCTTACCCCACGGGGTGCAATCGGGACAGCTCCCCTACGAAGCTCGCCGGATTCCGGAATCCGATTTGCATGTCGTGCTCGTTACTTGTTGTGTGGAATTGGGATCGTCGCATTTCGTCACGGTAAAATACTGAGTAAACTGAATACTTGGGTTTGCAATTGGCATGAGATTCCGAGGTTGGGGGCTTCCTTTGTTTCCTAACTAGTTCGTTTATGGGGTACTGTAGACTTTACTACAATCTCGCGAATACTACTTGACTAATTTGACGAATCTAGACCCTAGACAGTCGGATTCCTTGTCCTAATTGAGTAAGTACATCTACAACTGCTGAGTAGAATACATATCTACACGGCTTGGGGTATGTGCCTGTTCACTGGTCATTTCCAGATAAACCATCGGTCCTATATACACAATTTTCACCCGTGCAAGTTCCCGTTCTTCTTAACGCCATGTATCGCCAATCTCGCCATATAAACAAACATCATGATATGATCGTCCCCATCATCAAGCCAAATCAATCATGTAAATCATAAGCAATATATCCCAGGTCACAGAAACCAAAAGGGGAGTTAGCCGGCAGCCAGGCCGCTCATATATCCATACCATCGGCTCCATACATAACCCTCCCCATTTTCTCATCTCAAATATAGCACAGGAAGACTCAATGCTCCGAATCACGCCAGCATGCACGTAGAAATGAGTAATGCAAAAGAATAATCATAAGAAAAGAGATGAATCATGCAGGCGGCGTGTCAGTCGATGGTGACGGTTCTGCCACCTCGCCGTGCGCCCGCGTGCGCACCCGGAACTTCTCACGCAGTCGCGTCGTCAACCGATTGCGTCGCCGGATCCGCTGCTCATCCGCTTCGTCGGCCGCTTCCTCCCGGTTGGCCTCTTCCCGCACGCTCCGCAGCGCCGCAAGGCGCTCCTCCACGCTGGCGTCGCGCATGCGCCGCGCATTCAACGTGCCGTGCAAGTAGTTGCTGATGCGTCGGTGGCGACCATGGCTACTCTCGACTGTTGCCTCGGCGGCTCCCTCGGCTGCCGTCTCCGGGTGCCCATCGCCCAGGTCTTGTTCCTCCTCGCCTTCTTGCTGCGGGGGGTTGAGATCGATACGGCTGCAGGGGTCAGTAAATGCATGTCAAGCAGAGAAGTACAACGGATAGAATACATACCAGAGAGGACATGTACCCGACACATTCACCAGCCAGGGATCAATACACTCGGGGTGGAATTGATGGTTACACGGCAGCACGCGCAAATCCTGCCCCTTGACAAAGTCGTCCGTGCAAATAGGGCACGAAAAGTTCGGGTGTTCCGTCGTCGTCTCCGCCGCAGGAGCATCGCTTTGCTTTTCTTCCTGCGATTCTGTCGGGGGCGCTTCCGTTTGAGGCTGGTGTGGGGAGGTGACCTCCGCAGTCGTGGTCACATCTCGTTCCTCTAACTCATTGGCCGGCACCTCCAACCCCGAACCCATCTCAACATCCCCCTTGGGGCCAACCGACTTGCCGTCGGCTGGGGCGTTGTCCCCGAACTTGACGATCGGGATCGTATCTAACATGGCTCGCGCTATCCCTCGCGCTCGACTTTGTCGCGGTCGTCCCGCGGTATACCGAGGCCCATAGCGCTCCGGATGGCGGTGCGCACGCACCGCACCGGTAATAATGATGGCTAGAAAGAGGGCAGTGATAATACCTGTGATACTATACAGGATAATCATGGCTGTGGCAGATTAGCACATGCTACCGCGGCAATTGAGGGGTCCGGCATACCCGTGTTCGGACTCCCGGACGACTGGGTCTGGTCCTGGGTCGTTGTGGTGGGGCCAAGATACGACATGTTGGTGCCGATATAAGTCGTTCCGTTGCCTGGAGCTTCGAGTTGGGACTGGACTTGCCGATTCAAAGTCGGATTTACGATCGTAAAGACGTTGATATAGCGGTTGGCGGATGGTTCATCCGTCGTATAGTTGCAGAGCAGGGAGGTGCCACTATATAAGATGACGGCAAGAGCCTGCTGCTGTGCGGTGAGGACGTTGCCTAGCGTCGAGCTGGCATCCAGGTTCCCGGGATAGGCGGATGGGTCGCAACTGATCACCGCGATATCTTTGCGGCTCAATGACAGAGAGTTGGTGGCATCCACATCCAACAGAGTCCCCGACACCAGATATTGCTAGATCCATCAGTCTCGGGCACGGTGAGGCATTGACAGGGCTGACTAACCGCAAGTTCCGCCTGATTGAGATCCACCAGAGCCTGGGTCAACGGGGCGAGACGGACGGACGCTGGCAGGTGAACCTGACTGCTATTCAAAAGGAACCGGAGACCTCCAGTCCACGACAGATCCCCAGAGTTGTTGGACGGCCGCACGGTCCAACCGGCCGTGTTCACTGCAGAGCCGAGGGACGAGAGGGCGAGCAGGAAGATAACGCGAGCGGGGAGCGAACAGGTGGAGGAAGCAGCAGACGCAGCAGGAAAGGAAGCAACACGACGGAAGAAGGAGAATAAAAAGAAGAAAGGAAAGCAGAGTGAAGCAGGATGGAAACGGGGAGGACCCATCGGCGAATCGCCCAGTTGATGATGCTGGCCGGCGATGGAACTTTCCCCACAGTGACGAGGCCTACGGAGACGGCGGAGGATATGGGGGGACGGACGAAGATCATGAGCCACGGACGAGGATCGGCCCAGGACCAAGAAACCAGGAGGGACCCAGAGGCAGCCGAAGAGGCACCCAACTGCCAGTCAGCGTTTGGCGAGGACGGTGATATCACCCCCGTGTAGGAACCGGACGATCCGCGGCGGCTACAACGGGATTGGAGCGACCGTAGTGGAAGGGGGCAGTGAGAGCAGTGAGAGGTAGGGACGCCTCGTCACCAATACGGGCAAGTGAAGAGCGATTGGGGAGATTTGAGTTGGGGATTGAGTACCACGGAAGAATAGCTCTGGCGTGAATGAATGAATGATAGAAATCAGAAGGGGGTGGGTGAGTTGTGTGAGAGTGAGTGTGTGTGGATCGGATGCTCACAACTTCCAGTAAGCAGACTGGCTGCAATGGGGAATTAGCAGCGGCTGGCGATGGGGGAGAAGGATGATGATTATCCACCAGGGGAGGGGGAGGTTGGTGGATGGCTGGCAAGCTGCGCAGCCGGGCGATCCGGCAGGAAAAGCGACGGAAGAAATAAGAGAGACAAATAATAGTGAATAATAATGCCACTGGGGTCTGTCAGCCTCGTTACTATTCTTACAAGCTGCGGCGGGTTGTTGGGTGAGAATCAATCAATCCATCAATCCATCAATCAATTGAGTCAGTCCACCCGATGAGAATAACCCCGTCAACGCTGCCTTTCCAACTTTTTAGTTCAATCAGGGGAGACAGCAAGCGAATACGAGAGGGTCGAGCAAGAGTGAGAAGCAAAGAGCAAGTGAGCAACCGGTGGGAGTTCCATGGATCGACCGAGCGATGCCGGTGGATGATGGATTATTCATCGCAGCGCCTCGGTCTGATTGCTTGCAGATAGTCGTGGCCGAGGATTTGCGGGCGTGATGGATGCTTGCGGTTCACTGAGAGCCGAAGGAAGGAAAAAAGTGGGACGCCGCCAGAGACAGAGTGTCAGAGAGAGAGAGAGAGAGCGCGCGAGAAGGAAACTAAACTAAACTAAACTAAAAGCAAGAGATAAAATGGAATAACAGATCGAACATTGGAGAATCCAAGGAAAAAGATGGGGCAGGATAAGATAAGCCTGGTCGCATCCACTTGGAGACTTCTTCCCTCCCTGTGGATTACTCGATTGGGGTGAATGACAGTCACTCACGATCGGAATCGCCGCCTACAACATTTCTTGGGCGGGAAGAAAAGGAAAGGAATGGACCAGAAATCCAATGGCAATGAAAATCCCCCATTCCCCAGTGAGAATGAATGAATGGCTTTCTCAGAAAGAAGCTGCAACTGGACCGAGTGCGGGGGATCCTGGGCAACGCGCCGATCCCTTGTGCTTGGCCCAATTTTCGGACGGGAGCCGTTCATGGTTCTGGTGACTGACTAAAAAAGATAACCAGTAACTCCGTGGCTAACCCGCACCACCAGCAGATAACCAGCTGCCAGACAAGCTATTGTCAATCGGAGTAAAAGGCAGATGGGGATTGACTTTCCCAGTGATTATCCCTATCCCTCAAAGACAGGCGGCCCTGGTCAACAACACGCGCACAACAGAAGCATCAAGGATAATCTATCCCACACACCAATCGATGGATGCAACAGCACGAATAGGCAGCCAGATCACCGTGCGGCATTGCATCATTCATTGAACTTTGTTTTCCCGATCCAGCACCTTCCCATCAAGGGGTTCCGTTTCCAACAATGCAGAAGGGATGAGATCCCTCTCACCGCACCGCACCTTATAAAAAGCTAACAGTTGCGCTCGTGCATGGATCTCGTTTGAGAACGGAGTGAAGGATGTCCTCTCATCCAGACCTTTTCTGGCTGCTGGTGCTGCTGGTGCTGCTGGTGGTTTGAAGGTAGCGCGCATGGACCCTTTCACGGGATGGGGATTTTGATTGCTTCTTCCTCGCCAACTCCGAATTCTTCCAACGTGGAATCCTCCCCATCCGGCCAGAGCAGGAGGAATTGTTCATGATGGTGTGCAGACGAAACCATCATCCGTCGCCATTTCACCAGTAATCGGATGATCTGGATGGGATCAGATCTGATCCCTTGATGGATGGCGATGGTTACCCATAACGGAAAAAGGTAGGTATGTCGAGCTGACTAACTTTCCCTGTCTTTTGACCGGATTTGTTTCCGTTTCTGTCCCGATCAGGAAGGTCCAAGAACTCATCCCCGTTTTGCTTCGCCGGTGATTCTCCGCCTCTTAAGGTGGGGGTGAACGGAGCACGTCCACCGTGAGTTCATTCTCCAACGGAGTCTCCGATGCCGGAGTCCATGCGTCTCATCTGCGGGGGCTCGGCGATGATGCGAGTATGTCTGCTGTGAAGATGACGAGGCAGCTGGGGAACGAGCGCAAGATTGCATTGCATCTGACCCAAATCAAAGGAACTTGTTCATGATCTGCATAAAATGGCGAACACAATTTTATTCATCCTCATGCAGGGATTTCCTCTTTGAGCACTAGGGTTAGGGTCCCTGCCAGTCACTCGCCCCGTCCGGAATAAGCTATGGATTAGGCCGATCGGGGGGATCCGCCCATCCTCAGCTGTTCAGCTCGCTATTCTCCAGATAGCAAGCAACATTCCTCCGACCAGGAGGAGGGCAGCAAAAGAAGACGGTCTCTGGGGTGCCCTCCACTCCCCCCACTTTGCAGACTCGCTTCCTCAGCCGACAACGTTCTAGCCCATCTGGTCGTTGCGCGGATGGGTTGCTTTTCACCCACACCGTGTGACAGGTGTCACATCTCTCCTCTATCTTCTCGCTTCAACTTGCCATCCATGTCGAGCAGGCGACCAAGCAACAGTGCGTACTGTAAATAAGTAAGTTTCAGCACCTTGCCCGGGAGGGAATATAGTAGATCAGCGAGAACACCCGCCCATCCATCCATCCATCCATCCACCCATCAATCCTGATCCGTCATCCATCCATCCTTTTAGCGGATCGTAGGGCGATCAAGTGGATTGTCTAGCAGGGTTGATGTGACCTGACCTGACCTGCCCTGCCCTGTCCTTTGCCTCCCACCCCCCACACACGGTGGTCGCGTGTGTTGATCGTGCCTATTTAGGTGTAGATAAAAATGAAGGAGGAGAACAGACCACCCACTGAATCAGGGCGAGAACAAGAACATACAAAGCATAATGCGATTCATGTTTATTTTCTGCTTAAAGTGCGATCGGATCTCGCTTGCTTGAATAATGGAGGATCTCTTTTCTGAGCTGTGATGAGCTGTGCTGAGCTACTTTAGTGCCAGAGCTACCACCCAATTTTAAGCTATCCATGATAGCCACCATCGTCACTCGTTCCAAGATAGTTTATAACCACCATGTCACCAGAACCACTACTATCACAATTATGCAGGGTAGATTGAGTAGAGCAACTGACATGACATGACATGTCTGGAGATGGATTTTTACCTCAGGGGAACGTCCCAATCAGACCATAGGTGATTGAGCGCAGCAGCACAGTCTCCAAGCGGCGGCGCTGTACCACTACCATCATTTATCATCCTCACTACTTCTTCTTCTACTGAACGAAGTATCCCATCAAGGCGACAGTAATACTTTATTGATTAAGGCAAGAGAAAAACATTACTACTATGGTAGACAACTAAGTAAGAAATAGGTACCGTAGCACCCAACCAGCCAGCACGGACGAACAAACCCGCCACGAAACATATGACTATATCGCAACGGTGTTATTAGGGGCTCCCTCCGAGGATTATTCCCCAGTGCTACTTACCTACTTTCTCTTTATCACTGTGTATGTATGTATGTATGTATGCCACAAGGGTATGCTGCTGCTCCTACGGCTACAGCCGACTAAGGCCGTCGCCGCCATGGATCCATCCCTACTCTTCCCTACCATTTTCTATCCTGGTGAGGGGGCTTAATAAGACGGGGATATATCGATGGAGGAAGGAGACAGCGGCAGCAGCAGCAGCAGCCACTGCCAACGATTGGCAGCAGTATCGGGGGAGGTGGTCTCGACCATGGCCACCGTGAGGCTTGTGACAGCAGCAGCAGCAGTTAAGAAACTAACTTACTTACAAACTACCAAATAGCGTAGCATAGCATAGCATAGCAAGCAACACTTGGTCCGTGTGTTTCATTTCTTCCTTACTTTACTCGTCCTAGACTAAATACTTAAGGTAGTAACTAAACATCTATAGTACTATCATACTAAGTACGGACCGTCTTTACCCACCTAGATAGTGGGTAACAGATAATGAACAAATAAAAGAATGGGACCACTTGCAAGCCTAATATATAAGATTACATTCATATACATACCCAGTAACTAACCTTAACAAACTAAGCAAGTAAGCAACTAAGTAAGAAGACATAACTACTAGGTAATGAGTAGTAGTAAGTTGCACCCATCAACCTGGAACACACATTCCTATCGACGGAACAAGCTGCCACCAATCTCCGTTGCTGATAGACTCCCGCAACTTTCCCTACTTACTTGCTTTACTGCCCATTAGATAGGTATCCGTAGGTAGTTAGATAACTGGTCAGTAAGTATGGATTGTACCGTACCAGCACCAGTGTGAAGCAATGTACACCGTAGAGCAAAGCAAGCCACGTACATCAGGTACCGCAATCCACTACCCGATTTAACAAAAGCTCAAGAGAAGGAATGGATGGATGTGGATGTGGTGGTGGCTTGGACGGATTCGCCTCATCCGACCCTCGGATAAAGGGGAGGGGGGTGGCAGCAATGGTATGATAAATGAGAGACAAAGATTGGGGGCTTTGTTGATTCGTCTCGTCTTTAGTTTGTTGGGATGAGATGGGAAGTTACCGACCGACTGGGTGTGTTTGCTGTCCTCATATTTTCTACTGATTGATTTTACTTGGGTATGGGTGCCATGGCTGAGGGTGGTGTTGGGGGTCAGAAGGTAATTACTGTAGGGGTTTTTTATTTGCTGGGATGAGTGAAATTAGTACTGGTGTTGTGTTGTGGACTCGAGGAATTCCATCGGACTAGGATATACCGAGTAGGGAAGTTGGTAGTTGGTAGATGGCAGTGCAGAAGAGTGCTTAAAGGGGTAAATAGCTACTGAGGGGAGGAGAAAAAGACCGAAGAAAAGGACAGAAGTTAGTACTATAATGATAATAAGGGAAAAAGAGAGCAGAAGATAAAGAATAAATGAAACGGGAAAAAAATATTAACCAAAGAGTGAGTCCATTAATTTTAATAATTCCATGGGGGGGTAATTAATAGAGTCAATTAACTGGTAGGAAGGAAAATAAAAAAAAAAAGGGAGGGAGGGATGGATGTGAGTGAGGAGGGGGGGGGGATGTTTGTTCATTGTTCATCCAACCCATCACGCTCTAGCTCCAGGTGTCAAAGCTCAAGCATACTACTACTGTAAGTCAGTAACTTTGCTATCTTGGGGGAGAAGAAAGAGACGACATGACATGCCTAACTAAATATCCACTGGTTATAGTTCAGCCAAAGAGGATTGATTGACTGACTGACTGCGGAAAATCCTACCCTACAGTAACTCCTACGACGTCGCTTTTCAGTCCCCACTTGCTCCTCCACCCCCGGCGCTCACGGGGAAGCAAAAGCAAAAGAAAGTAAAATAATAGAAAATAAAAAATAAAATTAAAAAAGGTAAAAAAGGGCGCCAGGAAGCGCACAGAGACAAGAGACAAGAGGCAAAGAGAGAGAGAGAGAGAGAAATGCCATGTCAGGCCGGACCAAAATTAGCAGCAGAGGGAAAAAGATGGATCATGGATGGCGGTCGAGGGCCTGGAAGAGTTATCCCGCGTCCTCCTCCCCGCTTCCATTCGAGGGCCTCGACCGCTGGAGCCCGCGGCGAGATCCAGACTGATTGGCCACCGCCGCCCAGGGAGGCGCGCCCGCTTCCCTGCTGAAGGTGGATGAAGCTGGTTGAAGGAGGGTCACTCTCTCCTCCCAGTCGAGGGCCGAGGCTCCCATCGAACGGAATTTTGGTCAGAAAAGTAAAAACAGTAGAATGGATCGGGGAACCCGGTCAGATGCTCTTTGGTAGGTAAGTACTTGAGTTACTAGTTAGGTAGGTATAGGGGCCGTTGCTATGTTATACCACCACCCTGCCCAGGGTTTTGAATTCTCACCACCATCACACGGGGGTGCGATCAACTGCTGGTGGTGGTGTCTGTTTGGAACTACTGACGCCGTCTTCCCGATCAAGCACCAGAGAAGCTTGAGATGATTGATGTTTCCGGTGCATCTGAAATTTCAAATCCTTTCGAATTCTAATTGCGAGGAATACATTAGTTTTTCTCCTCTCTTTGCTATTTTTGTTTTTTTTCTGTTTTCTTACTGATCCAGACAAGAAATTAAATAATATAATAATCATAATCCTAATAGTAATAATAACACATCCATCCATCCATCCATCCATCCCAGAGGAAGCCTAAACTTCCCTTTTTCTTCTCTTGTTCTCTCTCTTCCAAAAGGAGATAATCGTGGAAACCGAAATATGCGTAAAATAAAATAAACAGTTAAGAATAACAATGACCAGGAAAAAAAAGAAAAAGGATAAATCATCAGCTTAACATGGAAAAAATCAAAAGCCAAATAATAAATCAGTAACAATTGAGCCAAAGAAGGCACAGACAGTCTGCTCTGCACTGATCCCAGGTAACAGTAGTACTTTTTCCCTGGTCCTCTTGGGGGGATGTCTTTTTTTTTTTTCAATGTCCAACCCCCCTCTTCTCTCTCTCTCTTCATCCTTCTCACACACTCTCTCTCAACTGACTACAAACTACTAACTACTATTGACTCTGTTGTCTTTCTCCTCTCCTCTTGTCTCCATCCTACCTTTGATTCCATCTCCCCCAGACCAAAAGTCCCCTTTTCTCGGGCGGGACCTCCCGCTAAAGCAAACGCGATCAGGATGCGCTCCACGAGGCTTTGATCGGTCAAACAATCCATCGGCAGGGAATTCATTCATCGAAGGCCCCAACGAGGCGATCAGGAACAAATCTACCGCGCCATTCCTAGTCCTGCTACTCACTCATTTCGACTACCACCTTTGCTACCTACTTTGCTCCTATGCCTACCACCACCACTCCCAATTCTTCCAATCTCTCCCCCTTCGCAGACCTTAGATTCAATTCCAATTTACCATTTCTCTTCCAATCCCTATCCCCTTTCTAATTCCGTCTTCTCTTCTTCTTCCCGCCGCCTTCCCCCCAGTCTTAGTCTGAAACTCCTCAACTGCAACTCCATTCCTTCATTCATTGATTCACTCATCCGTCCATCCATCCATCCATCCATCCATCCACACCACTACTTCTCCACCTGCCTCTATTGTCCATTCCCACGCCCCCTCGCGCTAGATGATCGATTCGACACAACTTTAGCCTTCCCACCTTCTTCTCCCTCGCAGACGTCCTCCCCTGACATGCACCTGTCGGCTTACTCGACGAGACAGCGCTCGTCGTGCCTTGCCGTCCGTTAGCAGCAGCCCCCACGTCTGCCCGGCAACCATGTCCCCTCCGTCCCTCTCCATTCCGGCCACTCCTACCGTGGCCGAAACTCTCCATCTCTGGAAGAAACGCTTCGACAAGCGACATCTTTCCACGTAAGCCAATTTTCCCTCCTTGCTTCCCTTTCATGATTCGAGTCTCGTGGGGCCGTCGTTTGGTCGTGACTCGTTTGACTTCCCGTCAACCTTGTGTGTCTGTGTGTATGGGTGTGCGTGTGCCCGCGGATGATCTACACAGGCTCCATCCTCCATGATAGGATAGATAGTCCGTGCTTTAATACTCTTCCGGAATAGCGAGAGCACGGTGCGGATACAAGACCGTGATCGTTCGTCCCACTGACCTTCCGACAGAAACCCAGTCATCGCTACCCTTGATATTGAATACAACGAGCTGGTTCAATCATGGAAACGCTTCCAGGATAACCTCCTTCCCAACGATCGAGTGCTCTTCCACGAACGCCTGCAGAACCCCGACGATGTTTTGGACGTCGTCGCCAGCATCGAGCCCGTCTGGACGTCCACGTCGGGACAGCGGGTGTTGAGGGAATGTTGCGACGAATTTCGTTCGACGCTGGGCTCACACGGGAGGCTACTGGCCGTTCTACCAAGAAATGAATTGTACTGCTCTCTCTTTTACGGCGTCCTGCAATCTCTTCTGAAGGTGAGCCCGGATGTTGTTCGTATCCCCCTCCGCCTAGTCAATAACTAAACTCCGTGAGTCCCAGGCATCCGCGGGCTATCCAAGAATTTTGGAAGGGTTGTTCAAAGCATTGGTCCAAATCAACCGCCTCATTGCTCCTCCAGCCTTGGGTGAGGCAGTGCCGGCGACGAAAGACTCCATCAACGCCATCAGCCGCTTCTACACGCTCCTATTCTTCTTTCTTGGAGAAGTGATGGACTGGTATGTGAGGAAGGCCAAATGCGGGCTCCTGCGGAGCCCCAACCAAGACGTGTATCGTGCCTTCCAACGCCTGATTGGCCAGATTCGACGCAGCGCCAAAAGCATGATGCACGATCTCACTGACGCCATGGATGTCGATGACGCCGACTGCGATAGCCTATGTGAAATGGCGCACGACGACTATCGGGGGTGGTTTGAGCGGGCCCGATTGAGCCAGGTGGGCCTTCAGAACGGGGCCCGGCGCTTCGCAGCGCAGAATGCCCTCACCCGTCAGTTGATGTGGGAGATTCACCAGGACGCAGTGGAGCGCAAGCGATTGTTGCAAGACAGAGAGGTTCTTCTGGCGCGACTGCTGGACACTGTTAGTCTACAGCTACAGTCAGTGAGTAGACAGAACAGCGGCATTGCCTGTTTGACCACAACCGCTTCCCAGGACTTAGGTAGGGAAGCCAGGCTCACATGGCCCGAACTGCTCGAGGAGCTGACCGTGCACGCATTACAAGACACAGACAGGTTCAACCTGATGAAAGGGGGGCACAAGCATAAGTACACACGCATGGAATTGCAGATGGCTTCCCAGAAACTCGAAGACTTCTTTGATGCCGACGACCAGATCCCCGCGCTCGAATTCGACGTTCCAGTCATTGCCGAAGATAATGTGATGACCTCGCTGAAGCAATGGGCGACCGACGCCCACTCACAGGTCCTGGCCGTGGGGGGCCCCCAATCGACGGTCTACCCTAGTCCGGTACTTCTTGTCTCGACGTGTTACGCCAGCTTTGCTCGCAAGGCGGGCTTGCCTGTAATTTCCCACTTTTGCAACCGATCCACCGATGCTGCCAACGAATTAACCTATGAGCAACACCTTATCGCCCTGGCCTACAGCCTGATCCGCCAGTTGATAGAATACCTGCCTCCCGTAGTCGAAAGTCATGCGGGGTGCGATTTGAGCGGCGAGCGTTTCAAGCCATTGAACGGAACGCTCACGTCTTGGAAGGAGGTTCTCTCGCTGATTGACATACTCCTGCACTTTGCGCCGCCCCTGCTGGTGTGCGTGATCCATGGGCTGGATATCATCCAAGATGCGTCGACAGATCCGTACATTCGCTCGTTGGTCCGGACCTTTCTGACCCACACGCGGCACCAGCCAGTATTACTGCCAAACGGCGAACAGAGCCAAAGCGTATTACTGAAGGTGCTGTTCACGGTGGCTGGTCGCCCAATTTCGCTGGTGGAGACATTATCCGAGAACCAGCTCATTCTGCGGGAGTCGAACACGACCGAGGAGCTGGCCCCGACCGACGCCGCTTTGGACGCCGATGTAGGCCCACCAGTCATGATTGCATAGTCCATTCGAAGCTTTAGCGACGCCGCATTGCGATTTGAGTTGAATTGTTCTTTCCCTTCGGGTGAAAATTCGGGGTTCTCATAGAATTTCATGCAGGCCGGGAAATTTTTCTTCGTCATGTTTTGGATATAAGATGGATTGGCATGAGCCGCTGGATGATGCATTGCTGTGAATTCTTCCTTTCTTTCGTAACGTCACTTCTCCCAACTTAAGGGGAGCTTACACTTATGGTTTCATTCTGCATGTTGATGGAGATATTTTCTTGTTTGGGACAGGCACATCTCATCTATCTCGGAAGCACGGAGTATACGACTGGACCGGTTGGGTGGGAGCATTTGGGTGTACATTTGTAATAATAGCAGCTCGACGAGAACATGCATATACTACGGCTGTCGCTAGACTGATACCCTAAGTTGCAGTGGTCGTCCTGGGCTGGATCCGATTCTCTGTTGATTGTCTTTTCCCCAGATTTGTGGGTGTTCTTGGCACCCTCGGGATTCGTCTTCCGACGCAGTCCAGCTGCATCTCATCGTCTTCCCCCGCAATCGTTCTTTTCCTTTTCATCTGCCTCCTGGTCCTCCTCCTCTGGATCCTGCACGAGTCAGGCAAGCGAGAAGTCCCCACTGACCTCATCCCTTCCCTGTGGTGAGTGTCTGACCTGCTGTGCTCGGAATTCTACATTGAAGTGGATCCGGGATTGCACATCCGTCCCAGACAAATATTTATTGACCACCTCCCCGCCCCAGCTGTTGGACAACGCAGACAACATCCATCGACTTACTTACAAACCATTGCTCCCAGCATGGGTTCCGGCGAACTTCGTGTCGGCCCCAACCGGCTCTTTCAACTGGAATCCGTCAATGTAGAGGATTTCAAGAAAATCTGCTCCCAGACCACCGATCCGGCCAGCTATCCGCTGGCCGTGGCCGTGCAGAAGAATATCCCCATCTATGATGCCGCCACCTTTGATCCCCTGAATGCAGATACCACCGCGGCTCTCCAAGCCGAATGGCATCACGTCCTTGAATCAGGACCGGGCATCTTTGTTCTCAAAGGCATGTACCATCCCTCCCGGTACGCAGACACCCTGAACGCCACCAACACGGCTTTCCAACACATCATCGATCGGGAGCGCCAGTCCCTGGGCCCCAAAGGCGATCATTTCGCAGCCAGCGGGAAGAATGACCGCATTTGGAACTCCTTCAGCAAGCACGCCTTTGTCGACCCCAGCTCCTTCATCACCTACTACAGCAATCCCTGGCTGCGTGTGGTTAGCGAAGCCTGGCTAGGTCCCGCCTACCGGGTGACCGCCCAGGTCAACATCGTCAAGCCCGGCGGCGCCGCCCAAGATAGCCACCGGGACTACCACCTTGGATTCCAAGAGTTGGATCGATGTGCGGCCTTCCCGCGGAGCGTTCAGCTCGCTAGCCAGTATCTGACGTTACAGGGGGCCGTCGCACACAGCGAGATGCCGGTAGAGAGTGGTCCTACACGATTCCTGCCCTTTAGCCAGACATATGCTCCGGGATATCTGGCGTGGCGGCGGGACGACTTCCGGGCGTTCTTCCAAGCGAACTATGTGGCGTTACCGTTGGAGTTTGGCGATGGGTTGTTCTTCAACCCGGCGGTATTCCATGCCGCGGGGGCCAACGAGATGGCCGAGAGCACGGGGTTCCATCGCAAGGCCAACCTGCTGCAGATTGGATGTGCTCTGGGGAAGACGATGGAGCACATCGATGCGGTGCCAGTGGTGGAAAAGTGTTGGGAGGAGGTCAGTGAGAGGTATCGCCGGCAGGGAGGGTTAAGTGCAGAGTTGGAGGCATGGGTATATGCCGTGGCAGATGGGTATCCGTTTCCCTCGAACCTGGATCGCCGGCCCCCTGCTCCGAGTGGGATGGCGCCGGAGAGCGAGCAAGAGATGATTGTGCGGGGGTTGCAGGAGGCATGGGATCGAACCAGGATTGTGGAGGAGTTGCGAGGGCTGCAGAGAGAGGGACGGGGACACCAGGAGGTGTAGTTGGCAAATTTGCATTCTGTTGTACGTATAGATAGCTGATCATAAACCTATGGGGGAAGCAATTCTCTGGATGCAACCCCACCTCATGTAATTTCCACTGTACACTCCCGCAAGACGAAGCTTAAGTAGGACAGCTGCCGCCATGTGATCGATCCCTATCCACCTCCACCTCCGTTCTTTCTTACGATCAGACCAGTCCACACTTCCACCATGTCCGCTTCCATCCATACCCAGCATGCTGTCCTGCTGGCAGCTTCTCCAGCTACTGCTGGCCACCTCCCTTCCGGCAGCAGCCATCAACCTCACCGGCTATGAATACATCGTCGTGGGCTCTGGCGCCGGCGGAGGCCCTCTGGCCGCCCGCCTCGCCCTAGCAGGCCACTCAACCCTGCTTCTCGAAGCCGGCACTGAACAAGCCCACAATTTCAACACGTCCGTCCCAGGCTACGCAGCACTTGCAGCCGCAGACGACCATCTCTCCTGGAACTTCTTCATCCGCCACTACGCCAACGACACCCAACAAGCCCGCGACCCCAAAACCGTCTACACCACGCCCACCGGCGAACAGTACGTCGGCCTCCATCCACCCCCGGGATCCATCATGAAAGGCATCCTCTACACCCGCGCCAGCACTNTGGGAGGCTGCACCGCTCACAACGCCCTCGTCGCCATCTCTCCCCATCGCTCTGACTGGACTTACATCGCCAACCTCACCAACGACCCATCCTGGCTCCCCGACCCCATGCGCGAATACTACATCCGCCTCGAAAACAACCACTACCTAACCCCCGACATCCCAGGCCACGGCTACACCGGCTGGCTCTCCACTCAACACGCCCCCATCAACCTCGTCCTCCAAGACCCCCAACTTCTTTCCCTCCTCCTCGGCGCCGTCTTCACCCAGCCCCGAAACATCCTCTCCAACCTCATCTCTTTACTCCTCGGCGACGTCAATGCCAACTCCCCCTCCCGCGACTCCAAACCTGCATACTACCAAATGCCCATCGCCACATCCTCCAACGTCCGCAACGGCGCCGCAGACTTCCTCCGCGCCGTCCACTCCGCTACCAACCCAGACGGCACCCAGAAATACCCCCTGACCATCCGCACAAACTGCCACGTCACCCGCGTCCTCTTCGATACTACCTCCACCTCACAAGCCCGGAAAGCAACAGGCGTGGCCTTCCTCGACGGCCCCTACCTCTACCGCGCCAGCCCGCTCTCCTCCCAAGACACCCCCAGAACCCCCGGAACGGCCACCGCATCCCGCGAAATCATCCTCTCCGCGGGCGTCTTCAACACCCCCCAGATCCTCCAACTAAGCGGCATCGGGCCCGCAGATCTCCTCAAGAAACATCACATCCCAGTCCTGATCAACCTCCCTGGCGTCGGCGCAAACCTCCAAGACCACTACGAGACCTCGGTAGTAGTCGAGGCCCCGTTCCCCTTCCGTGTCCTGGACGGCTGCACATTCAACTACACGTCCGACCCGTGTCTGCTTCGATGGCTGAATCCGAACGGACATAAAGACCGGGGAATATATTCCTCTGCGGGGTTTACCAGTACTCTACTCCACCATACCCCCAACACATCCACGACACCCAACCAAAATAATGACAACGACGACTACAATACAATGGTCTACGGCGGCCTCGTCAACTTCCGCGGCTACTTCCCAGGCTTCGAGGTCAACATCACAGCAACGCACCACTCCTTCACATGGGCGATTATCCAAGCGCACCCGTCTAATAGAGCCGGGACGGTGAATATCAGTTCCGCAGATCCGCTTGATCCTCCACATATTCTATTCAATTCCTTCTCAGACCCTAACTCGGAGAAGGATCTATTTGGGTTAGTAGATGCGATCAGGGTTGCAAGGAGGGCACTGAAAAGACAGCTTATTCCTACGACGGAGACACTCCCGGGGAGAGAGGTGAGGGGGTATGAAGAGTTAAGGCAGTATGTATTGGATACGTCGTGGGGACATCATGCTGTGGGGAGTTGTAGGATTGGAAGTGGGGATGAAAGAGATGAGGGGGCGGTGGTGGATGGGAAGTTTAGGGTGAGGGGATTGAGGGCGTTGAGGGTTGTGGATGCGAGTGTGCTTCCTAGAGCGCAGGGAACATTTCCAGTGTTGGGGGTTTATATGCTTGCGGAGAAGGCGGTGGGGGATATTCTTGCTGAGGAGTAAGAGGGATCTATTCGGGTTGCAGGTGGATATGTTAGCTTTGTTGTTGTTATTGCTGTTATCCTCAGATATGATCATACAGCTAAGGTAGTATGATTCCTACAAAGTTGCGAACAAGCAGTAAAGAAAAGAAGCTCCCATCTCCTTCCCTAGTAGCACACACACTAGCGTTATTTCTAGTATCTGCCTAGGCACAGGCTGTGCATCTTCATAGTATAAGCCAAGCCCTAATATAAGATCAAAATTCTATCTTTTATACTACTATATCCCGAGTAATCTTCAATTATAGGTATAAAGTCCCTACAGGAAAACATAATTTGTACAGGAATGGACATCTACAGAAATCCTTACTACTAGGGCACTCTCGATATAGACATTGCGACGGGGGGGGGAGGGAGGAATGCGAATGAGAATTATACTATGTAGTAGTCGATGAGCCCCTCGTGTAAAGGGACCCTTAGTAATTATGGAGTCGAATCTACTACACTTCGTATAGTGGGCATGGATTAGGGAAATCACTTATTGGACGTCTATAGATTTACTATATGGGGGTGATAACCACTGCACCCGGCCACCTGTAGGTTTATGGTTGGCATGAGGCTTGGGGTGTGGTGGAGTGGTGACGCAGATGGGCCATGGGTTGGTAAAGTAGGGCTCGTTAGGGCCGTAGTTGGTTAGTAGGTGCGTGAATCTAACTGTTCGTAGTTACTAGCACGGTCTGTCTAGGGGTGAAAGAAGAGTAAATAAGAAAGGTGTTGTGAAAGAAGTGATGGATCCATGTGCCATCCAATGTAGGGTTGTCCTCATTAGGGTTTTACGAATAGGAGAATTAATTTGAATTATAGGACATAAGTAACAACAATGAAATGGTAGTCTGGCTGGGTATAGTATTATGGATTATGTAACGAGGGATATCAGTGGGTAGTGCGTTGTAAACAAAAAAGTGAACACCAGAAAGAGAAAGACAAAAAGGGAATAGTAAGGAAAGAAGAAATAAAGAGGGCGTAACAAGAGCTTGTGAAAGCAAGAGAAACAAAATCTCAAAGTGAGCGTGAGTATGAACGACTTTGATGTGGGGAAGGAGGAGATCATTTCTTCAAATTCTTCTTGATCTCTTGGTTGCCTCTCTGCCTCACATCCATAAGCCAATCTCTCACTCCCCGGCTACTATCTCCCACCCGGATTACACCGTCCCTCACACCCTTCCATCCTTTGATTGGCTGCTCCATCATTGTGTGGTTACCCCAGCACACCTTGGACCAGAGCCCCTTGTTCTGTGAGGTCCGATAGGTAGACCGACTTTTGTAGCAGTCACTGCAGTAGTCGGTTGAAGGGCAGTCAAGGCACATATACCACTTGGGAGCCTCCAGGTCCCACTTCATTAACTTCGGCTTATTGCAGGGCCCCATGCACTGCAGCATGCTGCCATTACTTTCATCCACGTCCATAAGCTCGTCCGGAATGGGCATGCTGTTAGGTGTCGTTACTGCCGTTGTTGGTGGTTCGTTTGTGTCGTCACTGGAACACTGACAAGTGCAAGTGCTTTTGACGGACTGTGGGCTTAGCGGCTCCCCAGGATGGGCTGCTGGCGCAGTGGCGTGGCTGCTCGGGTCCACCTTCAACCCCATCCATCCATCGACAGCAGGCTTCGGCACGTCGCGAGCATAAATGGCCGTCGACAAAGTGTTTTGATATTCATCCTCGCTGACTTGCAGCGCGTCTGCATTAGCACGATCGAAGATGAGGGACGCTGCAATCCCGGCATCCTTTGTGAGATTGAGCCAGTTTAGAACCTTTGCCAGTGTACGGAAAGCAGACATGTCGTTGTCGTCGACCCAGTCGTCCAAATCGGCAATGCAGAGCTTGAATGCTTGGTCGGCCAGTTCATACGCCCGTCTTAAATGATTCATCTCTTTGAACATTTTTGCGAGCGTTATGAGAGCATTTGCCTTGGCGGAGGATTCTATGACATCGGAGACCCGGACGTTGTTGATCAGGTCAGCTGCTGCATAACACAGAGGCAGCCTCAAATTGCGGACCTTGGTTTTGCTGAATCGATAATGGTAAATGTCGAAGCGCTCTGTGATAATAATACTGAGCAGTCTCGAATCCACTTGAAGGGTCTCGTCTTTCATCATAGCGTCCAGTATCCTGTTGAAGATATCTTCGGCCATCCTGATTGCCTGGCAATCTTCTCGGTAGATGATCGCAAGTTCCGATAGCATGACGCATGTTTCATGGAATAGCCCTTGATAAGCCCAATAGTTGATGGCACGGTCGTAGATTCGTATAACGACTTCAACGTTGCCCGTTGCCACCGCTGCTCTGCGGAGCCAGTCATCCTTATTCGTTTGGCGAGAGCGGCTCATCAGCCAAGCGGGTATAAAAAAGTCGACTTTGCCGGACATCTGCTTTTCTACCGTATTGATGATAGATAGATAGTCTTCCTGCTCCGCATAAATTTGCACGAGGGTAGTCAAGAAGTCACTTGTTCCTCGGCATGTCTTGATATCGCTGTTTAGCGCGTCTGTGCATCTATCGCGGGCTCGCTTCTTATCACCAAGGGCCATGCAGGCTTGCACAGAAAGCATATAGACTCTCTTGCATCGATTTAGGTTGAAGTTAGGTCGTAACGCGGCATCTGAGTCTTTCCAGCATTTGAGAGCTTCCTCTGTGTACTCTTTGACTTTCGTCCACTCATCGATAGCGACAAGTCCGGGCTGGGGTACATAATGCTCGGCAAGTCCAAGCAAGGAATATAGCTTCTCCGCACACATTGAATCGTCCAAGTATCGATTCTTCTCATACAGAAAAAGAGCATATTCTCGGTCTTGCTCGTTGGTGGACTCGTACAAGAGGAGGGCAGCGGAAAGTCGCGCTTGGGCAAACCGGGTCCGCCTGTCTGTGCACAGCCGAAGCATATTCTCAGCGACTCTGGTGTTGATCTGATCATCATCTCGCGACCAGTGCTTGTACTGTCCGGTCTAATTGAAGTTAGCTCCCCGGGAGTGGTTGTAGTCGGTGCCCAGATACATACATTGAACAGCGCACGATAGGCGAGCCTGTATGGACCCTTAGCGCCCTCAGCGGTGGACTTCTGGGCCCAGCTGCGAAGATGGCCGTGGGCCAGATCTTCCAGCATTCCTTCAGGACGCTTCTTCAAGGCATGAGCCCAGGTCCATATCTGAGTCGGGAGAGACAAGTTCTCTTTCTCGTCTCTTTCGGTAAGCTTTTCTACCCAAGCCCGCACAAGTTCGTTGGTGCTCCTGGATAAGTCAATGTCATAAATATCAAAGTGAATCTGCCTGTCAGGCGAGTTCCATAGTATATCTTCAAACATAGAAGAAACGCCAGTTTTGTTAGTGAGAACTCTGCCTAAGGCTTCTCCGACCCTCTTCAGAAGCCGACTCTCAATCTCCCGTGGTTGCGTGGCCCTTGTGTCCACGTATTGCGACACCTTATCTTTTAGGCCTTTCTTAGCATTTTTGGTACTGGGCTGCTGCCACTGAGGAACAACGTCTCTGTCAATATCTTTTAGGTGCTGGATGAGGTGGAAGGCTGCATATTGACAGAGAGGTGTTGGTTTCTCCGCGTTGGGGTCGCAAAGAACGTCGCAAAGAGTGACAAATATATCAACCTTCTCGGCATTTACATTCAGTCCAGGCATGAAACTACCCTTTTTGACACATTCTCTGAACTTTGCGTGGCGGAACTCGATGTACTGATAATCACTGACGGACGGGGTGCGGCGACTTTTGCCCTTAGGGCTCTCTATCTCGTGCTCGGGTCGGGAACACCAATATAGTTCGCGGTCCAACTTCGAGGGACCTAGGTCAGGAGGAAGCATCTGCCGCATGAATAGGAGGCTATGAATAAATTAGATTTTGCATCGCGCTTTCCGGTTCAGCAGTACTTACTTCTGACACTGAGACAGGATAGTTTCTAGCCCCAGGGCCTTCACCTCTGGATCATTCTCAAGGGCAAGTACTTGATTCAAGTTGGTCACTGTGAGAGTCTGCTTTGCGAACGCGCACCAGAAAAGCACTTTCTTGACGGCCTTTCGAAGTGGCTCGTTTGATGTTGCCAGGGCATTCCTAACCAAGGCGTCTTCTCCATCACCGATCATCTCCTTGAATTTGCCCAAGCTCTTCGGACCTTTGACTCCATACTGTTCCATGATATCAATGGTCTGGTCCAGTACAGACAGGTTTCCTAGTAGCATTTGACCGCGTTAGAACAAATGAACTTCTACGCAAGAAGAATCAGTCCGCTCACCGTCTGATAACTGCTTTAGGAAATCCGAGACCTCCTTGGTGACATCCGGATCACGTAGAACCTGTGAGAGCATATTCAACGAACTCATGCGTCGACGAATGATCTTGTCTCCAAGAGAATCATTATTCCACATGCTGATTTCGGGAATGGATGCTTTCTGCGCCACATCAGATGGGAAGAGCTCTCCCTGATCGTGAGACCCTGTCAGGAGGACCCAAATACGATGGTTTCGCTCCCCGAGTGTCTCATATAAGAGACCCAACAGGGATTCACGCTCTTTAGGCTGCATTTCCGAAACACCGTCCAGGAGGATGTACAACTGCTCGGACGAATGCGATCGCTTCTCAAATCGCTTCAGCACGAGCTCATCCCAGACCATTTTCGCATCGCGCGAGTCTAAGACAGGTTTGGTGGCTATCGCGTCACACCACTTTGGATCCTGGGCTGCAATCTGGAATAGAATAGAGGCCACAACGCTAGAGAAGCTTTGATTGTACTGCATGCCCGGCTCGAACAGGAAGTAAGTGACTATAAGTTGCTGTCGCACCGTTTCTTTCTGAACAAGGGTTTGATCTCTTCCGGCTATTGAGGGTATCAGCTGATAGCAATGTGCTGTTAGGAAGGTTTTTCCCACGCCATCACTGCCTTTCATGTATAGTAAAGGGCAGGTGCCGTGCGGGTATAGCCACTTTTTGAAAAGGTCATGCTTTTCAACCCACAGTAAACCGCCATCAATCAGCTGTGGCATAGTGGAGTCCATCCGGGTGGCCATCTGAGACATCACTGTGAGGTTGAGATTGAGCTTGCTTTGGAGGGTTTTTGTCAATTTATCAAATACATTCCCCTTTTCAGACATGCTGTGCATATCGAACGAGAAGGCAGTCTGCTGCATCTTGGTATTGGTATTCTTGATCAGCCAGTTAACGCCATCCTTGATCTCTTTGGTATCATTGTATCCTTCGATTTTGATTGCCTTGTGGAAGCCCTTGATCGCTTGTTCAACCTTTTCACATTTACCAGTGGTCAAGTCAGTTTGCACTTTGAAGACCTTTTTTGCGAAAAGCGCTTTGGTTGAAGACCCCATTAGTTGCAACTCTTGAGAAAAGGAATGTGCACTTTGCTGTGACTTGAATAGACCTACTGAAACGTGATTGGCTTCGCAGATCATGCCCTACATAGGAGCAAAACTGCAACAAGGCGATGAAAACGCCCACTAGGCTTTGCTTAGCAGTTGGTGTGACGACGGGATATTTATCGAAAGTATCGATCTCTTGCATTGCAGCAGTGATTGTCTGAAACGTTGCCTGAACAGTGTTCAGGTCTGCGCTCACATCTTGGGCAGCCTACTTGGGATGAGCTATTCTGGTCGAAATTGGGTTGGTGAGACGGGGCAAAGGATGTTGTGGATGGTATACCTTGAGCAAATACGATATGCCCCCAGCGAGCAGCTTGGCTGGTTCGGCATACTAGCTTGGTTAGACATTGGAGCGAAATCTTTTCGAGAAGCCAGATACATACAGTCCCGCTTGCGTGGCCTTCGACATAAGTGCACGCTTTCTGTGCCCAGGACATACACTGCTGCACCGGCTCGCGTAATTTGTTTCCAAACTCCCGATCTTGGGGGTGTCTCCAATCGCGGAAAAGGGCCTGTGTTTGAGCGAGAGGGTCGCTCGCTGCCTGAAAGTCGGCCAGTTGCGCTTCTTCGGCTGGGTCGAATTTCAAATCTCCCTTCGCTTTTGCAAAAGCCTTTTCCCACAGCTGCTCCATCGACTCCTCGCCATACCCCGATCGTTCTTCGTCCCCATCTTTGCGATTCAGGAGCGTTTTGACGTCCTTCATTATGGGCGTATCCGACCGTAGAAGTCAGAGACCTGAGAAAAGCAATCCCACAGTCGTCGGGATGGGGCGAACTGAAATACATAAGACAGGGGAGGCAGGTGCGGCTGAGCTGAACTTCGTCAGCTATCCCTATTCTCCCGGCTCAATCATTGCTCGATCTGAATCGACCTGCATAGTTAGAGGCACACTAGACGAACTATGGAGCACGGTAGGGTCCCTCATTGGGCCGATCGATCGAAGCTCAGTGGCAGAGATCCCGAGCGGGTGGGGACGCGGGAGATTAATCGCTGCCAGCTGACAGTGTGGTTCTTCAGCTCGAAAGCTTGCTGATTGTAGTGCTCTTGCGACGGGTGCACCTAGATTAACTTCTAGCGGAGCGAGTTCATCGAAAGTGACGAGTTAAATTAATATCACTTATGACGTCTCCATCTCAGCACGTACATCATGGAATGTCCCATGGATTGGCATGTGTGATGGGTGGCTAGCGCGCATCTCCGGTGTTCTGACGATCAGTAAAGAGACCCACTGTTAAAAGTTTAGCTCTCCTCCTGGTTGGATCGTGATGCGGAGGCCCCGTCGCATGCTCCATGCTCCCAACATGGTCCCGGAATGATGGAACTGCAGCTGCAGGTCGACTGTGGTCTATCGGACAAATCAGATATGTCCTTTGGTGGTTCTAAGCCATGGAGATGTGATTGCAAGACAGTGATGGCATTGACACAGCGACGGAATCCATTGCCCCAAGGGGGAATGATACGCTGCTCCCTGGCATGGGCCCCTTCATTTCCACCAATGACAGGGATCCAGGAATATTGGGTAAAGCAATTGCAGGGAAGGAGAAGGGAGAGACTGCAGAAGAAAGGCTAGACACATATGCGTCAAAACTCGTCTCTGCCATAGGTTCATGCAAGCCATGGTAATATGACTGGCTTGTTGTTATTGTGAGGAGCCGGTGGGTACACAACGAGCAAGTACATCGTTCGGTGCTAAACCTCCGATGGTCGGAAGTGACTACCTCAACATCACGTGTCTTCAATCACGTGTCGAGATATCAGGTGATAACAGCCATTCCAGGCTATCCCCTTTTTGGCTACCGCTCCTCCGACCGAAATTGTTGATGGAATCAATTATTCATGGAATGATTCTCCCGACAGACCTCGCTTTTCCTTCCCGCGGATCAAAGACCGGCATCTTCTTTCGACATGGCTCCTACCCTACCTGGTAACTCGGGCACTTAGCCAGACGTCTGCCACTACAGCTTCGGCCTTCCCCGCTCGAGAAAGGCTTCCAGCCTATACTCAGCCCGAGATAACTGCTAGCATCATATCACATACACAATGTGGCGCAAAAGAAAGCATCCTCAAGTGGAGAATGCTTTCAACCTGCCTATTTCAGGTACGCTGAAGCCGCAGGCTATTATAGCAATCCCATTGGCACTCTCATTGAGAACGAAATTACCAGCGTGCGCTGCTATGTGCCTTTCCGCCCAAGGTACTGCTGGTGGGGCCTGGCCGGATATCTCGGTGCTCTAAGACTCACGTCGTCTGACCAACCTATCTCTGAACAAAGAGCAATCATCGACATTTCGCTGCCGCAATTGGATGCTAGTATAAAGCGTCGTCTCCAGAAAGGCTCTTCTATTCGAGTACCGCCCATATAGTTCAGTACCGTTATGGCCGCCGCCGCCGCCGCTCGCAGAGTAGCTGCCACAGGGACTTCTCAGGGTCCGTGAACCCTGAGAGTCCCTGAACCCTGAAGCCAAGCGCCAAGCGCCAAGCCCGTCCAGTGCCGACCTCAGCGCGAATACTTGCTGCGCGATTTGTTCGTTGTCGGCGACCAGTGGATAAACGACCTACTATGTACCCACTCGTTACTTCTTGTCATTGGATGGTCACTGTGTATTCTATATGAATTTTGCTATCCGGCTATGCCGGCACAGCAGACGCCTGTCCGGGGAGTAGCATATAAGAGGGCCTGCAGTCTCTGCAGTAAAGTTGGAGCTGTTGTGCCTCAATCGCTTCCTTCCTGCCATCCAGACCCCAAGCTGCTAGCTGTCCCTCTCCAAGACAACGCCCTCAGTTATGCCTTCCTGGATCGTCAAGCTCGGTGCCCTTGTGGCTTTGGCGCATACCGTCGCCGGATCCCAGATCTCCCTCAGGACGACCACGCCCCCGGCCAATGAGTACGTGACTCACTGCACTGTCATCCTCGATGATGAGCTTTTTGGCTGCAAGGGCAGTTCGAAGCCCTTCGGAAAGAAGTGTGGCCATAACAGGGGCATCGAGACCAAGTCTATCTGCGATACATCCTCCGTTACCGTTGATTGGTCGACCGCCCAGGTTACCTTCCAGGATAACAATGGCCACTCGGCTAACTGCACGCTGAGTTCGACTGAGGAGGGAGGTCACTGCAACACTGACGACCCGGATGAGTTCCCGATTGAGCACAATGGAGCAGAGAGACTCGGAGCCGGAGCTGCCCTCTGGGGTCTTGGCACCATGGCTGCTACCCTGTTTATCTGAACTTCCTGAACTTCCTGAACTTCCTGAACAGGGTAAGTGCTTCCTGGTTGAAGTTTTAGCAATGTCCAACTAGTACTGGCTACTGAATAGTCGACTAACGATTATCTATTTAATCAGGTCTTTCGCCATTTCCGTGATTACACTATCCTCATGATCACTGGCCCGGCTACCACACCATCGATATCGTTGAAAGCAAGTCTATTATGGATGCCGCCATCATATACCCACGATCTCCCGCACTTATCTCTGAAGGGCAAGAGATAACGCAAGACCGAACTCACAGAGGCATTACTTTTTAATGCATATTTTTCTTCTTCGCCTCTACCATTATGTATATAGATTTATTTCTTAGTCAACAATTAACGAGGAATGAAAAGCCATACATACCTCAAGCTTTAGTCTGTGAATCCAGTAACCCTCTTCAAGTGCGCAGAAAAGTCTTCGGCACCGTATACCCGAGGGACCACTCACCCCCTCCCGGCCGAACACTTCCGACCAGTAGCCTAGCTATGGCGCTCGTTACCGAAAAAGAAGTTAGTTCGGTCAAGGTCATGCAATTAAGCGTTGTGGCTACCGCGTCTTGGCACACAGTCGGGGAGGGAAAGCTCGGCGCCCCATACCGCTTTGGGTAGGGTTTGCATTAGTCGACCCTGAGAATTGTCTACGACTGGTATGAAAGCCTTATATGCATTTGAGTCATGTATATTATTGGTGAGTATTTATGGAGCTGGATAGGCGTGGTGCGTTTCTTTGGATTAGAAATGCATATGCACTTGGAAAAATTTTAATGAAGTAAGAAAGTTCCGAACACTGAGAATGTTATCTCAACTGGAGTTAAATAATTAATTAGTCTAGCTAGTAGTAGTGATGACTCGAGACTCATATTTTACTGTTGACAATGGATGTTCACTTACCAATTCAGGAAAGGAAAGCAAATCTCATTAATTGCATGATATAAACATGAATAAAAAGTCAAAAAACATCTATCATAACCACAACAGGTCTATCGTATATATAATGTTTGTGAATCCCGCCAAGTCCCGCTGCGGGTATACAAGTTCCCTGCACTAATTCAAAGAGACATACTTCTTCAACCCGCACCAGCTAGACTCTCCCTTCCCCAGAATCACCACAGAAGCTATACATAAGCTTACAAAAGCGACGAAGAGCATCCAGCCATACCCATAGCGATACCAAAGTTGGAAAAGTGACCAGCAGTGACACCAACCTGGCCATTACCCGCCGAGCAAGAGGTATCGCGCTCACCACTGCACTTGACCGTGCTGGCCTGAGTTCCGGAGCTGTAGTATTCCTATAGCAGACCAAATGTTAGGGGAATATTTATAGCGGACATATTAGGAGTAGGAAAACCTACGGTGCCATAGTGAACAAAGTCCCAGGGCCACATGACGTACATGTTCTAAAACATCGCTGGTAAGCATTCAAGGTCAGACCAGATAAGGTCAAGAGTAACTCACAGGGACACCATCATCAGCATTATTACCCCGGTTCAGGGTTCCGTTCTGAGAGGCACCAAAGTTGGCGAAAGCCTCGTTACCGATGGGGTAGGCCGCAAGGGCATTGCTGATGATTGTCTTTCCGGGGAAGTTCTGCGCAAGCGCGATGTAGGAGATGTAGGTGAGAGAGCCACCGAGGGAGTGTCCGGTCGATTCGATGGTGTAGTCGGGGTATTGCTCGACCAGCGACTTGACTTCCGAGATCACATCATCGTGCACGGAAGACCAGGGAGAATAGATGCCGTGCATCATCTTGGCGCCGGAAGGGAAGTTGACTCCAGACAGGGTGGGCTCGACGAGGGTGGTGTCGACGTCGTTGGCGATGTCGGTTGCTGTTATTCTCAGTTTTGGATCTTTCGTCAATGTGATAATAATTTTTATGTACTAACCGCTAGTGGAACCCCGCATGGCGACGGTTATACGCTTCTTCTCGGTGGAGTAACCGATGAAGCCCTTGTAGCTTGTTAGTAGACGTAAGCTGACTGGGGCACGGCACGTACTTGGGTATCAGTTACAAGCTCATTGATTTGCTTGGTGATAGTGACATCGAAGGCACTACCGGTACAACCGGTGTAAGCTGCAGAGGACAGCTGTGCGGCTCTATGAAGTTCCGTCCATTCGGCCGGATCTAAAAGATGTTAGGGAAGCGCAGGAGTAGAAGGTCGAAGAGAGCTAACCGGAGGTGGCTCGAGACTGGAGCATTGGCACAGCCAAAGTCAAAGGAGTCAGGGCGAGACCGCCAAAGAGAGTGGACTTTCCGACACGCATGACGAAGGAAACGAAGGACTAGGATAAAGATCGTAGTAAGAAAAGAACGGTGCTACAATTAATCTCGAGTTTGCCGGTAAGGAAAAACAGAACCGTTCTACTCAACTTCCTTTTATAATGCTACATACTCATAATTTCTGTGCCGGTAAAATCTTGATCGCTTGAAACAACACTGATACATCATCATAGGTAAGGTACCCCGGGAGAAAAAGCTTGAATCACCGGATCGGACATGACCCTAGGATAGGATTAGATTAGGGATTAAACTTCGAATCCATGTGCAGCAGTTACCCATGCGCCGAGTTTCAAAGAAAATGGTAGACTTCTCTTGGGGTTGAGAACCATCAGTGGCTCACCAGAATTCGAGATGTTGATTAGGGCTTGCTCCGTTGTTTCATGATGGTCTGCAGTGGGGATCCGTTCGGGCGACCCAATTTTGAGCCCCGGGCGTTCAGTGGTCGGACCGCAGCCTTTGCCCTAATGGTGTAGCTGCCTAGCGGCCGGTAGATGGATCGCCAGGAGTATAATTAGAACCGTTCGACATGTCTCTTCCTCAATTTCTCTGGGAAAACCTCGGAATGATGTTTGAGGCCTCAACGCGGATACCGCCCCACCCAACTGTTTTCGATAGATGTTCGCCCGCCATCAGACTGAACTTTGACTGTCGCAGATCATTGAATCGGACGATAACTCCGCCATTGTTGCGGGATATTTGGAAGACCTCTCAAAACTGCCTTTAATGTACCGTGTCTAAACGCGGAGACCGAACGGTGATTTGGATCAATCAAATATGATGATATCCGTTCATTGATACTAATGTACTCGCCCCCGGCTATTTCCAACATTTACCCCAAATATCGGACTTCTGCGACAGATTGAAGTCACAAGGCAGGTGGTCTGTCTCACGGCTTCAGGCTAATGGAAAAGGGAATATCCGCTAACCTTCATTTCCCGGTGTATCCCATTCCGATTGGTAACCAAGAGACTGATAATGTTTGTTAACACGCATGAGACGAGACTGTCAGTCCGTTGATCCTCAGGACTGCGGACCGAATTTCGAGAAGATCAGGCCCCACAAAGTATGGCCACGCGATGATCATAGAAAATTTAGAAGGTGTGAACCATCACAATGGCACTGCTCATGGCCCACGTGGGCCTGCCAAATTCCCAGTCATTATTGCCGGTTTTTCCGAGAGGCCAAATTGCAGGGACTTGGTCGTAATCTCTCGTTCCAGCCAGACACGGAGCAAAACACCTTGATCGAATATGTATCTCGAGAGCGTGAACCTGGCTAGCTCCTAACGAGCTGTGGACTTGTTGAATAGAGATCTTAGAGGGACCAAGCCGAGGTCTCCTGATGTGCCGTGCAATGTAGACGCAATACTTCCCACAGCTCCAATTGCGCTCTTCACGGCCAGAGCGGCCTTTGATTTTTGATAGATGCATCATGGTTTTCTCTGAGAAGTCTACGATCATTGATCTGGTATGGTTTGGGCACTTTAACCATTACATTGATATTCCTTTCTTGTAGGTTCTATGGTGTAGGTCGCAGGTCACGTATACCTACTCAAAGAATCTACACCCATACACCTCAGATCAAACCCAGTGAAAGCCACCTTTCTGCCCATATATTTTAACCGGGAATCTGATCTGTTCCTGTCGGTTAAACTCGGAGTAGCATATCTTCCTGATACGGCCAAAAGAAAGTAGATTAAAGCTTACGAAAAGCGGAGCATGCGCTAGCAGGTATACCGCTAAACACTCTTTATTCATAGTTCAATACACGTCACTCCTGACCCGTATACACGTTGAAGCTCGTTATGCTACCCTCATGTAAAGTAAGGCTTTAACCTAGGTCTATAGTCAATCCCCTCCATCTTCACCACATACTTCAGACACCAGACCCATCTGACCTCTGCTTGATCTTTATGTCAAACTGCACCGGCTTGACAAACCACATATTGTTTGACCTCACGTCTGTACCACCTTCTTGCTGTATATCGATATCGTAGTCCCGAACGAGCTGCGGAATGAGTTTGTTAATCTCATACAGCGAGATATTCTTGCCGATACAGGTTCTTGACCCGATGCCGAAAGGAACCAGACATTGTTCCATTATTCGGAGCTTCTCAGAGTCTTCGGTCAACCATCTCTCCGGCACGAAGTCGTCGGCATTCGAGCCCCAGATGCTCTCATCTCGATGGATGACCCAGCTATTTACTCCAACATTCGTCTGTGAAGCCATCAGCACATTTCTGTACAAGTGTGATAAAGGTACAACTTACACCCTCCGGAAAGAACCGACCACAGATAACAGCACCACCTTTTGGCACGATACGGAAAAGAGGGAACCCGACACCCGGATGCAGACGCATCGACTCCTTGATAACAGCCTGCAGATACGGCAATTTCTGAGTTTCCTGGAAAGAAGGCTCGCTTCCTAGACCAGCATCTTGAATTTCTTGTCGCAGTTTTTTCAGCGTCTCCGGGAACCGATACGAATAGAATACCACAGAGCTGAGACCGATTGCCGTGGTGTCACTCCCGGCACCAATATTGGATGCTGCGCTTGTCTGGATGTCCTTATCCGTCAGGCCTTTAACATCCTCTTGCCGAGCATGAAGAAGCCTTCGGACCATAGGGATTAGCCCCGGAGGAGATGGATTCTTGAGATACTCTTGTGACAACTCTTTGAACTTTTGGGCGTTGAAACGAGCCACGTACAGGGCATCGGACGTCGCGAAAAAGCTGCCGAGGAAAAGAGCCAGTGGTCGTAGCCAGATGAGAAGGCCCACCAGACTGCTAATAACAAAGCTTTGATCCAGGTTGGCGATCAAGTTGTTGATATCTTTGCCATTATCCAGGAAACCGAATCGCTCACCGTACTGCTTATATTAGCACGGCTTCATTGGGATGAAGAAGAGAAATGTTGTTGTGTTGGAAAGAGAAGATCCAACACACCGTGATTTCGCTTATGGTATCAAAAGCAAAGCATTGAAGCCAGTGTCCTAGGTCCAAAGTCGACCCGTCCTTCGCAGTGGAGTCCAGTTTCTTGCGCAGTCGCCGGATGCAATTATCTACATAAGGCTCGTACGAAACTATAGCTGACATGGCGTACATGGCCGCGACCTTACGACGGGCGCTGGAGTGATCGGCCACATTTTGAACAGAAAACAGGTTGTGGTCTCTGGTGTCCGGTGAGAAGTTCCAAGCCTCATACCACTCTGACTTGATGAATTTGGAACCATGAGCATATATGGTCTTGATAGCATCGAGACCGGTAAGACTGTACCAGCCGGGGGCGATGCGCACAATTTTGCCTGTGAAAGACTTCAGCAATCAATCTTATTGATTTCCAGGTCTTGACACATACCATGGTCCCGGTGCAGTCTGATATTGGTATACTGAAAATCACCTCTCGTCATTTGTCTGAGATACCAGAGCCGAGTGAAGCGGGCCAGAAAAGGGCCTGGAATGTCACGGTCAGAGGATAGTGCCCGCTTGACAAAGACCCACAGGAACAGGCCTAGAGCCAGAGCAGAGAAAGTAGGGATTGGGGCCAGTATCATTTTGAAATTCGGATATAGGACCAGACTCAGCTGTTGTGGGCAGATTCTTGATAAGTTTCTGTTTGCTTGGAGCGCCAGCCCACATTCTTATAAGACTGCCATGCATGTATGCAACTGGTTCTCGGGAAATTCGGTCCCGGACTTGATGACGACCATGCATGCACATGGCGTCAAGAATAGAGAAATCTAGGCGATTTTTGTCTCCTCTTACAGCTGATCTGCAGGGATATTTGCTTGACTAAGCGGAGCTCGGCGCTATGATCGGAACTTGCAGCTGGACGGGATCTTGCTATACCTCGAACGTCGAACAATGAACATGGCTTTGAGAAGCTTCCTTGGAAATAGTGATGACTCTGGTAGTTGTGTCAGAAGTTGTATTTTTCTCTCTAAGGTATCCTTACAATCATATATGCTACCCTCACAATTGTCGGTAGTCGTACTGGTCTTCGGAAGTGTTGATTGTTGATGTGGAGAATTCTCGACCAGGGTCCAACGCATCCCGTCAACAGCCCGTCAAGTGGCTCCAACCACAGCCAATAAGACGATGATGGAATAGTACTCCACGACAACCTAGTACTCATGATTGCACGTTAAGGCGGTTCCGGCCCGCATTATTCGGGCCTGTAACCAAGTAACCCCTCACGACTGCGGCAGGCAGCGCCTGCTGCGCCTTCTCGTTTGGCATCCCATCCTTGTACACCTTTTGTCGACCGTCCATTAATTCGTTAGTTAGTTCTTGGCTGGATCATCAATCTAAAAAGTACTTCATCTGATGCCTTGTTCGATGCTTTAGTTATGCTACTAAACGTTCTTTAATTTATCCCTACATACGACTAGAAGAGCATCTGCGGCAGACCGCTGTTTGAGGCAACGATTACTCTGTACTCGTGTGGGTCAATAACACCTAGTTTGGATTAATATGCTCACTATAGCGCTGGTTCTAATATGGCCATGTACCTCCGAGATATATTTGTGGCATCAGTCACCCAGTAAGTCATTCTTTCACGCTTATGTGTGACTGTTATGCCTACTGCCGAGGCGTCTTATTCATTGTAGCCAGGAATCACCTGATCCTTTGCCACTTCTGCGGCCATACATGCCCGCGCCTCCACACCGTCCTGACAACCCAAACATAAAATATATATCAACAAGTAGACCCTTTCCCCTGCGCTCCTGTCTTTCTGAGTTATAGTACTCTATGCACGATCTATCCCAAAATTCGATCCAATGTAGTACTACTTCTTTGACACGCACCTTCCCTTAAATAAAGCTAAAAGACTCCACTTTTCGTACTGCGGAGCCTTGCTCTCAATTGAGAGATATATGTACCCTACAAACCAAAATACTGTCAAGCACAGTATTGCAGACCTGGGATGCTTTCATTACTGTGCCAATATGGCACCTGGAAGCCCGTAATGGATTCCCTCAAGCCAGCAAATAAGAATCTACACACATTGAATCAAGAACCGACATCAGCGTCGACGAGCGCAGAGACCAGCATGATGAGGGCTTGTAAGCAGCATTACATCCCGCCATTTCTACATTCATGCAATATGGGTACTAATACGCCCTAGGTTCGATTATGAATGGTAATTTCGTAGTAACAATATACTTTTTATATATAATGTCGGGTTACCTCTTCCCTTTAGACACTCATCTAAGTGACTGGTTGTCAGTGCTTAATCTAATACTCGTCTCACTAGATTGAGATGGCTGTCCAACAAAGCCTCCGGATTAATGAAGAGCAGTGGGGCGTAAAACCAATATACACCTCCCCTTAAGAATTGTCTCATGGACTACATACTATATTCTACATTAGTCGACCAGAGAATGGCAATGTCGGTGCTTGTTACATTTCGCACGGAGAAGCCATTGACAAGCAACATATTCTGGTTAGTTGAGAGAATTCACCAGCAGATACATAATGCAAAAGAATGACTCAACAGCCGCGGCAGCACCACTCTCGGTTTCCGATGCTGTTAGCGATATTGCTTGCTTTCCCGGGGGCATGAAGAGATAAAGATCATAGGATGCAATTCAGCTGATAACATGAACGCAAAGTATAAGGGAACCGAAGCAAAGCAGTTGAAAATGCTCTCTGGCTAAAGTTGCGAAACAGTACTTACTGTCCGACCATGCTATTCATAGCTAGAAGGCCTTGCATGCTACTAGTTTAGTTTCATGTATCGGAATATTACCAATCCTTCAGGATCACAGCCTTCCCACACCATACCCCTGCAGGGATACCCGTTACACAACAGATGCAGCCACCCGCCCATTCATCACGATGACAATCTTATCCATCTAATCCATCTTACAGATATGTTCCAATCTAACCAAGATCCATTATTTACAATACCCTAAGATACAAAGGAAATAGAAAAAACACCAACAAAAGAAACCCTACCCATCCTGTCTAAAATCCTTCGACACCATAATCCCATGCAACGGCACCTCATCCCCCTCCTCCCCATTCCCCAACCCAGTACCACCCCCAACCAACCCACTCGCCCCCCTACTCCCCCTAATATTCGTAACCGTCAGGCCTCGATCATGTTTCGGCCTCAATACCGCATCCAACTTAATCTGCTTCTGCGTGACGCCCACGCCCCCCTCCTCATCCGGTAAATGGTAGAAGGAGTGGCGATTGGCGCGCGCCGCCATGCCCGCTGTGCTGGCCGTGCTGTCCGCGGGCATCTGGCTATCGTCCGACTTGGAGAGTGGAGAGGTGCGACTGCGGAAGAGGGCAGGTACAAGGGCGGATCTGAGGCCGAGCTTTCGGGCGGCGAGTTGGAGTGCTGGACGGAGGGTGGGGAGACAGGCGGAGACGATGCCGGCGGACATTTCGATGGCGGTCCAGCCGACGGTTGGGGCGAGTGTGTAGCTTGAGTCGGCGGAGGTGTAGCTGAAAAGGACGGTGAAGCGGTAGGCGGAGGCGAAGATTACGCTGTTTTTGTTGGTGTTGAGTTAGTGGAAGAACTCATCATCAACGAAGGGTTTAGGGAGGGGGCATTACAAGAAACCCAGGCCAAAGGCGACTGTAAGAGCAATCTTCTCGGACAGTCGGAGCTGGAGCTTCCAGACTTGAGGGAGGGGAAGAAATAAGATGATGAGGTCTGTGGCGATGGTGGAGGTTGCGTTGGCGATCCAAGTGCCGACCTGGCTGATGCAGTGGCCGGGGAGACTGGGGTACCAGAGTTTCTGGACGGGGACGCAGATGAAGATGAATAGGAAAGTGATGCAGATGACCCAGAGAATGACAAAGGTGCCGATGGCGTAGGCCCATTTTTTGAAGTAGGGAAAGCGGAAAATGCGGTAGTACATAAGGAGAATGCTGAGTTTGGTCCAGACTAGGTTGAAGACGTAGAGAATCTCAGCGACCACGAGGTATTTGGCAATCAGAATAATTTGAGAGGTAGGAAGCTTGTCAGCATGTATGCCCATGCCCTCGTGGATCATGCCAAAGATAAAGCCGACGACAATAAAGTTCCATAACTGGGTTGGATTGTTAGATGCATGTATTGGGGTGGTGGTGAGGAGGGAGGAGACCCTACCATCGAGAAAATAATCATCCAGTCATCCCACCATAATTTCTGTTTCCGTTCCAGACGAGAAATCACCCGTAAAACAACACACACAAAAGCCAACACCGTCACAGAGACCGTGGTGGCCGTGGCCCATGGCTGAAGATCTTCCTTCTCACCCATCGCCCCGGACGGAGTCACACATACACACACGCTTTAAGCACCAGCGCCAGCACAGGGACAGGGACAGGAACGGGTGGTCCCACGCCTGCCAGGGCGCGAGCGGATCGATTTAATATAGCAAAGGCATTAAGACGGGAGAAATGGATCATGCAGAATGAGGAAAATCTTCAGCAGCAGGCCAGGATCCAGCAGAGGGACCCCACCCGGGCCAGGCGCCAGGCCACACACGGCTTCAGTTGCGGATCCCACACTTTCCCCTTCAGCAGATGGCAGCCGTGGCCAACGAATCATTCGCAAGCAATCCCCCCAGCTCTGACCTGTCAAATACTCATTATTCGAACGCGCGGGAACTGGTCCGACAGTGCCGGTCTGTCGCCAAGGCCACGCCAGCCCGGGCCGGTTCGTTCTAGTTGCGACCAATATTGGACTCCTTGCCTTCTAGACTGTTTGCCTTTCCACAGGCACACACGCCCGGATTGGATCCGGGGGCGACTCTCGAGCCTTAAATCTCGTGTCCCTCGGATTCCTTCCCGGTTGACTAGTCAATTAGTTTACTCGATAGAACTCCTTAGTCTAGGCACGCGACATACATCCGTCCATACATGAATGTCCTTCGTATCTACATATAACTCTAATCTACAGTCCTACTACTTAGTATGGGGTTTAGCGATGATGCGTTCGCGCTTATGCCCCATATTTCTGAACCATCTCCAACACCGCCGCATTGACTTCCCGCGGGTTCGTCGCATTCAGATAATGCGCTCCCTCTTGCACCAGCACCAATTTCGCCTCCTTAGACCTTCGTGAACTTCGAAATCTGTTCGCTTGCCACCGTCGTCTGGAAAGGGGTGTCTTCCGTACCCTAAAGGATAGTAGTTCGTATTAGCCCCACCCCCAACCAAACCAACCCGAACCGAACCATTGTAAAGATTCTCTAATTGGAATAAACTCACCTGCAACCAATAAACCGGACACTGCACATCTCCCAGTCTCAACACCAGCCCATCCCTCGTCAGAAGACACATAAGTGCCATGCGCACCTTCTTCCGTCCTTCATCGCCCTTGTACACGTCCTTCAGTATGTTCTTCCAGAACCCGACCGTCTCTTCTGTCGCGCCCTTTCCGAAACCAATGCCTCCAACCATCCCGCACCACACATCATCCACGATAAAGTCGGGAGTGGGTGTCGCGCTGCTCCATTTCTCCAGGAATGGGGTCAGCAGCGTCACGGGATCCCAGCAGCCCTTGCTTCTGGAATCAGAGGACTCGTAGTCCATGGATGTACCGAGGGGCAGGACACCGAGGATCTATTCACCACCAATCGTTCCATGATTAGAACAACACCGAAGTAGTACACCAAAGGGGAAAATTTGAGAAAATCAGAGAATCGTTCAACGGATTATACGCACCCTTTCCGGCGCCAACAGCGCCATGCGCATAACAATCCACCCACCCTGGCTGGTTCCCAGAGTGAACGCCTTCTCAATACCCAGCTTATCCATCACCTGCAGTGCCATAATGGCCGTATCCCAGTAAGTGAAGTGTTCCGCGACATGGCAGTGAGTGGCGCCATGACCGAGGGGTTCGATAGCGAGGAGATTTGCCGCGTTTGTTAGAGTCTCGTCGTTGAATTGGGGCTCGTAGAGAGAAACAGTCATGCACATGGAGTTGATGAGCACTACGGTCGGTTTGGCGGGGTCGTAAGTGTTGTTGTTGGTGAGGCGGTAGCCGACGTCGATGCCGCCCAGATGGGGGACGGTGATGGTGGTGGTTGCGGCCATTTTCCTTTCCCTTTTTTCTTTCTCAATGTATGGTGGTATTGGTATGTGTAGAAGGGAGGGAGGATAGATAGCACTCTACTCAAAAAGGAGGTGAAAATGAGGGGGGTAAGCTTTGGTGATGGTATCACGTGGGACCAACAACTCTGAACTCTAGTCAAACACAACTCAACTCAGTAGTGCCGTGTCAATCAATAGTCCAGTTCATTTCTTGGTTCCAGATACAACTTACCGCGCGGGCAAGAACCAAGGAACCAAACAAACGAAAGAATAACCTGTCAGGAGCGGGGATGGAGAAGACAACTCCTACCCGAAACTGACAGACAATGACAGTTCATTGAACGGAGAAGCTACCCTTTTCGGTTGGCAAAACCGGTCCCTGCCTCCATCTCCAACCCCAATCCTCGGAGGCTAGTTACTTCTAGCTACAAAGCAAAATAGTTTAAACCCTAACTATAACTCGCCTCACTACACTACGTACTGCTTCGTACCTCGGCCTCATCCCGAACGAATCCGAGACCCTACCGAGTCTCAACCGAGACAAAGGGATCCGCAGGGTTGGGTCCCTGCCACGCGCTCGATTGGTTCCTGCAGCACAGATAAACTTCTGATGGGCGTTTCGGACGCTTTTTAGCGGGTCAGCCACTATGCAGGGGGGAAGCAGAAGAGGAGCCTGTTTGTGTTTGTCACGCTGGACACCGACTCGCAAATCTGTCGTGTAACCAGTTCAGACAAGGGTATTAATTTTGATTAATAACGGTCGGAACACACGGAGAAAGGAAAAGGACCATGGAACACAACTCTCATGACAGGTAAACTTAAGCTTATTGCCGCGTGGTTGGTGGGGAGAGATATTCGTCATGGTGGGTTTACAGCTTTGCCATGTGCCGAGGCTTCCGGCATAAAGAAGATTTTTTTTATGATTATGAAACATGAAGATGGACATCATGCAATGAAACCCAGTTGACCTTGGCATCAAATCATACCATTACTCATAAGTAGCCTAATGCTATAAAACAAACCGATTATACCTTCTCTTCATGGGAACTGCTTCCCTTCTCTACCTCACCCCCAACATCACCCACCTCCTGACCATCTTCCACTCTCCTCTCTTCCGGCACCTTCGCCCACCCTATCTTCCACCAACTCCTCGTAAACACCTCCTCCATCTTCTCCATACTCCGTCCCTTACACTCCGGGAACCCAACCCCCACCCACACCGTCGCGAGCGTCGTGAACGCCGTGAACAGCGCAAACGGGCCCCAGGACTGCATACTCTCCGTCATACTGGGGAACCCGCGCGTAATCCCAAAATTGAGCAGGTTCTGGTACGTGAACGCAAGCGTCACTACCGTGCCGCGTATCCGGGTCGGACAGATCTCCGACGCTGTGAGGGAGAACACGGGCGCCCAGCCGAAGCCGTAGCCTATGGCGTAGATGCAGATCGCGACAATGCAAACATACGACGCGGCGGAAGGGGAAGCTGTTCCTGACGATGAGGGCGGGCTGAGGGCAAGATAGCACGTCAGGTACAGCAGACAGAGGACGTTGATTGTGGAGCCGATCAGCAGGAGAGGACGCCGGCCGAAGCGTTCCGTTAGGAACCAGGCGTAGAATAGTACGGAGAGGAGCTTGACGAGGCCGTAGATGGCGGTGAAGAGAAGGACTTCTGAATGGCCAAGGCCGATGGATTCGAGTATATTTGGGGCGTAGTAGGTGATGCTATTGCCTCCACTCATGATGAAGAAGGTTTGAATGAGAGTGACGAAGAGGAGGATTTTGCGGGTCGGCGGGTGATTGATGCATTCGTGGAGAAGGGATAGGAAGGCTTTCGTGGGAGTGATTGTTGTGGACGTGGTGTCGAGCTTGCTGAGGAGTTCGGCATATTCGCGGGCGAAGTACTCAGTGCTTTCGTCCATGCCGCCGCGCAGGCGGGACAGGCTGCGCCGGGCAGCGTCGACGTGGCCGCGCATCATGAGGTAGCGAGGGCTTTCGGGGAAGAAGGGGAATCCGAGGAAGAGGATGATGGCCGGGATGGATTGCAGGACAAGTGTGGTGCGCCATTGCCAGCTGGAACTGTCGGGGATGACGAGCAACGAGGCGTAGTTGATCCAGTAACTGCCTGTAACGCCGCCCATGATGCTCACGTTGTAGAAGGTCGTCATCATTCCGCGCAGCTCGAGGGGTGCAACTTCGGAGATGTATACCGGTCCTGCTGACATTCCCAGTCCAGACCCTAATCCGGAAAGAATACGCCCGACCAGGAGTTCAGCGAAGGACCCCAGGTTGGCAGCCATGAGAATAGCTCCGATCGAGTAGCAGATGGCGGCAGCGAGGATGACTGCCTTTCGGCCCCGTCGTTCCCCTAGTGGGCCTGCGAATAAGACTCCGACGGTTTGGCCCTGCATAAAGTTATACTGCCTCAGTAAATGCACTTCATGCTATATAGTGTGAGATCACATACCAGCAGCATAGAGGATACCACCCAGCCCTCATTGTTCGAAACAGTCGTGCTGGAAAGCTTGTCCCATCCAAAGTCTGGATCCCATTGCTCCATCTGCATAGCACCCGAGATATTGGACGTGTTAAAACCATGCAGACCACCGCAGTACGAGGCCCAGATGATCGCCAACCAGATGTAAAGTCCTCGAGCCGCAGGAGGGACTTGTTTGATGGCTTGGGGGGAGAAACCGCCGCCTGCTGCTCCCATATTGAACGGAGAAAGTAAGTTTTGGGCGTATTGCTCGACACCGAGAGATCCCTAGTTACCAGACCTGGGCTGCCAGCATGAGATAGATTGACAACACAGGCAGAGGGATCTACTAAATACCCCAGGATATCACAGCCTATGCAACCAAAGGCATAATCAGTCCACATCTGCAAGATGGTGGGCATTAGCCAATCCAATCTAGTCGGATGTCATCCCCTTCCTGCCAAGTCTGGGGAATGCGGAGTCAATCCGGGGCATATCTTGGGCTACTCCGGGTGGCCGGAGCTGTCCATGAGAAGCATTTCCCGCGCATTGACATGGTGCAATTTTGGTACCACCAATGAGGGAGGTGCTTCAGTAGGAACGCCACTCTTGTGGAACCTAGGGGATACCGTATAAGATGAGAGATACGGCATTTATATAGGCGGCTGCCATTTGGACTCCACTCTGCCAAACGGACTTTGCAATCATGCCTAAATAGAGCTAACCAAGATATCATTCATAAGCTGGTTATGTAAAACACTTTCAGTCGAATGCTGTAAATGGGTATGCTCAAGACTACCTCTAAGACTGCCTTCAGGCTACCCCCAGGCCATCTCTAAGACCATCTCCAAGGCACTATCTAAGGGGAACCCCTAAAGCATTTTCTAATGCGTCATCTAAGGCACCTTGTACGGCACCTGCAAGACGATCACCTAAAGCACCTATTGGGGACAGCTCCAGGGGCACTAGGCGGACGCTACGAAGCTGCTACGGAGACAGGTTTCAGAGTAATTGAGAAGGTAAGATTAATACAAGTCTCAGTTTCCTACTGAGGTAAGATTGTGTTCGAGAGAATCACAAAGAGAAGACCTTCAAAAAGGCTAGCTGTAAAGTCCGTTCGGCAGGGTGTGAGTCCAAGTAACATTTGTCTTTGTATATAAAAACCTTTCTGTACATTGAATCTATTTATCATTCTATGCAAAAACCCACTCAGCTGCGTACAGTAGCCTTGATATGGTTCAAGGCACTACCAGCCCGGAGCCACGGGAGCTGTCCGGCATGATAGCTGTGGCACAACTCAGCCTCCCAGGCGTCTCCATGGCGCGGAGTAACCCGCATGGTGACATTCTTCCCCGGTTGCAGCTCTCCATCTTCTACGCCAATCAGAGTGATGCGATCTCCCTCCTGCACTCGGTCGTAGTCAGCAGGATCAGCGAATGTGAGCGGAAGCATTCCCTGTTTCTTCAGATTCGTCTCGTGGATACGAGCGAAAGACCGGGCTATGATGGCAATGCCACCGAGGAAGCGAGGCTCCAGTGCGGCATGCTCTCGCGAACTACCCTCACCGTAGTTGTTGTCTCCAACCACGCACCAACGAATGGAACGGTGCTTCAAGTCTCGGGCCACTTCATGAGTAAGCTGGACCTTGCGCGTTAGCGGATGTGTCGTATGGCCTAGCATTTGCGGGTCATTGTCTAAGAATGCATTGGTTGCGGTGGTGAGCATGTTGTGGCTGATGTTCTCCAGATGACCGCGATATTTGTACCACGGGCCAGCCGGGGATATGTGATCCGTCGTACACTTGCCCTTTACCTTCATCAGCAACTCCATGTCCGTTGCATTTCCGTGCTTCCACGCCGGGAAGGGCTTCAAGAGTTGTAGCCTGTCGGACTTCTCATCGATAATAACCGAGTAGGATGAGCCATCTGACGGAGGCTCTTGAAAGCGATCTGCACCGGAATTGAATGATTCTGGCAATTCCTGACCTACAGGAGGCGTAAGCCGCAGTGGCTGAGATCCTTCCGCAGAGATACTGTCAGTGACAGGGTTAAAGTCCAGGCGACCAGCATAAGCAAAGGCTGTGACTAGCTCCGGCGACGTGACGAATGAGTGCGTGGCCGGATTGCTGTCGTGGCGCCCCACAAAGTTACGGTTGTAGCTGGAGATCACCGAGTTCTTCTCTTTTCCGCGGACATCCACGTCCTTGCGGTCCCACGACCCGACACACGGTCCGCAAGAGCTGCTGAGGATCATAGCACCAGCGTCCTCGAGATCCTGCAGGATACCAGCCTCCTCGGCGGTAGCCCGAATTCTTTCGCTACCTGGTGAAACCAAGAAAGGAGTCTTGAACTTTGTTATTCCGGCCGCCCGGGCTTGGTTAACCAGCTGCCGAGCCTTGTCCAAATCCTCATAGGAGCTGTTGGTACAGCTACCCACCATGGCGTGGCTTAGGTTCACAGGCCAATCGCTCTCAGCGACCGCAGTAGACAGCTTCGAGATGGGATGAGCTAGATCCGGTGTGAAAGGACCGTTAACATGCGGCTCCAGAGTGTCCAAATCGATCTTGATGATTTCGTCGTAGTACTCCTCGGAGCCCTCATCTGCGGTGAGTAGAAGGTCTTTGACTGAGTTTGCCGCTTTCACAACATGATCGCGCGCAGTGGCACTCAAATAGCGGGCGATCGCATCCGAGTAGGGGAAGATACAAGAAGTCGACCCAATTTCCGCAGACATGTTGCAAATGGTAGCCATAGCTGTCGCGCCCAGGGTCTTCGTACCAGGACCGAAGAATTCAATGATGCGACCTTTCCCGCCCGATACACTGAGTATTCCTGCCAGTTTACAGATAATATCTTTTGTTGACGCCCAACCTTGAAGCTCGCCCGTAAGTTCGACTCCAATGACTTTCGGCGCAACCAACTCCCAAGCCATCCCCGACATTGCGTCAACAGCATCGGCTCCGCCAACGCCAATTCCAAGCATGCCCATCCCACCTGCATTGGGCGTATGAGAATCCGTACCGATAATCAAACCTCCAGGCCTATGTCCCAAAATTGTCAGTGATGGTAATTGCGGTCTTCATGTGGTAGACATACATCGCGTAGTTCTCAAAAATGACAGTATGGATGATTCCAGATCCAGGCTTCCAGAAGCCGATCCCGTACTTCTTCGAAGCGCTACTCAAGAAATCATATACCTCTGCGTGTTCTGTGGTCGCACGCTGCATATCTTTCTCCGCGCCATTCTCTGAGATAATAAGATGATCGCTGTGCACTGTTGTCGGTACCATCACACGCGGGAGGCCAGCGCTGATAAACTGTAGTAAAGCCATTGTTGCAGTCGCATCATGGCAGGCAACACGATCAGGGCGTAGCTCCAAAATGGTCTTTCCCCGCGTAATCTTATCAATGTTCCAACGACCGCTATCCGTGTCCAGTAAGTGACTGTATAGTGTCTTTTCAGCAAGCGTGAGCGGGCGCTTTGATCCCTGCTTAATCGCTTCGATGGCCCGAATCTGTTTGGGGTAGTGAACGCCTAGAATCTGTTCAACGGCCAAAATCAGCACCAAATGCTCTGGACTGAGATCGAGGTGTACTGACTGGGTTACCTGGAACGGTTGTCGCATAGCTCCGAGCTCCGTTCAGGCAGAGGGATCGGTATGATGCTTGCATCACCGGTAATTTTTGGCGACATCGCTGCATTGTGCTGGCTTGAGTATCGTGGTATGAAGGTTAACCATTGAGTATAGAAAGTTACAAAGAATATTCCTCGAAAGCAGTCATGGTTCGCGTAGGTCAAGCTCTGTCGCCGGCCGAGGCAAAAGAGCGGGACTACTCCGGATCTGGCTTCGGAGCTATCCGACAGTGCGAAAGCATGCCCCGGGCTACTCCAGAATACGGGATCATCCGTCGGATGGTCCGATTGTCTCCCCGCTTTTGAAGCTGGCCACCACTTCTATCTACCTTCTGTGGCGACCGTCTTGCCCATTTGTATCTTATCCTGTACCATCGATTCAATCGCGGACAAGCAACTATGGCTATTAGACCAAACGTCCTCAGCGCGTTGCGGCGCTTCACCTCCTGTGATGTAAGATACACTATTCGGCGCAATTCTGGCTAGAGCTCAACCAATCCCTTCAGGTCGGCGATGCACTCGTCAAGCTTGGAGTCTCTCAGGGCGGCTATTTATCCGGCCTTAAAATGTACTCTCCGGATTTCATGTCACCCACAGCAAAGTTCCTCGGCCCGGCATACACAGTGAAAATGGTGCATGCCTCGGACAAGGCTTCGCCAACGCCAAAGGTTCACTTCGCCGATGCCATCCCCAAAGACAGTGTTGTATTTGTGTCACAACCCAAAGGCTTAATCAGTGCTTGTTGGGGAGGACTCATGAGCACTCGGGCTCAGAAACGTGGTGCCGCCGGAGTCATCATTGATGGCAAATTTCGTGATATCAATGAGCACCGCGAGCTGGGAATGACCCTGTTTGCGCGCGGCATTAGCATCCTTGGATCTAATACTTTCACTCGCTCCTCTGAATTGGATGTACCGGTTATCTATAAGAATTCAGAAAATGGAGGGCAGGTTGTCATCAATCCTGGTGATTATATCCTTGGAGATGCAGATGGGGTGGTGGTCGTTCCGCCTGAAAAGGCAGAAGAGTGTGTACAACTCTGCCAGGAACGCTTTGAAATTGATGAGGAGACACGGCGTTGCCTGGAACGGGGTGATGAAATAGGGAGCACTATCAAGAGGCTGAGGAAATAGACAGGTCCTGAGTTCCAGCTTGTTTCGTTGTTTTGTTTTTCAAGGGCAATATATCCCTTCTCGCAGACTCGTGATTTAGAATACATATTGGTGCCTCTATGAAATGTACCGGAATGTATAGTATATGAGAGACACACTGTGGTATTCGTTTTATATAGTCTGTCGGTTCCAGTCGACAAAAAGCCTTATGAGGTGGGAGCGACCGTGATAACAGGCTGATGTGCTTTCACAAAGCCGTTGTGCCTGAGAATGGGTCCCAGCCCCAGTCTCCGCGGACAAATTCGGCGAGAAAGCTTTCCATCGCAGAATCAATGGAATATGTGTCTGTAGCATCCATACCAATCGGGTTGGAAAACAATAATCCAGGTTCTCCAAAGTCAAGATCCAAATGGTCTCCTAAGCCGGAAGATATATCAGTACCAGAGTAGGGAGTACGCCCGTAGGATGTAAGTCGGGCCGGGATTCCTCACCTGTAGGGTCAGGAAACCCCTCATTGGGGAGACCTCCGTGCCCGTCGGGGTGGCTGGATGGGACTTCTGTTGGCTGAATACCCCGGGTACTAGAATATCCCGGAACCAAATTGGAATGGCCCAGATCAGGTTGACAGCTAATCTCAGTATGTTGTGTTTGTAGCGAGCGCCGCGTTTGCGGCGTAGAGGTCTGAGTACGGCTTAACTGCCGTATAGTAAGATCGACCATCTTGTCAAAGCTTCCCTTGCCATTACGTACGGAAGGCCACCACTGACCACCGATACTGAGGAGGTTGGAACAAGTCCGCAGGTCTCTTAATACCTCCGCAAACGGAATGGTGGCCTGAAGAGAGGGCGATGCCCAGATGCAGTAGATCAGTGTCGCGCCCGAGGAAAATATACCGTGGATGTTTCGCCAGTTGTAATAGAGTTGCTCCTCTGTACTGAGATGATCGTATATGCGTAACTTTCGGCTGCAACTTTGGTAGCAGTGCCGTAAAGCACTTGGTGATGGCGAACGGAATGTTTGAGAAGGTTGAAAGAGAAGTGTTACGGCTGAATGGTACAGAATTTCCAACCGGAGTTTCTCATACTGGACGCTTTTTCTGTCTTCCTCTCGGTCAGTGGGCGGCTGTATGAGAGATGTCTCGGTTAACCATGCATCAAGGTCAAGTTTGATCTGTGCCTGATGATTCTCAAGGTCATTCGGCCACACGAGCGGGCGAAGCTGTTTGGGTAAGTGATAGAAAAGGAGCTTTATCTCAGTTATGTATTGGTCCAGTCTGAAACGCCGGATGGACATTGTCATATGGGCCGATGATGGTGCTGACACGTTGAGTTTGCAATCTGCAAGACTAGACAAGTCTTCAGTGACATCTTCCACTTCGGGACGTTGTATGTCAAATGTTTCATCCCTGATCCCTAATGGACGGCCTTGGATGGTGGCGATTGTCCTATGAGATTGTTAGGCCCAAGCGTATCGCGGGACATAAATGATTTCCTACCGATCGAGAGAGTATGTTGTATAGAATATAAGTCTCTTGACAGCTAGAGACGTTCTGGAAACGCTCGTAGACGGGCTAGGTTCTCGATGAAGGCCCAAATCAATACAATGCGACATTGCTAGATGTGCCAGTGTCCAGATATTGAGGCCAGCCGGGCAGATCATGCTATGAATTGCCAAGAGTAAAATACCCTGCAGAGATGTCACTGACACTGAGGAGAAGCAACTGGAGGTTTCCGCTAAGGCCATTCTGTAAAATTTCGTCGGAGAGTAGTCAAAGTTTTTCTTGCGTGTTAGTACGGTTGCTGCCAGAGAGAACACCATGAATACATGAACCACGGCTGTGAAGACAGTTATCGGCGTAGACTGTTTGCCGCTTTCTTTATCAGCCATCCCGTTGTACTCGAAGGGTTCTAGCCCTTCCATCCACCCGTTGCTATCATATTGGCCTGTAGGTTCCATTTGTGTGCTCTCATACAGCGCCAAATACGCATTTATCAGTGAAGGCGCGTGGAGGACGGGATAGTCAATATGTATATGCTGGAAGTAAACTGCAAGTAATACTTCAGCTTCCTCAGGGGAAGGGAGTTCCTAGATAGATGATGAGAAGTGGGACTAGAAATCGAGCAGAGCGACGAACCCTTGCTAAGCTCTGGTACAGAGAGCGATATCCTTGCTTCAATGATTGGGAGATTGAGCGCCGCCCATACTTGCTGGTTTCACTGTAGGATGACGGGCTAGATATCTGTGTATCTCTATCCACTCCAATGAGCTTGGTGAACAGCAATCCCGATGAAGAACCCATGTAGTGCTGCTGTCGAGAATCTGAATGTAACGACAGCATTCCAAAAGCATTTGCCACTGAAGAAGCTTCTGCGCGGGGGGTCTGATCAGTTTCTGGGTCCTCGACTAAGTCGTATGGTCGTTTTCTCGTGGCTGGCTTGTCGCGACTCTGTGTCTCAGTCTCCAGCATAGTGACAGCATTGCTACAGTCTGAAACCCCTGAACTAGACTGCAACGTCAATTCATTCTCACCCAAGTTCACTGATGGCCCCTTTGTCAGATCAAAGTCCGGGTCCAAAAGCTTGATCTGTTGTTCTAGCCATGCTATCCTGGTACGGCATTGCGCGATGAAACTGAGATATCACAGGACAATTAGTGCGGTTGGGGGCACAAAATCCACAGTTTTAGAGGATCTTACTCGCGAGGAATAGAGATGTCACGGTTCCGACCGTCAACATCGATACAAGGGACCCTCGCTCGCGCGCAATTGCTGCATGCGGGGATGCCGCCGTCACACTCCGGGGAACGTAATTAGCAAGATGCGCAGTCATAAGCTTGGCAGCATGAACGTGGGCCAACCTTGACACGTTTAGCTCTACACCGGCGACAGGCGATCCGGACTTTCTTCGGAGCAGGGGAGCCCGGGCGCTCTATGTCTCGGGGACTCATCTTGAGAATTTGCGAGATGATGTGTGCAAAAGCACGGTGAACCAGCGTAACGGCAACATGCGACCGGATTTGTGGGGGAAGCGGAATGCCGGGGGGCGCGCGGGTGAACTTTGGCTTGGTCGTCGGCACATGATTTCCTCCACACCGTCTTGGACCAGCTTCTTCTTCCATCTTCTTTAATACAGACCTGTCTATAGCAAAAGCCCCCCTATAATTTCGTTTAATGAGGTACTAATAGCCACAGTCTATGCTTTGGTTGCTTCATCTTTTTTGCATGATACTGCGGTCAAGTTTTTCCCAATTGCTTCCCTATGCGAAAACATATATATTGAGTACCGTTGAACAAGAATCTGGCGAGGTGATTCAAGATCTGAGGGCGAAAAAGAAAAAATAAAATAAAATAAAATAAAATTAAAATTAAAATTAAAAACTGAAAAAGGAGAGAAAGAGATAAAATATACAGTATCATACTGTAGTGATTCAAATTTGACCAAATCAAGATATTCAACTCATAGTATCAACGTCGCGACGCTGCGGGCTCAGACTCGATGCATCCTCAGAATATAGTAAGAACATGAGCCCAATCTCATTAAGCGCTGACTTATCATCAATGCCTGATTTATGACCTGGGGATCACATGCAGAGTAAAGCAATATGCAACTTGGAAATTCGTGGCCTTCAATATAGTAGGGACCCATTGGCGGATGGAACCAACTTATAGCCTCAGCTGCCAAAAAAAGGTATTCTTCTGTAAATTACAGTAGCAGGCGCCAACTTCCTCAGATCACCAGGTTAGCAGCAATCTTATCTTCTTGTAACGCTTGTCCGACGGCCTCTAGCGTTGCATATCATCTGCTCAGACCTGACTGCCCGAAATCTGCCTACTAGATACCAAATTCTTATGGTGCTAACACTGAACCGGAGGATACAGCTAGGCAGATCGGAGGGGCCAGCCTCTTGTCCAATTATCATGAGGCAAACTTTTAGCATGGCATTATCGCAGATTACATCAAAGATGGTATTGCGGGGAGATTGTGTGCTGTGTTAGATGACACCCCGTGTAACATTGCCAGGGTCGCTCCGGCTGCCGTTGGGACCCGGAGTAACCCGCGATCCCGAAAGGGATCCGTATACATCCAAGGCGAGCCGATCGGACATGCGCCTATGAAATAAAGTGTAGTTCCCAGAGCCTTTCGAGGTAATTGTGTCTCCCCATCATACCCAACGGTATTAGAATTACTAAACTCTCCAAATTGCCCATTATGACCGTCGAACACCAACCACGCCCGGAACCGGTGCTGTTTCCAAATGGGGGCTGGGACGTCCACCACCACATATTTGAGCGTATGATCCTGGATTTCCCTCACAAAGTAAATACAATACTATGTAACATCATACTGATGCGATTCTATATTCAGCGGCGAAATTCGCCTATGCTCCTGATAGACACCTCACTCCGCCACCCGCGACCGTCCAGCAATTCCTCGCCTTTAAGGAGAAAATTGGTATTACCAACTCGGTTCTCACGCACGGTTTATCGTATGGACCGGACTGCACATCTCTCAAAGCGTTTGTCCAAGAACTGGGGGAGTCAGGAACGAGGGGCATTGGGGTCATTGACCCCGATAAGACGACACCAGAGGAGCTCCAGGAGATGCACAAACAGGGCATCCGAGGTATCCGAGTCAACTTGTACCAGTATCAGGCGATGCACGATGTGGAACGACAGAAACAAGCTTTACGTGACCACATCAGAGCTATAAAGCCACACTGTCCAGGATGGAGTATAGCGTTCACTCATGTGCATCCCGAGTACTGGGGAGAGCTGAAGCCTATTATTGAGGAGGAGGTGATGTCCTCTAGCCTTCATCTGGTCACTGATCACTTTGCATTGCTCAAGGCCGCTAGTATGCTGCCTGCAGAGTACGAGGGAGATATCACTCGACAGCCCGGGTTTACAGAGATCATGGATCTGGTCCGTTCCGGACTACTATACGTGAAACTTAGTGCTCCATATCGCGTAAGCCATGAAGCTCCGCGGTATGCAGACGTGAAGCCATTAGTGCGCGCTTTTGTGGATGCCAATCCGCGACAGATCCTCTGGGGTAGCGACTGGTGAGGATCTTTTGTGAGTACTATTATGGTTCGCTGCTAACACTTGATTAGGCCTCATACCCCGCATATGAAGGTTCGAACGCGTGAAGAGGCACTGCGGGAGACCCCATATCTGGTCATCGATGACGCGGAATGGCTGAAAAGCTTGCGGTCCTGGGTCACTGCAGAGGAGTGGCAGGCAATAATGGTGTCGAACCCGACTAGACTGTATGACTGGTAAAGCTGCGTCTTATTGCGACGATGGAATATGGGAAAATGGTAGTTATTCCAGGCTATGGAATCTCCATAACCATTTAGCAACCTCGGCAGTGAAAAATACACAATAAAACCGAGTATCGGAGAAGCCGTGACACACTAAGCCCTATAGGGAATATCTCCGACCTCCGACTTCCGACCCTCGAAAGGTCCACCTTTTGTCTTCACTTTGTTCTGGAGAATATCTTATCCTGGTCCCTGATAAATATCTGCCCACGTAACCTAATTTCCCTTCAGTGGCATCCGTGCTGAAAGTCTTCATCTATTCCTTGGAGCGACTAGTTTATCTTGTCAGAATGATTCAAAGGGACCAGGAAGGTCGGCGATCGTCATCAAGCGGGTCCCCAACCTCAAACGCGGCATGGAATCCGAGCCCATCTCAATCCTCCACTACCGGGCTTGGCGCAACGCAATCCCTCTTAAATGTTCCTCCAGTCCATTGCTTCCTCATGGAATACACCCTTGACACGCACCATGTCGGCCTCTCTGCCCTCTAGCTACCGTTCCCTCAATTTACCCAATTCCCTGCCGCCGCTAAATCAGTCGTGTGAGAGTTGTAGGGCGCTCAAAGTACGCTGTTTGCCGGATCCCAACGTCCCGCGCCAGTGTCAGCGCTGTACTCGCACGAGAAGAACCTGCGTGTTTGCCCGCACGCTCCGACGACAGCCACGGAAGAAGACTGGCTCACGAGTGGCCCAGTTGGAAAGGGACGTGCGAGACTTGCGCTCGCTGTTACATGATCAGATCAGATCTGATCCAGACCGGGGGGAGAAGACAGATGATGCCGCGGCCGCTGCCACAACCACCGATCCTCCGGGGGCGGCTGGCCGCGACGTAGCTTCCTTTCCCGCCCTCTCATCATCTATGCACATGGAGCTCCCTAGTGTCCACAACACCTCTGCTCAGGGTGACTCAGATCAGCATGCTAGAAATTTACCTGCCGAGACTGCTCCCACCAGCACTAACCTGACCATGATGCAGTCGACAGCTGGCTCTGGGGACGTGGTCGATCGCGGCATTATATCGCTTGACATGGCGCAAATGTTGGTCTCATTCTTTGTCAACGAACAAATGCAATTCTACCCAATGGTTGTGCTGCCACCAAACACAAGTGCGGAATCACTGCGCAGAACGAGCCCCGTACTCTTCCTGTCTATTCTAGCTGCTTCATCAATGACCTTAAACCCTCACATTTCGGAGACTCTGAACGAGGAGATGCTCAAGCTATTTGCAGACCGTTTTTTCCTCAGGCAGGAGAAATCAGTGGAGCTGATTCAATCAATCCTCTTGATGCTTATCTTCTACTTCCCCCCAAAGTCACGCTTACAAGGCCAATATTACCAATACACACACATTGCGACCACCATGACCCTAGAACTTGGTATATCAGCCGGACCAGCGGGACGAAAAAACTACCGTTGTCATGGCGGGTATGGTGATTTACCAGCTTCCATCCATAGTGCTCAGGCGCGAGCCGTACTGGGCTGCTATCACTTCGCGTCCAAGTATGGACTCTATGTTTACCACGTAGTCGATACACGACTGACCTAGCCGTAGCATAGGAATTCGAACACACCGACCGAATATGCTCCGCTTCAACGATGTGATAGACGGGTACATATGCCACCTCAGAGAATCTACAAACGGACTGGACCAGCAAATAGCGACATGGTTTGACATTCAACGGATCGTTGACGATACACTATACTCACTGGGCCACGACAATACCCTAGTGGACGTTCATTTTCGTGAGTCGCAGATGCTTCCAATCCTGAAATGGTTTGATTCTCGAATGTTGCGCTGGAAGAGGACGACCCCGAAAAACATGCTCACAAGTAAGTTGCATCCATACATTTATCGAACTGTACTCATACTATTACTCACAGCATGGATGAACCTCGAATATCACTACATGTACCTCGCCATCTACGAACTTGCCGCTGGTGAAGGCTACCGCGATCCCGACGCCCCCACCCGCAAATATTACACTCTCCCACCCTTGGAAGGCGACATGGAACGACACAAAGCAAACGTGCCCTTAAGTGCTGCACGAGTCCAGATAATAACGAAGTGGATGCTTGCCGCCCACCAGATGCTGGACGCCTTCTTGAAATGCGACACTTCCACCATGCGCAAGCTACCTAACATGACCTATACACGGATGGTCCTGGGCATCTCATCCCTACTCCGGATATATCACACAGCCCAATTTGGCCCTCTCGGTGAGGTTATTACTTCAAATATGATGGACGTTGATGGCTACCTGGACCGCGTATCAGAAGCTCTTTCACGAGCGAGTGGAGAGCAGAAGTACCGCGTCCCCAGCAAATGGTATCACGTTGTTGCGATCAAAAATCGAGAGTGGTATGAACAGCTCCAGAAACGGATAATTGCTCGTCCGGGTGATACGCATACCTATCTACGTGGCGGGGTTCCCCCACCAGCGCCGGGTGTCCCCATTTTGGAACCTCACAGGGGCCCAGGCTCAGCTGCCATACTACCCTCACTCGGGAGTGGCATGGCAGGTCCCGCATATGCTGAACCATGGTATGTAGATGATGCCGCAGGAAGGGTTGATCCGTCACGGCCTTTCCCTGCTATGAATGCACCAGTCTTGTATATGGGTCAGATGCAGCCTGTAGAAGGAGATATCAATGAGGCCGCGTTTCCATTACCGTTGGGTGACGAACCGTGGCGGTTGGATGAGTCGATACAGGACAGCGTGACATTCCCATATTGAAGCCGGTAATGCCTTACATATGGTCTCGATGGCCTGAAGGTTGATGCCAATGACTTATTAAGATTTGATATGTAAATAATGATTCCTACGAACATCCTTAATCGTCAAATAGCAAGAAATATAATCCTTTGCTAGAAGATCAGAACGTCACGAAGCTCCCCGAGCCCTTACATCCCCACGTGATACACATGACTACTATGATGGTTGAGTTCGAATCTGCAGTAGATTAGGTAGTTTGCTTTCCTGGTAACGTACTTCGTCCGGTGAGGTAAACGCTGTGCACTTCGGCTGGGCCTAATCACAATGCTCAAAGATCCGCTGATGTGACCATGGTCAAAGACGACGCGTCCATTATCAACAATTATCCCACTTGCCATATTATTTCTAAGCAAGTTACTCCATTCCTCAGGATAATCCCGTGTCCTCAATATGGATTCAGACTGGACCAGGCGGAAGTCGGATGCAGACCAATATGGCGAGTCGCTTCGCATGAACTCCTGCCAGGACGTCGCAATCCTGACTGGCAACAACAAGGACGATCCGGTGCGAGCAACTCCCAAGACTACACCGTAACCGAGTACCACACCGACTTCACCAACATGTTCGGCAATCTTTTGCCGCGGTTCCTCGAACTGTGTCCTGCCACCAACGCAAGTCAGGCCAACGCCGTGGTCAACGAATACTTTCGCGATCTCAGCCGTACAGGAACCTGGGACTGGGCCTAGGATTGGGTAGCTGGAGGAATGAAGAGCGACGTCTACACCTACTTCTGGACTCATGCGCCTCAAATGAGAATGGTGGTGCCTATCACGGTTCAGAGCTGTATTACGCGTTCCACAATTTGCCGTATGCTGATACCTCGTCTAATTGGACGGAGACGGACTATACTATTGCGGATATTATGCAGGGCTAGTGGGTCAATCTCGTCAAGAATGGCAACCCCCATGGCGATGGTTTGACCTACTGGCCGCCCAGTGAGGAAAATGCAATGACCATGTGGCTTGGAGACTCCTGGGGAGCTGGAAAGGTTGCAGGGCCTGCCCGAATTGAACTTATCCAAAGCTGGTTCGGCCAGAGTGTCGAGTGGCAGAAGCCTTAGATGGGTCGGAAGTTGGGAGATGGCCTGTGTTAGACTAAATGAGCTTCGATATCTTATGTGGTAGTCGAAGATACATTCTTTAGCTTGTAGTCTATAGCCCATGACGATAGGGGACTTTGAGTGCGCGTCCTGAATCGGATCAATCTTTTTCTTCTTTCTCCTGATAATCGATTTCCTATTTACCCCGATGAATGCACGGTCCACGTATATATCTCGCCCTATGTTCAGTACATATGACGCAGACGACTGGAAAACCTGGAAGATAATCGTCAGGGTCATCAACCCTAACTGGACCCTGAGGGACTAACTATTAGGCGGCCGCGTAGACCCTCTCCACTTTGTCGTCTCACCAATAACCACAGCCTAGTCCGTCCTATTTGCCCCATCCATCATATTCATATCTCTGGTGTTGGCGCCTGGAAGCCCTGATAAGATGCGATCAGTGGGCAGATGGACCCTTCCACGGAAAAGCCGGCAGCCGGAGATCGGGGATGCCACCAACAGTTACATCCGATGTCCGACGGATACTGATCGCAACCATAGTCGAACCGCGTCCAGCCATGTACATAGTTATGCTTAGAGATTTAGTGTTTACTCAATTATCTTCGCGATGTATATGGGGAATGGGAGTTTGTGGGAGGCGGATAGTTGGAGGTGCGAGGGGTTGTATTAGGGCAGATTTTGGGGTTTGAGTATATGGTGATGAGGTTGTTGAATAGAGGGGTGCTCAATTTTGAGTCTCTATATAGATTTTGTACCTTGAATACTTTAAAGATTCTTTCGTTGATTCTGTTATCGTGCGGTGAGGGATTATAGACTTCACTGAAATGGGGCAGATGTCAAACCCTCTGCCCTTTAGGTACAACTTGGCCGATTTGTTTATTCAGCAAACTAACGACGTACTCATGGAGGTACGAACATTCAAGGCATATCAAGTTGCAATTGACTGTATTCCTGTCTTCCACTTATTCTCCAGTGTGTGAGTTGTCATGGTAAATCGTGTGAAAAGCGTGGTCAACACACATTTATGAGTTTGTCGACTCCAGCCATTACCTCTAAAATCACATCCAGGTTGTCTGGAAGGACAATATTGCTTGGCCAAAGCCAATGTTTGGGGATCTTCCGGGGTCGGGGTCTCCAAGGGGCTTTCGCACGTGGGACATCCGTTCCACATGGCTGCCATGCGTTGAGCTTGTCAAGACGTCTGAAATGTCTAGGCTGTGTCATTTATCTGATTCGTGTTGCATAACAATCAGAGACATTGTATCTTGACTGCTTGTTGTCAAAGATTTTCGAAAAATCTCAATTGTAGTATCAACCACGACAACATTGGTATGCACTAGCGTGATAGAACGCAACGTATTGAATTCTTTCTTAGAGGCTATAAGATGTTATCTGCCTACGAAGTAAGAGAACCTTGAGCTGATAATCAGTGTTATGGATGGTGTACATGTTTCATGACAGAACCAGCTTATACTATGGTAGATAGTAGGGATTAGGGAGGGATAAGCATTGGTATAAAGTGTCAAGATACTACTAGTCATTCATTAACTGCTCGATTTCGAGATTTATCAAGATCAATCGGTGTACAAGTGGACAGACACAACTGCAGCGAACGACCTGCTACGTACATGATCTCGAGTACACGCAGTCCACCTCCACTCGCCGACACAGTAACGCGCTTGCAGATTCTGATGAAGTGGTATATAACAGGAACTACGCTTTACGCCCATTTTACAGCACAAGTAGCTAAACACAAGAAATTAGAATTCCATACATTATCCACAGCGCTCACGCAAAGCATATATCGAAAAAAGGGTATAGCAACACGATCCACCACCGCCTAGTCCTTAATCTCCGTAATCTCCCATTCAGCCCTCTCAGCCTGACGATTGCGCCATGCCTTTTGAATGATAAGTGCCAATATTCCACAGAGCACGATAAAGACCACCACAAAATCCAGGATCACGCCAGGTTCTTCACCAGCCCAGCTGCGCTTGCCGATGGTTTTGTGGGACAGGACTGTGGCCGATCTGGGGAAGTTGATTGCTGGCATTGTGAACTTCTTGTTCAAGTGACGAAGTGACAGATTGGATTCGGTATGTGTTGGGCGATGAGTTCCGATCTAGTCTAGTTTGCTGTTATGCTTGAAGCTCTGTATGGTATCCTCGAGGGGTGTATGACTGACGTGTTTGTGATCGAAAAGCAAGTACTACCGTCTTCGGTAGTCTAAGTCCAAGGAGCAAGTATTAGGGTAGGAATACCAAAAGTGCAGATGATAAAAATGTAGCTTCAGAGGTCTATCATGCCCACTGATACTCAAGGAAAGAAAAATTCACTCTAGCGCCTTCCACAGAATGGTACCTTGGCTATCCACGATAATATGTAGCAGTACAGTCCTAATGGCCAGGCAAATCTCTCATCCACCCCAACCACCTTCCCGTTCTTCGAATGCGTGATTTTGTCATAGCTCTCATATTACGAAGCTTGCTGGCAAGGAAAAACCAATAGCATTTTCTATTATAGTGATGTCAGCATGTGCTCCTTGAGGGTTTGGCTAGTCGATTGGCAAGTATATGACAGGGGATAATTCCGCGGGGCAATTGCGGAATCCTCGGAAGGTTGAGACCGGTTTCTTGCCAAGCTGATGAAGGTCTGGGGGCCTATCATGGAGCTGGACCCCATATGCCGTATATCCGACTGGGTCGCATTGGCTAGTGCTGGCAGGGGTTCGGTCCGTCGGCATGGAGGGACCTGGCCGTGGTTGATAAAACGGGACACAGATATGGATGGAGCAGATGCCTGGAGTGAGTCTAGATCATTTTGATCCGAAGAACAATATTGTTGCTATAGCATGACGAGGTATCGCGAGAGTTGAAGAAAAGAAGTCTTCTATCACACAGTGATGTTACTGTTCATATTACCCTGTCTTTTCTGAAGTTGTACTCGATGAAAGGCGATGCTCTGTAGTTTACTTCGACGCTATTTGCGTCCCGTCTTCTCGTCCATTTTGTGCGTGCCGAGGACAGTGATGGACGTGGCGATAACACAGGCCTGTGAGAGAGTGGGTCAGAACCAATCAAGCTCTTGACCTCCGCACAGATCGCCAACTGACTCGTACCTTTTGCCGAACATGACATCAACAAAGCTTCATCTGACCCTTCGGGGCGTTATACTTCGTAGACAGCCCTCAGACCGCGTTGAGGTATTTTCAGACCATCTTGAGCCTCATCACGAAGAGCAGTAAACAGTCGTATCAAGCGAGATCATGGGGCGTAGATATCTTTTAGAGCACAGTGAGGTATTTTCGGACCATTTCGAGCTATAAGCCATGGCCGAGCGTCAGTGCCAGCAACCCTGGGTATTAATTCGCATGTGGAGCGACGGCCACAAGCTTCACACCATCTCCCAATAACAGCCTTTCTAGACACAGTCAACGACAATCCTTAACTCAATTCGGCATGGCCAAACATTACACAGTAACAGCTCAGGCGTACACCCCAGTGAGACACCTGCAGTGAGCATGCAGCATGCAGCACGCGACGTCATGAGGGCTTTCAGTTTCGCATTTCCGAGCTTGCCGATTTCCGACCGGGCATCAAGCAACAAAACAGGATGGGCAAGAATCCTAGCAAACTTTGACTAAAGACCTGCCATACTGTCTGCGTATACAAAACTGCTTGTCGTTCCCTGTTCCTGTCTCCTTAATCCCCGAGCTCCTCCCACATGCTGTTGGTTGGTCCTTCCGCGCTACACTTATCTCTTCTCTTTTCCTCCGCGTAACCCCAATCACTGCTGCGCTGTTACTCTCAGTATGTCTACCAACGGCGACGTCGAGCGCGATGCCGGCTCGCGCCGCGCCTCCCGATTCTCCAGCCGGTCTGCCCGGTCAGACACGAAACTCGACGAGTACACCCGGCTGGTGAAGTTCATGTCTACGTACCGCGAGAAAGATGCGAATGATCCCGGGGAGGGAGAGATCCGCGAAAGTCGCGTGTGGTATGCGCCGTGGAAGAAGAGACGGTTTCGCTGGAAGCATGTCGGCTCGTCGCGCGAGTTTCCAGAGGAGTGGCGCCTGACTGATATTCATCATGGATTATCGGAGTCGGACGTGGAGACGAGGAGGCGGTCAGCAGGGTTCAATGAGCTGAGCTCGGAGAAGGAGAATCCGGTTGCGAGGTTGCTGTCGTATTTCCAGGGACCAATTCTATATGGTGAGATTCGATGATCGGTTTGGTTATTATTATTGGTGTTGTGTATGTTGTATGTGCTGACTGTTGTGCTTGTAGTCATGGAGATTGCCATTCTACTTGCTGCGGGTTTGAAGGACTGGATTGACTTTGGTGTTATCATCGGTATTCTGTGCCTGAACGCGGCAGTTGGTTGGTATCAGGAGAAGCAGGCTGAGGATGTGGTTGCTAGTCTGAAGGCCGATATTGCAATGCGCAGTACTGTTGTGCGTGGTGGAGAGGAGCAGGATATCCTGGCACGGGAACTGGTTCCTGGCGACGTGGTAAGCATACCTTTACAATATCGCCCAAGCAACCAAGTGCTCATGTTTAAATCCAATAGATCATCGTTGAAGAAGGCCAAACCGTCCCTGCCGATGCAAAGGTCATCTGTGACTACGATGAACCCGACCAAGGGTGGAGCGATTACCAAAGACTGCGGGACGAAGGAAAATTTGAAAAGGACGCCGAAAAGTCCAACGACGAGGGAGGGGAGGAAGAGTCTGACGACGATGAGAAGGGCTATCCTATCCTGGCCTGCGATCATTCTGCGATTACTGGAGAGTCTCTTGCCGTCGATCGATTCGTTGGTGACCAAGTTTTCTACACAACAGGATGCAAGCGTGGAAAAGCCTATGCAGTCGTCCAAGCCACTGGGACGAAGTCCTTCGTTGGTCGCACTGCTTCAATGGTGCAGAATGCAAAGGATACCGGCCACTTCAAGATGGTCATGGATAGCATTGGAACTGCCTTGCTGGTAATTGTCATGGCCTGGCTGCTGGCAGTCTGGATTGGTGGCTTCTTCAGAAACATCCCCATTGCCTCGCCTGGTGAACAAACTCTTCTTTTCTATACCCTGTCTATCCTGATCATCGGGGTCCCTGTCGGTCTGCCTGTTGTTACAACTACCACCTTGGCGGTCGGTGCGGCTTACCTGGCGAACAAGAAGGCTATCGTCCAGAAACTGACTGCTATCGAGTCGCTTGCTGTAAGTATTCCAAGGGACATATTTTCCCATTTGGTCCTGATCCCCGACTTCTCGACAACACTTTTTCGCCTCTTATTTCAAATATTAACAACACAATAAACAGGGTGTCGATATTCTTTGCTCCGACAAAACCGGAACCCTGACCGCTAACCGCCTCAGCATCCGGGAACCTTTCGTATCCGAAGGAGTCGACGTTAACTGGATGTTCGCAGTCGCTGCTCTCGCTTCTTCCCATAATGTGCGCTCGCTCGACCCCATTGACAAGGTGACCATCCTCTCGGTCAACCAATACCCCAAGGCAAAGGAGATCCTCCAACAAGGGTGGAAAACCGAGAACTTCACCCCATTTGACCCGGTCTCGAAACGAATCGTTGCGAATGTCTCCCTTAACGGAACCCGCTACACTTGCACGAAAGGAGCGCCTAAAGCAGTCTTATCATTAACCAACTGCTCAGAAGAAACTGCAAGAATGTACAGACAGAAAGCAACTGAATTTGCACAGCGTGGCTTCCGGTCGCTTGGTGTGGCTGTTCAGAAAGAGGGGGAAGAGTGGACCTTGTTAGGCATGCTGCCTATGTTTGATCCCCCTCGTGATGACACTGCTCAAACAATTGCTGAGGCACAGAAGCTAGGCATCAAGGTCAAAATGCTTACTGGAGATGCTATTGCTATTGCAAAGGAGACGTGCAAAATGCTGGCTCTGGGCACGAAGGTCTATAACTCGGAGAAATTGATCAGTGGTGGTCTCAGCGGCGCCATGGCTGGTGAGCTGGTAGAGAAAGCAGATGGATTCGCAGAGGTCTTCCCAGAACACAAATACCAAGTTGTTGAGATGCTGCAGGATCGTGGTCATCTTACAGCCATGACTGGAGATGGTGTCAATGATGCGCCGTCTTTGAAGAAAGCAGATTGTGGTATCGCGGTCGAGGGTGCCTCAGAGGCCGCGCAATCTGCATCGGACATTGTGTTCCTAGAGCCAGGGCTTTCAACTATCATCGATTCCATCAAGGTCAGTCATCCATGTTTCCCACTCCACAACCACAAACAATCCACCCTAACCAGAAGCAGGTCGCCCGCCAAATCTTCCACCGCATGAAAGCTTATATCCAATACCGAATCGCCCTCTGTCTACACCTAGAAATCTACCTCGTAACGACAATGATTATCCTGAACGAAAGCATCCGTACCGACCTCGTCGTCTTCCTAGCCCTCTTCGCCGACGTCGCCACCGTTGCAGTCGCCTACGACAACGCCTCCTACGAGCTCCGCCCTGTGCAATGGCAACTGCCAAAAATATGGGTTATTTCCGTCATCCTCGGCATCCTCCTCGCAGCAGGAACGTGGGTAATCCGGGGCACACTCTTCCTCCCTGACGGCGGCATCGTCCAAAACTGGGGCTCGATCCAAGAAATTATCTTCTTGGAAGTCGCTTTAACAGAGAACTGGCTAATTTTCGTGACCCGCGGAAGCTCCACATGGCCATCTCTACCTCTAGTGGCAGCCATTCTGGGTGTCGACATACTTGCTACTATCTTCTGTCTGTTCGGATGGTTCTCCAACCGCGATATGGTTACTGATCCGTATGATCAGTATATCAGCAAGGAGACGAGCAATGGGTGGACGGATATTGTGACTGTTGTGCGGTTGTGGGGTTACTGCATTGGTGTAGAGATTGTGATTGCGTTGGTGTATTACGTTTTGAACAAGATTGCCTGGTTGGATAATCTGGGCAGGAGCAGACAGAGTAAAGGGGATGTGGCTATTGGGAATGTGCTTGCTCACATGGCTAACCTGTCGTTGGAATTCGAAAGGGGTGAAGATGGCAATGGGAGGGTCTTTTTGACTTCGGGTAAGGAGGAAGAGGAGGTCGATTAGGTGTTTCACGGTGCTGATGTGGTTGGTGGTGTGATGGTATGATGTTGTCGAGTACTAATAATAGGATGATGAGATATACCATTGGGGATGATAAGACCTACATTTACAGCTATCTTATCTTAATATGTCATTGAACCATTTCCACATTCTTATCTGGCTCATATATTTTTAATAGACTGCAGCTCTCCAAGAAGTGATAATGTCGGTCAATACTCAACGGAAGGCCCTTGTCATGATAGCTGCGGAACCATCGGATTGCATGTTTCATCCTAATATCGAGAGGAAGGCACTGTTCATTCATCAACCTGGCATATCTCATATCTCTCTAGTTACTAAAGGAAACCAATCTCGAGCTACCACAGACTTCCAATCCTTCGATATGAAACACATCCAATAGGTCACAAATGACCAGTCGTCGATCAACATCGAAGTGTTTGCTAGACCCCTAAGACATTGATCTGCAACGAATGATCCACGGTGAAGAAAGGTTAACTGCCGCTAAGCAACGGAGGATCGCAGGCGAAGGATTCGAAGGATTCGGGCCACCTATTATCACTACCACCAAAAGACCCCTGAACATGAAAGCAAGCGGGCCGGAATATTGTCGGTAAAACATGACATGAAGCTAGCCGACCGCTAAACCTATGTAGAGTGCTTTAAACTATTTTGAGAAAGGTTGACAATTCGGACGATTCTACCGTCATCGTTGCTAACGTTTTCTCCACACATCGGTTCATTAACTGCTTCGTAGAAGGTGCCGTTTATGGCAATGGGCACTCCTAAACCACTACACCCATAGCCAATCTTTTTTTCGATGCCCTGGGATTGCTAGGGAAATAGTTCATATGACTATGACTCTCTGAACTCCAGAACTGGCATATAAAGGTACCGCTTCCTGTCTTATTGCAAATATGTCCATCCATTGAATCACACACCTCCAGTCAACCAGGACCCCCATCAAACCTTTTCAACCCTTTTATCTAAAGACACTATCCATAATGGTCCGCCTCATGACTCTCGGACTTTTCCTCATCAGCGCCCTCACCGCGCAGGCCTGCACATACTGCCAGTGCGAGTTCAGCGACAGCAGTCACTGCTGCGTATACTCGGTAAGCACCCACCCATGCAGCATTACAGTACCCAAGAAGTTAATAAATTCACCCAAAGGATGCAACCATCGGAGAACTAGACTGTACCAGCATCTGCGCCAAAGCTCATCGGGCCGACGGCGTTAGCAACGCGGACGGCACAGCCGGTACTGCGTGCAATGCCGGGGGCAAGTATGAATGTATTAGTGCTATCACGGCGCAGGGTCGGACACCTTGCTACACTGAGTGAAGGAGTTGTCGGTTCGGGAAGAGGATTTGACTGGATGTTACTTGCACGGAAGCATGTGGGAGGGTACGATTGGAAGCGTTGTCTCGGTAGGGAGATGCTGTACAGTTTGTTAGCTGATGTAACTCGCTTCTTATCCATGGTCTGTCTTATTGCTTGTCTTGTTTCCATTTATACATAGATAAGGTTGAGCTTACGCGTGAAACCATATTATGTTGAGGGGCTTCGTTCATTGCCGCGGAGATCTGAATCCAGAGTATCTCTTGTCTGGGAGTACGCTCTAAATTGTTCGTTCATTTTCTCGAATGCTACTGCCTAGATGGCGAGAAATTCAGTCTAGAATCAGCCATTTCGTAATGTTTCCATCTTTTCGGTGTCACCAAAAGAAGTATCATACTACGCCAGTTTTGCTGGTATATAACGTAGTTACAAAATTCTTTCTTCCTGGCCGGATATCTTCGATACACTACACGACCTGACGGATACCACACACCCGGCAAGAAACTTACCACATCCGTTCCCTGTATCCTTTAATGTAAGCCTTCCTTCTACACACCAATTCTGATCTCTAAATTAACCCAACGCAAGGGAACAACATCAAAAACCCATGGCAAACATCAGCATCGGAGCCGAACATCAAAGGATTGAATTTCCCACGACAGCCAACGGCCTCCCCACCGGATTCCCACCGGTCCTGGCACGACGTGGCGTGCCTGAATTTATGTGGGATCAAGACATGTATATCATCCGGCATATGGCGGACAAACTCTCCAAGGACCAAAGTAGGGAGATATTTCTTGTGTGTTTTACTTGTGGGCTGTCAATCTGTTTCTACGGCGCTGCGGTGGATAAGTTTAATAGTCGGCTGCGTATATATGTTAATGGGATGAATGCACGGTATGCGCCGTATGGAGTTGTTTGGGAGATGAGGTGGATTCCATATAGTGGGACTTATATGTCTTATGAGACTTAGCTGTTAGGCGTATGTGTATTGGTAGGGGGGTTGAGGAAGGGGGGGGTGGGGCTGTTGGTTCAAGAGCTGAAAATAGATACCTAGCTAGTATCGGGCGAGTTAATGCTATGTGGAATCTCTTATGATTGGCATATGCTGGGTCTTAACGATGGAACATACTTGCGACAGACCTAAAGAGAGGAAGGGTGCACGAAATACTGAGAAAACTTGGATGGATGGCGATAGACACATGGTCTGGATGAAAGATCATATGACCAGGCTAGAAAGTCCTCGTGAAGTTTTGGTTGGTTACGAGTGAGCACCTTAAACACTAAAGTAAGAATATTCTCTGGAACCTAGTGGAGTTGCCTCCCTAGCTTAAAATTGCTCGCTTCGGGATCGCTGCTCGGATGTGGCGGGCCTGGAATCCAAATCGCCGGGAGGGGTTGTCGTTGGTTCCAAACAACAAGTCAACCCCGTTAACGGTCATTTCGGTAGACAGAACCTAATTTTGCAGCTTGCACAGCCATCGGCTCCGACTTCCATTGAGCTGTCAGTTGACCAGGCCGGTCTCTGAAGCTGTTCTTCCGTACCACGACCTGAGCGACCAATAGCTCTATGACAAGTTATAAACATCGCGGGGAGGCATATAGTTTCTAAGATGTTTTACGATCGTACCCAGATATGAGAATCTAGGCGCAGTCTGCCACATGTCAAAAAGATCAAGTCTGTTTGCCTAATTTTAGGCGCAAGATTCTCTGAGAGAACCATAAAAAGGCCTAGCATAGCATAGTAGCCACAAGGCCTGACCCTTACAGTTTCCCCCTCTACACTCCATGATGAACGCGTAACCCAACCAAGCCCAATAACAGTTACATCAACTCACTCAAAATGGATTTTCAATCCAGCGACCTCCACGAAACCACAACCACCGAGTCCAGCTCCACCGAGCCCTCACCACCAAACTACCAACCTTTAGAGCGTCCGATAGCCATCCCCCGCGTATGTAATCTCACTGACCGGCTTCTAATTAACCTACCTTTCGTCCGTGCCTACACCGACATCTTGACTACTAATTACGGCATCTCCGAGGAGGTCTTCCTCGAATTCATCGACGAGCTGAACATCATACAAGCCGGACACACAGCCCTGAAGTACATGCAAAAGGCCGGTCAAGCCATCCACTTCGCTGACCATATTGATCCCACAAAGATCACCGCACTTCTGGGACAATGTTCCGACCTCACAGCCCGTCTCATCCACATGGCATATATCAAGGGACCGTTTGCGCGGAGAACGGCGTATCTTAACAGAGCGAATCGGTTGTTGTTCCATCCTAAACATCTTGAAGTGTCAATCGTCACTGGGAAACAGCTGAGGAAAATACTGGGCCTTCATCCAAAATTCCCGCTCTGTGCATCGCTATGTCCGCTGTGGACGGTTCCCTCGAAAACAGATCTAGTCCAGGGCGTGCGCTCGCGGGTTCGTGTACCCGGCAGGCAACTGTGCCAGCTTATCGACTATGTGTATGACTTGGATCTTGCGGCGGAGGCGAAGAGGGGATGGAGCCAGGAGAAGGGAAAGGTGCGGAGGGATGCGGCAAAAGTTGTTCGGGATTGGCAGGTTGTCTCAGAGGTTCAACATGAGATCTGGCGAGGGGAGGCTATTCAGTTATACGAGATGGCGGGGCAGGCTGCGGATCTGAAAGTGAGAAAGAAGCTACTGAAGAAGGCAAGTGAGATGGATAAGGAGGTGAGGCATACGGAAAAGATTACTTGGCTTGTAGTGCAGAATTGGCGTGATTCGGCGTAAGGGAGTTTTGGTTTGACTGTACACAAGACTGCCACAGTTGTTAGGAGATAATGGCAATGGCATACCTCTTGTTCGGTTATCCAGCTCTTAGGGGAGCATTTACTTCTAGTCACGTCGCACGTTGGTGTGAGGTGCTTGTCTGTTGGGTTTCTTCAACCAAATGTGCCTTCCGAATACGGGCTGTGCTCAAAGACCCCTCTATATACTGCATCTACAGCACCTGAAGACTACAATGTCTATTCGACCCGCACATGCTGGTCTTCGAATATTGGACAAGGGCAACCCACTGCGTCAATGCGGGTGTGTTCTGGTTATATGGTGGAAAGAATAGGCACATGCATATATGGACCGTTGCTGCGCCCATTATAGAAGGGTCTCCGATCTGCGATCCAAGTTTGCTGGCATTACTACCCATGGAATTAATTGCAAAGCATTTCACATGTCTCTGAAGGAACTACGATCGGGGTACTTGCTAGGGAGCTCAGTACCATGGATCGAGCTCGGGAAGCGGAATTCTAGGCCGGTCCTGCATGAGCTCCGGATAAAGTTCAGAGAGAAACAATTCTTAGGACCTGCCACGTCTTATTCTACACTGTTCTCACGAGTAATCTGGAGGGTGACGAACTACGGTGTCGACGATTGTAGTGATTGGAGATATCGGAGCTCATTTGCCCAAGAATAGATAGCATCAGAACCTACGTATTAAGTTTGGCCATGTAACTTGGAGCCAAGTACTCACCTTTTTTCTTAGTGAGTTTCTGGCACTATTCTACGTCAAATGGCGAACAGCATTTGGGATAGCTATATACCAGCCATCCCCTCCTTTCCCTGTCTTAGTATCGGTAATCTAGTTCCAAGATCATGTACTCAACTTGTTCTCCAATTCTAGATCACGTCCCCACTCGGGTCTACTTAGGAAAAGTGGGCAGCCCACCATGTTTCTTTCGCCATTCCCACTTTCCTCTAGCATGCTCTCTCACATGAATGGTAATTAACTCCGAGCCTTCCATTATCCTCTGAAATCAATTGGTGAGATATTCGCAGTATTATATATTAGTAGTACAGTATGTATAGCTATCTAGCAATCCGTTTATCCCAAAAAGATGTTAAAGGTGGAGGGTCAAGTCCCCTTTGGATGTTGATGAAGAGGATGATGATGTTTTATATGATCAAGAAGATGATAGGCGAGTCGTCATGAAATGCCCACAGGTAGATCAACAATTCCGTTGTCGATAAAATGGCATCTTTGAATATGAAGGTTGCATGTGCGGTCGTCAATCGTTTTCGATTTGTGGTCGAATTGAAAGTGCGACCTGATTGTTATGGTGGCCAGCATTCGAAAGGTAGTATAGTAGACCACAGTGCGGACCAAGAATAGATGAAAATCACTGCCTGAGTGATGTTTTTCGTCGACAAGTGGCGGATTGGAACAACGAGTGACGAAAGTCAACACAAAGAATCTCAGAGTGAAGGCTGTCCTGTCCTCTGCATCCCGATTCAACAGAGCTCAATATATGTACAGGCAGCTAATATACAACATTTTCTTTTCCAACAATGCAAAGCCAGTGTGGCAATTTTATCATGTCTTCGTGAGATATGACAAGTTAGACATTCCAGATAAAAGCATGGGGATCATCAAGCCGGATGGCTCGGTACAAGGGTCTATTAACATGTGCGGGCAATATATAACGATAAACAAAGCATTTATGAAACTTCACCACAAGTGAAGGGGCTGTTGACATCACCTTCACGGTAATTAAGTCGCTGTTGGACATGATTAGTGACAACTCAATTTGAAAGGAGGGTTAGATAACTTACTATATCCTGAATACTCGAGTAAAGACCACCAACAAGAACAACAAGACCAAAGATAAAGACAAACAGATTCACCAGACTGGTCAACAGGTTCTCCTTGGAGTACCATGGGCCCTTGCGGATGAGGACATACCACATGATTGGGGGAAGGTAGAAGGAGAAACCAGAGGTGAACAATGCCGATGTGATGGAGAGAAGGTCATCGAAGAACGGAATAGCCTCAGCAATGACCCACGAGATGATGGTCAAGATAGTGATAACAGTAAGCCACGTGATCCAGCCCTTGGGCGTGTTGATGTACTTGGTCACACTGTTGGCGTAGATCCGGCCGTGAATCAAGCGTCCAGCCACGATGGTGCAGATAGCGCCGGAAATGAAAATGACTGGAAGGGCAATGCCAAAGGCGACCTTGCTAACAAGCGTTCCAGCTGAAAGCAAGGCAGGAGACTGGACATCGACACCCACGAAGGCGTAGATAGTGGCGCCCGTGACAGTGTAAATGACGATCTGGAGGATGCCAAGAGACCAGATGGATTTGGTAAATTCCTTAGGGGTATGCATCTCATCCATGAAAGAAAAGAGGCAGCTGGCAAAGGTGTACGCAAAGACAATATTGCTAATCGCGATGAAACCATCTGAGAAGGTAGGATCGCCCTGCGGTGTAGCTGACCAGTCCACGGCTGCCAAGCCCCCGGTGGAATCCGTACCCCGGATGCCAGTAGCGATGATAGTGATTCCAATGGCTGCCACGATGGAAATGAAGTCCACATAGCCAAGCCAGGCCATATCGGCAAAAGAAGAAGGGATAGAGAGCAAGAGAAGAATCACCGCGGATACCACGCTCCAGACAACGGAGCAGATGCCGCTAGAGGTGATATGGCGAAGGGCAATGGTGCCGGTTAAGCAGTTGGAACCCGTCAGGAAGATCAGCTGGAGGATCAACATGAAGGTGAATAGTTCCCGACCCCAGGTACCCATCAGCAAGGCACCCGCATCACCATAATCCCGAACAGCCGGGAAGGCGAGCTTCACCTGTCCAATCACGTACGAGGTGTAAATGGCTATCAAGCCGATGCCGACGCAGCAGATAACGCCGGCCACCATGCCGAGCGATGCGAACGCGGAAGGAATAGATAATGATCCTAGGCCAATGGCCTCCACAATGAGCATGACCGTTAGACCCTTCCAGCCGAGGCGATGATACTTGGCTTCTCCAGCCTCGATGATCTGCTGTTCTCCATCGTCCACAGCGTCAGGCAGCTTGCCATCGACCCAGGCGTTCAGCTTTGCGGGGAGTGGCTCCTTGTTGAACTTATTACTCCCATTGCCGGCCTCTAAATTGCCAATTGAAGACTCCATGGTGAGCTGAGCCGTTCCGAGCTTGTCCTGGACGCAAGACAGGGGAAGCAGCAACACATGAATAATCGAATCAAAGCTTGAATTTTTGTGGTGACTGTAATTCGCACCTCCCAGACATTGACATCGAGTTTTCACCGTCCTTTACCGCGGAGTAATGCTGTCTGAAACCTGATTACTCCCCGCCGTTGCATCAGTCGCCATTGAGGCCCGCTGATTGGGTGGGGGACGGGAATCATACCATCTGGGTCCAACATGGACCAATTATGGGCTGGCGGGAAACTCAAGCGTATTCCGCTTTCAACCCTTCCGCGAAGGGTTTTCCTGCGGAAAACTGTGAAATTTTTGCACTGGTGGGTTCTCAACGACGTAGTTGCACGATCTGTCTGTCTCCTCCACAGTAGCCACTTCATAACCGCCATTGACATTCAAAATTTCACGTCAAATCTCGCTTCAGACGTTACCATTATTACAGTAAATGTAGCTTTGGCTTCCGGATCAATTACATGGCAGCTCAATCCAGAGTGTTTGGCTTGTCCAATCTTATGACGCTGTGCGACGGCAGATAAATTATAATCCGTCGGAGTCCGGATGTGATTGGCAGCCTGCGATCTCAACCTGCCAATCCGATTTTAGAAGTCTTGGCGCCGCAAGGGATGTTCACCGCAGCCTCAAGCCATGTGGGCGCCACCCACGCCAAGTTGTCCACCTGACCTGTCTTATCTGATCCGGGGTTGATCCATCTGGGGCTTTCTCTTTTGTTTTGAGGATATCTCTCGAGTGTAGGATTATTATTTCAACTCACATACGATTTATCTAGTAACACATGTATTTCATTGACTATGGACAAATCATGAACGCCAACTCAAAAATCGTTATGTTATATCTCAGCACGACAGTCAAGGGCTCATCCTAGATATGACAATTACTTTTTTGTTACAAAGCTTTGAAATCGCCGTCCCTTCTCTTCCCTCTGCTCAGGCAACCTTCTTGAGTCTGGCAGGAAACGAAGTAGATAAAAGGGTAATGATGTGAAACTCCGTTCGCCATCGAAAAATTCTATCTGCAATTGTTTTAGTGTCAAAAACGGCCTTTCTCCGTCAAAGTCTATGCAGTAGCATTCAATCGTAAAACGGGTCTCTTCCATAATGTTTGCATTGTGCAGTTAAAACCCTCCATAGGGGTTGGAAGTTCTCTTTCTGGCCTTTTAATACATCCGCCGGTGCTGCTTTGACAACACCACAGGTCTCCGTAGCGAACTCCATTTTCAGTGTCTGACAAAGTCAGACGCTCATACAAAGGAATGATTTCTAGGTCCATGAAATCAACGTAACATCTCAGATCCTTCAAGTCTTGCACCAGTCGAGGTTAGAGATTACTTGAGTTCTGAAGTTCCAAGTAATTCCGTGCCAGCAGTGCCTTCACTTGCCTATGGATAGGTATCAAGGAGTCATACGGCTTAAACCACGTGCATGATTGCTCTGTCGGCACATCTGAATCAAGTTTATTTAAACCAAACCGATACAAACGGAATTGATTCTGATACGTTCCCGCCAGCTTCCCGGGCTTGGTGATTGGACATTGAAACATGACATTAGGCTCGGCATCCTTTCTTTCTCCACCAACTTTTCCATCTTTGAGGTTTTCATGGTACAGCTTTGCACCCAGGACCGCATAATTCATCAAGACTTCCAGCGCATAGCGGTTTGATTCACATCCGGGCCGGTGGTAGAAGCCAATGTAGTTGATCTTCTTAACTTCTGATATAGTCGGTCGCCCTCTTCTTTTCCACGCTTTCCTCTTCATGTTTTGTTGTCTCATCTTGGCCATATCCGTTGGTTTATTTAGCCTGCTTTGGCAATGAAGCTTGAGCCTCGGAATGTTGGTCACTGTGTTGCTCGGCTCGATGCAGTTTTGTGAAGCTGAATTATCTGTCCCTTGAGTGAATCCACGTAAGGCGATCTCTCCTTTGTTGTCATTGAATCGGTAGAGCTATCATGGTCAAGCTTTTCGGATTTGACATTCATGTGGTGTTCCTCGCTGACCCCATCTTTCTTTTCATCCATATTCCCGCAGTGTTGTGCCGGATGTAGTTGGCCAGAACAAGCTGGTGTGACTGAATACTCAAAGTAAGAATTATGCTGTCAGCCACGATAATTTAATGTAGTATATTAGGATTCGTTCGCTTTAGGGGAAAGTAGAGATTCTCTACGGAGTAGGTAGAGAGAGGTTCTGGCCCTCAGGGTTAAAGGGCCCTTCAAACCCCACGCCCAGATATCACTTTCTTTCACTTCCTTCTTTAACTGAAATGGTCCAATGATAGTATCGATACTCAGATATCGTCCTCCATCCTACGAAGGATTTGTGAGAACCCACATCATTGAAGCTAGACGCCTAGCACTCCCCATGGCCGCAACATGTTCCTTGTTGGACAAAAGGAGAGCGCCTTTGCCAAAACACAAATAAATAGAAAAGATTCACCTTACACTGGTGACACTTGGAGCTAGGTATATGCAAGAGAACGCTCCTCCATATCACGAAAAGTTCAGCGAGCCTAACAGTTGACACACTCTCCCGCTTTACCATCTGGCTTTCCCCCCCTAGGTCTGACTTGATACTAAGCATCAGATATTTCGGTTTGGCAGATTATGGTCTCATTTCACCTCTATCCGTACTTTGTGCTACCATCACTCTGCAACTATCCCAGACTCGGGACTGCTTTTTGTTGCATTACTTCTGTGAGCAACATGAATTAGTTCTCCATGAATGAGCTTAGTGGTCTACAAGAATAAGTAAAAAATCTTACCACACAGTTTATCTGTACGGAATGACCCTTCGATTGCCATATTATTAAACACTCCTTCGGCGTTTATATCAGATCGTTAGACGTAGGGTCACTCTGACTGACCTTGCGAGAGCTTATTATGCAGCTTCACCTTGACAAACAGTTAATTTCTGTGATTGACATTAAAACCGCCCTGAAGAAAAAGATCTGATATGAAGACCTCTGTACTGTGATTGTGATGGTGCATAGGTTCAGTCAGGACGATGCATGTCGGGCTATTATAAAGGTCTTTATCACCAGGCCGACTGCCAGGATACACATTAAACGGACGCTTCCAGTCAAGAATCGATTTTTGCTGCAACGCGGTGCATCTCGTGGTGCTGGGCCGCCAGAACGGAGAATTCCATGATATTCACACAGATAGGTCAGCACTGGTTTTAAAGGCAGAAGGACCTATATCGGCAGCAAGATGCCTCGGAGGAAGAGGAATTATGAAAGGATTTGTTTGGTCAGAGAATTGAGTTTCTGCACGGTTTAAATCGAATTCTGCTCAGTATATCATCGCCGATCGACCGATGTTTATAGGGCATATAGGCCACACCGGTGCTTAGCCATTACTTGCACAGCTATTATTTGTTACTTTCTAGCCAGGCTTTGGCTCTGGTTGGCCGGCCAAACAAGAGTAACTAAAAGGATAGGACAGGAAAAAAACAGCCCGTTATAAGTACCATAAGCTCTCACCTGCTGTCGAGCTATGTCAGCTCATCTTTATCGGTGAGACCAAATATTGGTAAAGCGCTATCGTCCAGTTGCCTATGCTTACTCACTATAAGTCTGTGAGCGTACCTGTTGAACATCTTGTTGATTGGATAGTCTGTCCCAGTCTTGCCTATCAGATAGCTAGAATCTTAACCTCACTCCAAGCAACACATAAACACATCTTTCCGCTACACAGCAGTTCTTCCGTCGTTCCTTCGGCAGCGAAGTTCAATGTCAATATCCTCATCGGGCGGAGCAATTGCGGCGCCCAAATGCGACTTCTCGACGGTCGGCATCACCCATTCACCACTGCGTGGCTTCATATCAAAATTAAGAATGGTACATGCTGCAAATCCTAGAATCACCGATGCGGCGACATGACGACCGGGACATAGTGTCCATCCACCACCGAAAACACGGAAGCCGACCGGGTTGTGGCTTCTTTTGCGATCATTAGTATTCTGTCGAACGAACCGGCGGTAGTTGAACTCATTCACATCATCACCCCAAACCGATGGGTCGCTGTGTTGAATGATCGCCGGTATCATTACCATGGAACCCTTCTTGAGGAGGTACTGGTTATTAATCACTTGATCTTGAACCACCTGAGTGACTGAAGTGCCCATGGAATGCGTGCGTAGAGTCTCCTTGAAGGTGGAGGCCAGAATTGGACAAGATTGCTCAAGACTCGAGAGATCTAGCATGGGGCGATGGTCATCATTTTCTTGACTTCTCTTTTGTAGGGCGGCGTAGAGCTCCTTGCGGCAGTCTTGCAGAATGATTTCGTTGGAATAGATGTGGTAGAGAAGCCAGAATGCGGCGGGGATTGTATTTCCTAGAATTGCAATGCTGAAGGCAGCCTGCGTCCTGGCAATATCCGAGTCCGATAACCCGCTTCTGGAGAATACAAGGTATTGATCTTTCATATAAGACGATGCTTGGTCGGCCTCAAATCCGCGTTTGCTGTAGTACTGTTCGAATGACTGGACCAACGCTTCGCGAGCACGAAGAGGCTGATTCGCGATGATTGAAGGTAGCCATCCGATGGTGAGCCGCGTTGTTCCAATTTGGTATTGCCTACAGCATGGATTATCAGTGACCATTTGAAAGACCTGCAGTAATCAGGGTCAGGGTACAAACTGCCAGGCTGCTCGATTCCCAGGATCTCGGAACGGATTTTGGACGCCGTACATGGCTTCGGAAGTTGCCATCATGACCTCGTGGGAAATCCATTCATACATACCCGGGTACCCTGGCGAATCAGTGTATTGGCGGGATTGAGATAGTGTGACGAGTTCCCAAAATCTGGTCCGAATGGCCTCCAAACCTGGCCCAGCTGACAGAGCGGACTGGTTGAAGTCATGGAATCTACGAATGAAGCCATTCTCATCATCATCGCCCAGGACTTTACAACCAGGCTTGGTGGCACCAATCAAGGTGCCAGCGACCCGAGCCAAAATTGGGGAGAATGAGAGCGTTCGAGGATGGTGTTGCACCGCTGAGATGAGGGAGGTCGAGTTAACCACATACAGACGTAAGCCAGGTAGACGTATTGTGTAAATTGGAAACCGGCTGGCAGTCAGTCAGTCCGATGGCTTGCGGTCGGCGACATACTGTGAACCGTGATGAATGGAAATCTTACCGGTTCTTTCTATAGTAGTCGAAGCCAGTCCAACACATGCGAAAGAAAGGACTGATGAAAGGGATAGACAAGTCTACCGCCGGCGGTTCTCGGCTATCTTGCGTGCAGTCCAGGACCATCCGAAGGAAGATGGACCCGATCAGGAGAAGCAAAAAGCAGATCACCAATGTAGTGAGCATAGTAGCAAGAGTTATTGAATGATGAATGTTCAAGTGCTGAAAGGTTGCAACTACCAAGTTGGTACTTGCTATGGACTCAGTACAACTACTCTTATGTGAGGCTGCTTGACCATCACTGCCACGCAGCACCAAGATTTCGAACCTGCATCCCAGTTCAGCTCAGAGGGTCATGTAAGCGCTACGCATGCATGCATCTGGCAATCCACCCTCGAGTCAAGGAAATGTGTAATTTCTCTTCCGTTAATCTCTCTTCTCCGATAGCTTCTTGGCTTTCACGTCTAGCGTCCGTTTAGCCGACGTCTGGACAAGACTGGCGGGCAAACATCCCGATCGTGCATGTGCCACTTGCCAGGTTCCCCTCTCCACGCCTCACTAAATTTCTTATTAGTTATGTTTTTCTCTTACTAACTAGGCAGTGATAGTCGGTTTTTATCAACGTTGGTAATTATTCAATGTACTGCGGTATTTCTTGGTAGTCTGAGCAAACAAAGCAAAGACAACCAGGATATCTACGAGTACAAGTAGTTGCCAGTTCGGTCCACACGCTGCCTTTTGCCTCGAGGCCCAAGCGTTAAAGTTCCGGGCCGCACTTCTTCTAGCTTCCTTCGAGCCGTGGACCGAAAATCCTGCGGAGAAAGCGGCCAGGCTTGTGGTAACGATGGGGGGCTGTTTATCCAGCGCACGAGCATTGCAGTTCGCTGATCATCAGCCAAACGACCAGTCTGTGGGGGCCAAGTTTACAAGCCTCCCCACCCCACCTTTGCATCCCTCCTGCAGCTCGGTGGATGGCAGTGTCACACACACCTTTGATTGGTGGACTTTTCGGCCGTGTTTGCTAGATGCATGACGGGCGAGGAGTACCTCACACAACCACACGTTCAGGTCGAAAAATAACTAGTAACGACAATTACCGTACTTTGCTCAGACATGGGTTAGATGTATCAGTAACTTTGAGTGTGGCGGAGTGTCTTGAGAACATACAAGCAAGGATTGAGTCTGGGATCTCCTCCAACTTATCTCTTGACTGATTGTTATAAGTCTTCTCTTCTTCACTTGGATATCATATGGAAATCATATTTCCGCAGATCTTTACAACACCAGTCCATCGATCATGAATCTTTCAGAAATTCCCATGTCACAACCCCCTCCGGGGCAAGTGACCAATTTCGTGGACCCGGTGTCCATCTCTTGGGCGGGGCGGTTGTCCATTTGGTTGACCTTACCTATCATGGCAGTAGCCTTTGTCTTGCGGATTTATGTCCGTCTGAAATCACGGCAAATGGGAATAGATGACTGTAGGTACCCATCAAGATTCCGACTCATCGCAATCAATGCCTGATACTGACTGCGACTTCAGATTTTCTGGTCGTCGGAGCCGTGAGTATTCACTCAGTATTATATATCCAATAAAACCCCTCTGTTCCTCACAACCAGCTCTTTTATCTACTAGGTCGGCGCTGCTTCATTTTGTGGGACACTTATTCCCATTTGTACGTCGCCCTCTAGCCTCTTTTTTGCACTCGCGGGTTTAGTTGGCTTATTTTTGAACCAGTCCTCAAAGATGTCTGGGGACGTCATGCGTGGGACATCCCCGTCTCCTCAATCGTTCCGTGGTTTTTCAAGGTATGGTGCTCGTCCAGGTTATTCCAATCATTGCGCAACCTTCCAACTTTTACATCAATAGTTCTCTGTGACGGCAGGGTGTCTGTACAACATCAGCGCCATGTTCACAAAAGTTTCGATTCTTGCATTCTATCTCCGCATTTTCTCCCCCGCGCGCAGCGCCCGAGCTCTTATCTGGTGTGGAATTATATTCATTGTTCTGGGATACATGACTCTTACCATCGCCATGCTGGCCTGGATGGTCCCCCATCGGGGGGACGGGGGGTGGGGGTCGACGGCCAATACAGAACGGATGAACGTCGCATCCAGACAACTCGACTTTACACAAGGCATATTCAGTGTTGTCTCCGACTTCTATGTCATCACCATCCCCACTGGCATTATCTATCGCCTGAATATGAAAACCCAGAAGAAGATTGGTGTTGCGTGTATCTTTCTCTTCGGTTTCGTGTAAGTGATCGGTTCCTGTCAAGGCATCAGCGCTTGTACCGAAGACTAACACCCTACCACCAGGTCGCTTGGTTGCTCTATAGCCGGCACAGTTCTTCGTTATCACGCCATGGTTTTCACTGTAGTTGACAACCGGTGGCTCTCCGTCAAATTTGAAGCACTATGGTAAGTAACATGGCTTTGATCGCCACTTAGGCCAGCCCCGGTCTTGGTGTATTCCAGTTCTGATAGGCTTTTCTCCAGCGTGGTCGAGCTTAATATCGGAGTCCTCTGCGCTTGCGTTCCCGTTTTCTTTGTCGTGTTGCGCACCTGGAAGCAAAGAACTGAAACTGGGTTCGCTTACCTCAAACAACGGCTGTTGACATCTCCAGGAAGTAAAGAGACGGTGGTCCTGGGCGAGCGGCAGCAGAAACCTGGAGTCTCCCTTGATATTCCGACCGGCACCTTGTCGGGACTGAAGACTTTCTTCCACAAACTGAAGCCGGATCAGGAAACAGTCAAGTCTGGTATTCGTGTGTCGCATTATTTTGAGCTACAGTCTGTCGACATTGATTATCATGCTCACATCAGGGGCGATGCGGCCAGTGGAAGGAACCCGTCGTTGGCTGGCAGCAAAGGGGTCTCTCGAGGGGCCTCTCGAGGGGGTGTTTAGTGCTGTGGTAAATCTCTAGACTATAGTATACTATGTTTCGACTGCTGGTGGAAGTCTATATACATCTCACGTCTAGGTAGCATATAAATGCGACCGGCTCATAGTTTCATGATAAATGACTATATTTTCTTACGTACAGATGGCGAACGACTTCCATACTTCTATCTAGTAGGGCTGGCATCCTGTATAAGCTATTGTTCGGGAAGCGATCATTCCAGGTACATTTGGCGCGCTCTGTTCATTTTGCAGAGGCTCTGCGTGAAAATGGCCTGATTGATTCATGGAGGGCTGAAAATTTGAATGACCCTGTTAGTCGGCTGGCTGGCGTGATTTTTCTGCATCCATGCAGCCGTGGGCGTCCTCAATCCAATGTAACCCCACCCCGCAGGGGCTGTGTGCCGGGCGCGCCTGACTTCACAAAATATGTCGGACTGACATATTAACCGACCTTGGAAGGCTGGACAGGGGTCAGTTAGCAAGGGTGGCAGTCTAGAGACACCTGGTGGTTCACTGGAAAGACACATACCCTGGTCCGCACTACGGCACGCAAAGTAAGCACTTAGCTATCTACGGAATAGTATGCCTTGTTCACACCCCAGCAGCTGGGCTGTGACACTTTGTGCTCCTATTAGCCGGCAGCAGTAGTGCGTAATATTGGGACATGCCCACCTTTCCTACTTCATCCAGTAGAATGAGATATACCATCTCTTTCAGTTTGCTTTACTTGGTCTTGATACTATCTCGGGCCCCACTGTCCCCACCTTTCTTTGTCTCTCTGTCTGCCTAGCCTTCCTTTAGTATCTATCAAATTCGGCTTAGTAGGAAATTGAAACTTCTTATATGATAAAGCAGATCAGCACCTGTGAAAGAGGAGCATTCTTTTCTTTCAAACTCCAGTTTCCATTTCCTCCTCTTCTCTGTACTTCTACTTCTTTAGTCTTCAAGATGACCGGTTCTTCTCACATCGAGAACTATGACCAGTCCACATACTGGACTTCTCCAGCCCGGAACTTCCGGTCCTCTGCCCGCCTTCATCTCCAGCACCTCCTATATCAAAACACCCTGGGCTATCTCCTAGAGCCCGCTGTCGAGAAGGCCGTAACCGCCGCTCGACAGCCTCTCAAAATCGCCGACCTCGCCTGTGGCAATGGGATCTGGCTGATTGATTTGCACGCCCAATTGGCGAAGAACAACATCACCGCTCAATTGGATGGCTTTGACATCAATCCCGTCAACTTCCCGGCTGCTGCATACCTGCCCGCCTCCATCTCGCTGCAGCAGCTTGACGTTCTCGCCAAGCCCCTTCCCGAAAACCTCCTGGGTGCCTACGATGTAGTGCACATCCGCGCTTTTGCCAGCATCGTGCCAGACTCCAACCTCACCCCCATTCTCTCAGTGGCCTCGTCCCTTTTGAAGCCCGGTGGCTACCTGCAGTGGGAAGAAAACCGCGGTGATCTCTTTCTCGTCGAGGCTCCAGCCCCGGAAATTTCCACTGCGGCCTGCGACCGCGTCGTCCAGGTGCTCAAGGGCGGGCTTCAAGCGAAGGGCATCAGCAATGCCTGGATTGATGAGCTTGATACCCACCTGGCGCAGTTTGGGCTCCAGGATACGCGCCTTCTTGCTCATGATAAGCGCAAGCAGGACTACAAGGGCTGGACTGAGGACTACCTCATGGTGTGGGAGGAAGTGACTGCCTTGTTCCCGCCCAATGCAGAGGCCCCCAAGGCGCCTCTGTCCCGCGAAGCCTGGATTGCGATGTTTGCCGCTGCAGTCAAGGAAACGGAAGAGGGTGTTATCATACATCAGAAGCGGATTTTGACAGCTGTGGGGAAGAAGCCACTTGCATGAAATATTGGGGCATCTCTTATCTGTTTTCCTACAAGGTCAATGTATAAGAGCGAATATAGTCAATTTTTTTTTTCTCTTTTTTTTTCTTTATCTAATTCGTAGTGTCCTTTGTCTGAAATCCCGTTTGTGTTTGCCATAAGAAAAGAAGAGTGTACAAAAGGGTAGAGGGGGGAGGGGAGGAGGAGAAACGCGAAAAAGAAAAATTTGTAGGAAAGTGTATCTAGACCTGAAACTTTGGTATTGTATTGTATGCAATTTTCGTCTCCCTATCATTGTTTATATGGCCGTAGTAAATAGTTATGCTGGCGGTGCGACCATTGTCACACCATTTTCCCGGCCTTTCCCAGCGCTCGCCTTAATCTCCTCGCACGATGGAAGGTAGCACTAAAGAAACGGCCGTTTACCTAACAAAAACATAACTTATCTGGAACGGGACTAAATAACCGCTACTGTATGGTCTGTCACATTCCCCAGGCTAGTCATACCCCATCATGTACGAACTCGTTTCACCTTCACCTTTAGTCCGTCCACCGGTCGGGCCGTGATCTGCCGTGTCTGCTGAACCGTCAGCCGAACCCACCACAACACCCAATGGAAGGCGCAAGTCAAAAGCTTGCGGAACTTACAGTATAAACCTGCGAGTCGACCTCATACCGCCCGTCAGGGCGCAAGATTGGAAGGCCGGTAGAAGCATCTCGTGCCAGCGCGCCGATGCCAACCTTAATAAACTCGTACTGCCGCGCCACGACGGCAAGAACGACGCGCATCGTGATGCGGGCGAACTCCTGGCCTATGCAGGCACGGGGACCGCGTTCATATGGTCGCCACGCACTCGGGGGGATTGTTCTTTGATTTGTGTTCTTTTCATCTTCCGCCATTAGCCACCGCTCCGGCATGAACTGGTTAGCGGTGGACCCAAAGACGCCGCGGTCGTGGTGCATGATAGCGCTGCAATTGTAGAGGATGAGGTCGTCGAGACACAGCTCCTCCCCCGTGGTGGGCAAGCGCACAACGAATCCGGAGCCCTTGGGGGAATACCTGGCTGTGGACGCCGGAGGGTGCAGCCGCAAGGTCTCCTTGAGCACCGCCTCGACATATACCATGCGCCGCAGCAGATCAGGTCCCTCTGTTGGTGAGGCCAAGGCAGTGCGCACGGCCGCGGCGTCGCGGCCCGGCCCGAACAACCCGTCCAACTCGGCGTGCACGGCCGCCTGCGCTCGTGGTGTGCGAGACAGCTCGTAAAATGCCCACGCCAACGTCGCACTGGGCGAGTCATGGCCCCCCAAGAGGAAAGTTCGAAGCTGGTCACATGTCTGATCTAGGAGCTCAGGTGTGAGGATTCCCCCGGTATGTGTGGTCTCCTGGAGGCTGAGGAGGGTGATGCTTGGTGGCAGCTGCGGCTGCGGCCTCTTTTCATATCCGTTTGTGCGCCGTTGTTGTTGCTGCCGCCAAAGATGTTCTTCATGCTTGCGACGAACAATAGATTTCATGATGCGGTGAACACGGTTCCCGAGTCGGCGACGTTTGAGTGCGTTGACTGGGGTGAAGAACCAGGGTAGATGGATCTTGTCATCCCAGTAAGCGTTAATGAGATCATTGAATGCGCGCACCAGCTCCCCTTGATGGCCGGGTTCAAGGTGCTGGGCATCCATGTCGATGTCAAAGATAGCATTACCGATGATATCATACATTAAGTTTGTGGTGAGCGTGACAAGGGATACTTCGTCTCCCGACACGGACAGTGCATCGAGCTGTGTGACAAAGATCTCTATCTTGCCCAATATGGAGGGCATTAGGGACATAAGGTGCTGAAGGGAGAACCACGGGTTGAAGGTCTTGCGCAACGCCTTCCACTTCTCCCCTTCGGCGGACAGGATCGATGTATGTCCGATGACGGGTTCCAGGAAGCTTAACCCCAACTTCGGGACGCTAGAGCGAAACTGCTTGCTGGACCGGGAGATCTGCTCTCCAACTTCATGATTGGCAATCACGAGAACAGGCCGACATATTGGCCGATAATCAAACAGAACAATGGGTGGTCTTCCGAGCGATTCATGGATCTGGGAGAAAATATGGTCTGCAAGGAAGAAATGCCATGTCAGTTACAGGAAACAGTAATAAAGTGGCTTGTTGCATTTACCATGATCGCGGTCAAGGGAACCGCTCTGCATGACCTCATGGTAGATTCTCAGATGACCCCAAAGGAGAGATGGTGGCAATTGTGGGAATTGGGCAAATTTGATGAATCGTTCGTACCATATCCAGCGGCATATCCACACCGAGGTCAGGAATATTGTTGTCAAAAGTAATAGCAGCAACATTTTTGGATAGATAGTTTACAACAAAATAAGATTTTCCTCTGGTGATTATTATCTAAGAGCAATACTCAGAAGATGCTCTCTCACACTTAACACTTGGGCATTTGTCCGAAATACAGCTTGCAGAATGGAGGGGGGGAGACGGGGTAACTAGAGACAAACAAGGATGTCCTCCCTGTCGGCGAGGCTGATCTAAGTGACATGCTAATATAGCAACTACGTCCGTGGCAATGCTCTCATATGATCGGGTTTTGCGAGTCTTGTACTGTGCGGGACATGTGTCGGAGGAGATTATAACTAGGCCCTGGTATGTTAGGCCTTATTGGTGGGCAAACCATAAGCCTACTTTGACATGCAGAAACATTTGATGACGATTCTATAAAGCGTAAGGCAGCCATTAGACGTTAAGGCTACTATCAAACATGCCAAATTATACTGCAACCCCTCCGTTTTCGATTGGGAAAGTGAGACGCCCCAACGCAGGTGAAAAGCGCGATTCTTGGGAACATGGCATGGCCAATTGTCTATTTTGGTTAGGGTACTGGACGACTGAACGGCGAAATGGATCGGCGAGAAGGAGGAGGCTCGGACATCCGTCTGACATAAATGGGTTCAGCTATGAGTTGTCAGGAGAGATATACTCCGTATCTGCAGCTCGGTTAGCCTCGCGTGACGGCTCACTCACTCGCATCCTGCAATTCGGTGCGGTATAGCCCTTTCCGCCATACATGTAATACATACCCCACATCGTTACTACTAGTATTGGTGGCTTGGATTTGGCAAGGCTAATGACTCCTCTCAGTAGCGTAAGCTAGAGGCGGGAGGAAGCGGAGTTCTTCAACTAGAATCTGCAGACCTGCAAGGCTGGGAAGTGATCGTCCGTACGGAGTATGGTTGCATCGATTCGTGCACGCACTTGTACATTTTCAGTAATAGCTCCAGTAGTGCCTATCCCACCCCATGAATTGGCCACATCCACTTTCAGGACATCTACAATTTTACTCCGTGCCCTGTTACCCCTCTTTTTCTCTAGATCGACCGGGGTGAGTCGCTTGGGTGATCGGGCAACATGAGACATTTCACATCTAGTCGACTCCACACGGGAAAGATGCCTTGTAGGCTCTAGTGGCCCTCCCACCCATACATTGGTTCCGGACTTTGTGGCCGGGTATTTTCTATAATTAGTCCTAGTATTAGGCAAGCCTGCAAGACATATCACACTGCATGTAATAAGAGCGAACCTCTTAGACAGTCAAGAAACTGGCGGCTAGAAGGAGGGGGTAATCAATGGGTACGGCTAGTAATTTTATTACGTCAATAATCAGTAAGAGGGGTCGAAATCAATGAGCTAGACCAAGGCGAAAGAGAGAAAAAAAAAAATAAGAGACGCAAATAAAAAAAAAAAAAAAGAAAGAAAGAAAGAAAGAACAGAAAAGAAAGGGAAGGAAAGGAAAGGAAAGGAAAATAACAGTACGTATTTCAAGTACAAAGTAGATCATAGATATGGTGATCACTAATGAAACATATTATGAGGCTCTTGCAGAATTCTTGGTAGGAAAACCTAAGAGGATAGTAAGACTTCCACGAAAGCTTCGTATGATGGGGGTTTTTGGCTGTATACACGGGCTTTTGGAGCCAGTTATTAATCTTGTATTGCCTTTGATAAAGCACATTGCAATAGACATAAGAGCTCTCCCGTAATTCATCGCCAGACGACTTTCAGTTCGCAATACTTACTTACATGAATGCTGTAACGGCTGATTGCTTATTAGGGCCAGCTCCACAGTCATTTAAGAGGACGCAACCAGCCGGCAACATCCACATTTTCAAGCAATCTCTGAGGCTCGGGGAAGTTCTCTCCAACTTCAGCGCAGCTGCTTTGAGTGTTTGAAGCCTTTAAAGACCCTTCATAGTAAGATTGTGGAACGTGAAAACGTATACTATCACAGGCTAGTGTCCTTTAGTTGTGACAGGTTTCACAAGGCTAATCTATCAACACACTCAAAATATTGACCACACCCTGAATGAAAGACAATCACGGTGCTCGTTTATATCTGATAAATCAGCGGCTCGAGAGATATGAACATTCTATGTTGTTTGTGCGTACTTGCTCTACCCCTAAATAGCCAGCTTTACCACTCTAGTTCTTGACTTTCAAAGCTCAACAAAGTAATGGAGGGCTTCTAAAGCCGTTAGACTAGTCAGTCAAACTCTTTACTTATTGCTGTATGCAGAAGAAACAGTGAGAACTTAAAGGTTGTTGAACTAGGTGCATGAATTATGCTGATTTTCTTTGCTGATCTTTTGGTCTCCTTTCCATATTGCATATCTCACCTTGTGGGTAATCAATGCTTAGAGAGATAGGTGTCGTAAATTAGGCAACAAGTTATTCATAGGCACCTTGTCATCATCATGGCAATTATCATCATCATTGCAGTTATGCTGTTGCATGTGTCTTACCAGTTTCTCCTTTCGTTCTTGTTCCTTATCCTTCGTAAATGTACCTTGGCTTCAAATGATTCCAGTATTCGTGCTGTAGATCGACCTCCAAGGTGCAATGGTACAGAAACAACACTGGTGACATCGGATTGGATGCAATATCAGAAATTTATTTGCAGCTTTTATGGGATTGGTTCCCGCTTTGAGTTTGCTTCTATCTCTCGTTTTCATCTTGGCATATCCCAAAGGCATCAGCATATTCATTCAAGACAAAGTAACCCCGACGGAAGAAAAAGGTCTCGTTTATGATGGTGGCAACATTGATGTCATCGTCTGGCAGTCAGCAGTCTCAATAGATGGAAGATGTGGACGATGCTGACCTGTGTGAGACACCCCCACGTGTCAAAATAACATTATCAGAGTTTCCCTGCACCAGTTAACACATATATCAAGTACCATGGAGTAAACCTATATCAGATATAGGAAGTCTATATAGAATGAAAAGGAAGATTCATGACATAGTATGGATAAAATAGCTTGGCACCCTACTAGCATCAAAGACCCTAAATAGCCGAAATGGCCTACTACTGTTAACGAACTGTGTATGTATCCTGTTCCTTTGCCTTCGTCAGCGAAGACATTGTATGAGCTTTTGTCGGCGATAGATATCTTCATAGTGTGAGGTAGTGGGGCGACCTTAACTTATTGCGGGGATCGGCCTGGAAAGTCTTGGATGTCAATGTCATATATCGAGCGAAAATTCCATACTAACGGGGCTATCAAAGGCTCATAGCCTGGGGGACCTTGTATTTCGTGAGAACTTGTCTGGATTTGATCACTTTCGGGTTCGTAGCGAAATCATCCCAGTCATTACCTCTGCACCCAGGCGTGATAGGTGGACAGACCATAAATCGTCCCTTTTTACATAGACAACAAAAGTCGGGTTACATATAAATACCTCTGTAGCATCATCTTACAAGCTCAAGGTAGCGTATTGAGCCATCGACTCGACTAGTCAATTACTAGCCCCCTTATCAAATGACTCACCAGATAAGCACTAACTATATAACTATACTCCAGACCTGAAACACATTTCCTCAGCTTTCTCTATCAACTCTCTTCATTTCTGCCCAAAGTTCATCTCTATCTCTCTTCCTCTTCTCCACTACGCCATGGATCACTTCAAACACAGCGCCTCCATCGGCACTCACACCCTCAGCTACGCACTCCGCGGCCCACCCCGCCAACCCAACAAACCCCTCATCATAATCCTAACCGGAATCACGAGCAGCGCTCTAGAATGGAGCGCCGTATGCCGTCACCTCTCCACCGACGCCTCCATCCTTCTCTACGAGCGATCCGGATACGGCCGCAGCGAACCATCTCCAAACCCACCCGACTCCCTCACAATCATCGACGAGCTCTGCCACCTCCTTGACGCCGCAGCTCTATCCCCGCCATACCTCGTCATCGGACACTCCTGGGGTGGTATCCTGGCACGAGAGTTCCTCGCCGCCAGACCAGACGATGTCTGCGGCATGGTGCTCGTAGATCCAGTCCAGGAGCGTATGATTATGGAGACGTGGCCGGATTTTAGCATTTCTGCTGTTACCGATGGGTTGGATTACATGGATGTTGTTGGGTTGATGCGCGATCGTGTGTTGACTAATGAAGAATGGGGAGATTTGATGGCGGAGGAGCAAAGTGAAGGCCATGCGAAACAGGCGGCGCAAGAACTGCCGTTTCTGCAGGTCAGTCGGGGAGTCCTGGCAGAGAAGGAGCAACTTGTTCCTGGGAAGGATGTTTTGAAGGGAAAGCCGTTGAGTGTGTTAGGAGGGAATTCGAAGAGGGATCATGAGTTGTTGTATGACGCTGGTGTGGCGAGGGGGGCAGGTACGGTTGCGCAGCGGGAAAGGTTCAGGGAGTATCTAGCGAAGTGGGGGAGGTGTGAGGAGGAGTTTCATCGGGAGTTGTTGAATTTGTCAAGTGTTGCGCGTTATTCGGTGACGAGGCGGAGTGGGCATAATATCCAACTGACGCAGCCGGAGTTGATAGCGGATGAGGTTCGTTGGGTGTTGGAGATGATCCAGAGATGATGTGTGAAGAGACGCGTATGATTTCTATTCAGGAGAACTTGCTGGTATACATAGAGCTTGTCAAGTTATGGGCGGTTAGCTTGTATGTGACTCTTGGCTGAATGCATGGTCTCTTCTGCGCGAAGGCGATAAAAATTCCACTCACTCACCTGCTGCACCGAGATCTCGAGTCCCCGAAAGTATGTCAAAATGTCATCAAATGACTGGGTGGACATAAAGCATGACTGCACATTAAGAACCGATTCCGCGCCTCGGCATGAGGAAGATAAAGATCATACTATATTTGATGCAGCAATCCTTGCTAATGGCAAGCTTGGACAACCTGTGTGGGACTTCGACTACAGATAATCGGAAATTGCGTCACAGATGTATTACTAGTAAATCATGGAAGGAGCTAATCTTCCAGAAAGGTGCGTTCATGCTAATCCGCCACGCAACATTTTCTAGGGAAGCGAAACACTCATTCTGCTTCAATATTCAACTAGATATGGTATGTTTTTCCAGCATTGTAACAAATGAAGCTAATTATAAATTTTGCAAACCAAACCGTCAACAAATCCATCAATAGCCCGGCGATTGATCCAAGCGAGCCGTCCAGCATAGTACAAGCCCCCACCAAGCAACCCCATCACTACCCCCGAGACGGCCATCAAGTCCCAGTTCTTCGCCTTATAAGCTGGCATCCGCATATCCGCCGTCTGCAGATGCATTGGACGAGTCTCCTTCCCATCAACGACCCTCGACTCATTATCGTATAGAACTTCCTCGATCAGATCAGCGCCCAAATATTTGCGTCGAGACGCCACATGGGCAATACGCTGGAGACGCTGCACATTGCGCGCATAGCACCCGTCACGATCTTCCATGATCAACTTTGTCTTGAAGTAGAGTTCATCGGCCGTGAAACGGAACTTGTGTAGCAGCTCCGACGTTCCGTTTCCGGCCAGTTTTGCCGCATTACCGATCTGGTCGAAGAAGAATGACATTACTAGCATCGGTTTGCCATGGTAGAGGCCTTCGTTGGCGCTGGACCCACCTCCGTGGGTGAAATAGATGCGGGTATGGGGATGATCCAGGATCGACCGTTGTGGTGCAAAGAAAGGGAACTTCCAGTCGGCGTGTAACCCTTCGAGAAGGTCTCCGAAGCTAATTGTCTTGCCTTGCATAGTGAAGGATTCCGCATTGTCGAACAGCTGCCGTCCGCTCCTACCCACTGACCAAATTACGCCGTCAATAACACCTTCTTCCATGGCTTGGATAAGTCCTTGAAGAATCTTCCGAGCATCTGCGTGGGGGAGGATGATATGCGTCCCCAAGGCAATATATATGGTCTTTGGGTGGCGGTCAAGGAACTCCTGGTGGGGCGCGTCCAATAGAGGATACTCATCTGCTAATATTGGTCCGACTGCTGCGACCAAGGGAGGAAGGTCTTTGGGCACTTCGAGACCGAAGAAAGAGTTGACTAGAAGTAGATAATCAGGTTTCTTTGGCGTTGGAAGAAGGTAATTCAGACCCGCTCGCTTGCGCATGGCTCTGGTCCAGTTCCTCAGTTTAAACACCTCAGGCAAGGCCCGCACGACTACAAGTTCATTGTTGATGCGCGACCACATTGACGCATTCTCCGAGGTTAAGGTCATATCGAGTTGGAAGCCCGGCTGACCGGGGATATACGAGCAGGGAACCATCAAGTAGGGCATCTGTGGCCAGACAATAGCAATGGGCACCTTGTATTCCAGTTGGATGTCCTTGACTGCGTCGACGAAGAAGTCAGCAACCAGCATATCCGGCCGTGTAGCAGGATCATCCATGATAGTTTTCAGTCCATAATAGGATTGTGTCCACAGAGAGTCGAAGAGGTACTTGGACTCCATGACATCGCCTAAACCTCTGGCCGGATCCCAGAGCCGGCTGCGCATGTAGTGCGCATCAAGCTGTTCCTCTGTCGGCCCAGGCCCCATGAGATGCGTCGACGAGATTTGGAAGCCGCTGGCCCATTCCTCTTGGCCATCGAGCGTTGCGAAGTCGACTACGTGCCCTCGGTTGGCCAGGACCTTCCCCAGTTCAAGAACCGGAGCTGCAATGAACCATTTGTATCCAATTAGAATCTATAAGGCCAAACAATAGGCAGGCATACTCACCGGCATGGGTGTAGCCTCCTCCAGTAACTACCAGGAGAATCTTCCTGGGTGGCAGAATGATGTCCGACATAGCCATGTGTTGGGCGGAGTTGAGATAAATAGCCGCACGCTCGGGATGATGGATGGATTAAATACAAGCCCGGGGTTAGTGGGAGTAGATCCGTGGCCTTCAACCAGCTGTCCTTCGGTGGTGCCACACAAGCGGCTAAAGTCGATCGCCAGTCATGCTTCGGCCACACATAAGCCTGACACCGTCCATCCCTGGTTTCGGCCCCTTTCAACCCCGTTTTGCTAGTTGATGTTATTTCTGGATCCGTACTTAATATCCCACGATTTTGAACTGTCGGGGTCTCTACCTCTGATGGCTTTTGGGATTCTGCAGGGGACAGCCAAAGTTGGTCTGCCAGAAAGGGCGTTTGGATTTGATCATTCACATAGTTGCTGGCGCGACGCCCCGAAGCCCGCTCACGACTTGCACATCTAAGAACACTGATATCTAACGTAAGGCTTATCGTCGGACAGTTGGTCCGAATCGCGTCGATTCGCGCATGCGATCTCCCCGATCGCCGATGACAGGCTGATCCACGGCAAGACAGTGTCCGAGATTCCGATCAGGCGGGCCACATAAATCTCGCATGGTAATAATCCGTGTGGGACGATCAGAATGGATATTCCGATTTTAGCATTCACGAAATTTTCTTCATTGCGTCTTGTGTAGAGCAACCGTTGCGCGCTCTGGAGTCTTATCGACTCATATTCACGAACGTACGATTGCGAGCAATGCGGTGAGAAATAGCTCGGGCGGCCCTGCGGTGGAAACTGAAGATGCCGAGTAGGTGATAAAGACGTATGAATGATCGTTCATGCTTGTGGAAACTGGTAGGAAACTATAGAAGCGCTAAGTAATCAGCGGGTCTTCTTTTCAAAATTGTCCGGGAGCCGTCGAGGATAACAGGGCGTGACAGAAGCAGGCCTCTCTCTCACCGGTGGATAACCCTTAAACCAAGACTAATAATGCCTCTCCTCCATCTGGTGCAAATATAGGGACTCTTGGGATGCCCTGCGGCCAGAAAATGGACATGGTCACGGGCATATTGCGCGATAATTTTGCCTTTTCAAGCCACGTGAGCGACAGAGGAAGGAACTGGCCGCTGACGGTAGGGGATAACAATAAGGTCTCTCGACCACATAGGAAGAGCTAATGATCGAAAAATTCAGGTAGCTGGAGGACTGTTTCGATGGGAATTGTTTATCGGTCTATAAATCTGGGGAGCACTCTGAGATTGGAGAGGGCCAAGATAGGAGGGTGGTGATGGCGTGCAGCAAATATCAAGAATCAAAGCGACTCTTGATTTGGGGACGAAGACTCCGCTTCACTCCTCGTGGCATTCCTAGGTACGCTTTCAACTACTATCAAGTACTATGGTTCTACTATCATGTCGATGGGATCCACCTCACCTTGTTATGGATCCCTTTCAGCCCTGCTTAATACCAGCACCAGACAAACAGGTGGCGTACTATATAGAAGTTTGCAAACCAACGAAGTTCTTCCCTAATAAATCCCACTCACTCCTGATTATACAACGACGCAAAACCAACTCATGTAACCAGCAGATATGCCTTTATATACCTTCAGAATAGACAGATTACCCATCATTTCCGTCCCGACGCTGCCTTGGCAATAACAATCCCCAGTATCATCATACACACAAACATGACCACAAACACCATCGCTACTATGCGACAGCAGTCTGCATGAGCTTGTCGTCTCTCTCGACGAATGATAGTTCGCTCGCACACTTCGCAGTGAGAGTGCTCTTGGGGGGTAGCGCCCGGGATCAAGGACGTGGTAGGGCCGTCTCCATGATCATGTTCATGGAATGATGGGAGTTGGATTTCGGGGTCATCGTTGGCTTGAGTGAGGGTGGTGTACTGTGTGTGTTGATCCTTCATCAGTATACTGATCTTCAACACTTTATCTTCCAGTAAGGTACGAAGGGGTGATGTACAGTGTGATTGTGGCGGCTAGTCGATTCCGTCTCTTCATACGGAGGGGTTGGTTCGGTGGGTGGTGGGAGGCCCATTTTGATCTGACTTGTGTTTTCTGGTAAAGTAGAAGCGTTTGTTTGTTCTGTTATCTTTGGTTTTGGATAGATTTGATGAAATATGATCGGAGTACTATCTACAATTCTGGGGAACTGTGCTGCCTGGGTCAGCCTTATGCGTAACTGGGTGGTGAGTGGGAAGGAAGGATTCGGGGCGCAGTGCATGTGCCGTGCACAGCCACAGAGTCATTGTGCTTACTATGTGTGTGTAAGCCTCTATAATGCGCTCTGTGCTTTGGACTCTAGGCTATTTATGAAAAGCAGTGGCTGGTATTTTTGTGGTCTCTTATCTTGGATGTATGCTTGACAACTGATCAAAACTGATCGTCGGTATGCCATGGTCCACAGCTAGCAGTATCGCCTTTGAATGAGAAGGTACTGCCAGTTGGAAGTTGACGAGCAAGTAGACTTTCTACTGTGGCATCTGGACATAAAGTCGATTAGCATACTCGGTCTAAGAAAAAGTATCACAATAAGAAGCAATAGGTGACGTGTGTTCGATGTCTTGTGTCTTGTAGATTGGCATGAGTAGTATAAAAGCATCAGGCATCAACAGTTGCTGCCTCAGAGCCTCAGGCCAGTAGCAGCGGCTCATCTGAGCACGTGCCGCCCAGCCAGCATCTGCCGAATGCCGATACGATACGATAAGCCTCTCTTATCGCGAATGTCCGAATGTTATCAATTTTGTTTTTGCCCCCCGCCACCCCACTTTCCTTCAAAAATGGGAAAGTAGAATCAAATGGCATTCGAAAAGCTAATAAGCACAGGAGACTCTCATATACAAACCAGTAGACTGTCAAAAGAGAGGTCCTCCCCCGGTATCCTATTCATGTGCAATAGATGAGCATTCCGCGTGATCGTACAGTAAACCTACGAAGAGGAGCTGACCCCAAACCCAATCTTAGCTCCGGTGAACCGCGAACCCACATCAAGAACATTACCTAAATAAAATTCTCTTTCTCCCCGCGTTCCCCTCGCTCAATCTGGCCATTTCCCCCAGACCAGATACTACTACCTACCTTGGTCATAGTCCATCTCCCCTTAGGTCAATCCCAGTTTATCAGCTACGTCATCACCATCACCATGCCCGACAAAGACGCCGGAACGCCCCGTGTTTTCCTTTACCGCCATGGTACCCCTCTTCCCACTATCCAACAATAATAGAATTCCCCACTAAGTATCTTACAGGAGAGACCGAATGGTCCAAAAGCGGCCGCTACACCGGCATCAGCGAAATCCAGCTGACTGACGACGGAGTGAAGCAAGTGTCCGCTTCCGGCAAGATCCTTGTAGGAGCTGGTAAGCTTATTGACACGGCTAAACTGGCTCGCGTGTATGTGTCTCCGCGCCAAAGGGCAAAGCACACCTTTGACTTGGCCTTCGGGGAGGCCGAGAAGCAGGGTTTGAAGGAAGCTGGCAAGGTGGAGGAGACGGAGCGGCTGGCGGAGTGGGGTTATGGCTTGTATGAGGGGATGCTGACCAAGGAGATTCGCGCGCTGAGGAAGGAGCATGGGCTTGACGGTGAGAGGGCGTGGGATATCTGGAGGGATGGATGTGAGGAGGGAGAGTAAGTCATTCCTATAACCATGTTAGATCCGGTTCCTTTCTGTTGGAGGGGCTAACGGTATAGATCACCTGCGGATGTTACGGCCCGGATTGATAGCCTGATCGAAGAGATCAGAGATCTCCATCGGGGAAACATGCACGGAGAGGCACCTGCTGATGTTGTTCTTATTGCGCATGGCCATACGCTCCGTGCGTTTACCAAGCGCTGGTTGGGCTATCCGATGGAGTTTCCGTTGTCGATGATGCTGGAGCCTGGTGCTGTGGGAGTTCTTAGGTATGTTCTTTCCTGTTCTACATGAGTGGATCGCTAACGGTGTCTGTAGTTACCAGCACCACAGCATTGATGAGCCTGCTTTTCTGGTTGGATATGGATTCCCCTTGGAAAAATGATGCACTTAGAGGCATCTGGTTTATATGGGAAGGTCGTATAGATGAATATATATCACTAGACAATGTAGATGGTATGGTTCTATGCTGGGGGGAGGCTACCGCCACACCAGCCAGCCCTTCTCCACACTGGTCTTCGCTTATGCGACACCCTCAAACTACTTACTCTCCGCCTACCTGCTAGCCGGTGCGGCGGTAACGCCTCTTTTGTGTTAGAATCAAGACATCTGTTTTAGTGCAATAAGCGGGATATTTAGTAACTATGTGAAAGTCGTCATGACGAATGCTAACACCAAGTTCGGTGTTTCCGGGTAGTTGGTATAAAGTATTCGACTATCTAGTGTTCAGCTGGCAGCTTTAAATACACAAAATCCACTAGCGTGCTGAATCAGGCCTTCTCATTAGTACTTAGTAGTATCTCCGTCGATCTTCCAGTCAACCGCCCAGTGTTTGCTACTCCCCTACAGAATAAACACTGATTAAGCCACCGCCAACGCCAACGATTCCGTCAACCACAACATGGAGAATGTCCCTACGGTCGGGAACCCTGATCATATCAATGCGTCAAGGGATGGAAAGGAGTTCCACCCAGAACGTACCTTCCGTATCGTAAGAGGCTGTCTACGCTGCCGGTCCTCGAAGCTGGGTCTAACTGAGGAGCTGCGATATAGTGTGCACTATTGTACTCAGAGGGGTTGCAAAGGCAAATAAGTATCTATGCATTTGAGGTGAGATCAGTCGACTGTAACGAAAAGAAGTGAGTCTGAAAGCGATGTAGCAAGTAGTGTATCACATGACCATATCGAACCCTGTTTCGATGCTGCTTTTTATACTCTAAAGCGATATGTACGTGCATTACAATTGCCCTGGATCTCACTTACAGTGACCTTTATTCATAGGTTCTTGATAGCAAATGAGCTCTTACTCAAGACCTTGGTGTTTCACTGAAGATAGCTCTTTGACCGGGGCCGCCATCGCCTCAGATACCTCCTAACCTGTCAAACGGCAAGAGACGCTCCTCAGAAGGCGTTCCTTCCTTAAGCTTCATGATGTTCCAGCTTCCTTCCCTACGATGCTCTTTCCTGTGCAATCTTCTCAGTCTTCTATATCTTCTTCTCGTCCCCATGAATTCCTCTCTTCTTCCTCTTCTCCTCCTCATACCACTTGTGGTTCTGTGTTGTCGTTTCGCTGCCGCGCTACCCTCAACTCACGTTTATCAATCTGTTCCCTTGCTATACCTTGACTTGGTGTTTGTCCTCCCTCTCCCTCACAGCATGTCTCCTCCTTCATCTCTTCGTGGAGGACACCAGATGGCCCGTCTGCGTGTTCCTCAGTCCTCCCCCTCCTCTTCCTCCTCTCTCCCCCCCAGCGGTCAGAAGGATCCAGCACGTCCTTCTGTTCGTTCCGCTCCGTCTGTGCCCACCATGGTGAGCACGTCCTCTCGTTCTGGGGTGCCTGCCCCCACTGCCCCCAAGTACTTGCGTACAAGCAAGTACTTGTCCACTCCCTCCTCTGTGGCTCCTCGGACCACGTCCTCTCGTTCCTCCATTCCCACCCCTGTCTCTCGTTCCTCCATCCCCTCCCCTGCCTCTCGCTCCCCTGTGGCTAAGGCCACGTCCATTCCCTCTCCCCCTTCCCTTTCCCCGGGTGCGTCGTTCCTGAAAAGGTTCGACGAGAAACACCCAACTTCCACTCGTTCTTCCCTCCCCGTCCCTGTCGCTCGTTCCCCTGTGGCTCCTCGGACCACATCCTCTCGTTCCGCCCCCCAAAAGACTACCAACGGCCCTAGCGCCACTCCCACTCGTTCTTCTCCTTCTGTGGCTCCTCGGACCACGTCCTCTCGTTCTTCTATTCCC